ATATCTCGGCTTTTTACAGCACTCAAAATCTCCTGATGTCTCCCGAATCTCACTATTATCAGAAGATGTGATGCACTTTTTACAGTTAGAGAAAATTAAATTAAGTTTTATAATACTCAGCAAGCACTTCGGTCATACATTCATGATCTGAAAAAGCTCCCTGCAGACATCAAGACATAGTCTTACAGCTTTATACTGAATGTATATTGTTTTAAATAGAATTTAAATATTTTTTTCAAGTATAGGTTACTGTGATCCCATATGATAATTTGCAGTCAGCATAGTACCATGATGTAATGTTGTGAAAGGCAGATGGTGAGGAGGTTTAGTTGGATTGATCCAGGGTAAATTGATCCTGTATTTTGTGTCTTGAATCACTTTTTCTTTGTTCTTCGTCATAAACAAAAATTGAAAAAAAAAAAAAGAAAAAGAAGATGATTCATTTAAAGATCTGTGAGAGTTTTGAGGTGCTAGAATAAGTATCACCAATCATATCCACAAATGGCTGGGGGGGCTACAGATTTTTATTGCAACCAAGAAGGATCACACCTCCTTGGTTGCATAGTTATATGAGGTTATATGAGGTGTGAACATATGACTAATCAAATATTGGAAGAGATGAGACCAGCTGATTAATCAAGTGAAATCAAGTGTGCATGGAATGAAAACATACAGGTGAGCCCTGTGCTAGAAGAATAGGACAAAATACAGAGAAACATATATATTTCCTACTTGTTTCTGCATTTTCGAAGACATTGTCTGGAATCATGGGAAAGGGATCAGGTGGATGCTCATCTCACACCGGTTTCAGGAGTTTCAAAGGAAGAGAAATCTGAAACATAAACAGTAGAATCACATACTGCCCTGAGGCATGTAATCCATGGCCTTAGTTGAAAGTAATAGTAAGTGGGAACCTGGGGGATTTCATGGCAATAACACTGGGCATTATACTTAAAAATCAGATAGGGGCGTTCATTCAAATCAGTAGCCTTATTTCATTGAAATTTGTGTGTACCATGGAGGACACTGAGTAAAATTATTCCATCAGCTGGTGTTCATAAATATGCATGCAAATGTTCTGATGCTGGGTAACTAGGGTCCTTTCTGTGTGGAGTTTGCATGTTCTTCTTGTGTATGCGTGGGTCTCCTGAGTGTTCTCCGGTTTCCTCCCACAGTCCAAAGACATGCAGTCAGGCCAATTGGAGACGTTAAATTTCCCCTACACAGTTACAAATAAAGGTACTGTACAGGTACATTTTTTGTTATCAATGTACAAACAGTGTAAATGTTCCCTCAAAGGTACAGCAGTGGTCCAATTTAAGGTCCAATTGTGTACCTTCAATAAGTTTGAAAAGTCTGTATTTGTATCTTTTCATAACCTAATGTTTTAAAACAGAACAATAAAATAAAAAGCCTGGAGATGAGATGAAGTGTGTGGAGTCAATGCAACTTAGAAAATATAATTTCAGTAGATTATGATAGGATTATGTTCCCTGACTAAAGGTACTGAGATGTACTCTTGAGGGTACCACCCCAGTGACAAGAGGAGTACTGCTAGGATAGACTCCAGCTCCCCCCCGTGACCCAGAAGGATAAGCAGCTTAGAAAATGTGTCTGTGTTCCAAAGAGTCACGCCATGTGGATGTAGCAGAACATTCAATGAGTGAGTCAAAATGAACCATTACTACAGCATGTAACTGATGCATCTTTACAAATTACAGATTAATGGATTTATATTGCAATATAAGGTTGGTGACAATGTCAGAGAGAAGCAGAGATGCTAAACAAGTTGGCAGGTCAGTAGAGTAACTAAGATCTTATGAGCCTCAGCACAAGAAATAATAATTATAATAAAGACTGTCTTGAATAAAAAATGCCAATTTGCTGGTTAACTTGGTATGAATATGTCTTAATCAGGTCAGTGCTCTAATGTAGGCTAAAGGTTGAAGTATATTATTAACCCATAACCCCTCCACTCTAGTGTCTTACTCTCATAACTACATAACACATTTTATAGTCATTATTGAAGCATTTATAGAAATTACTGATGAATAAGAATTTATTATTCTGCTATTCTAATCTTCATAAACAGATTTTAATACTAATACCAATAGTAAGTCTAGGGTTAAGTTACTGTAGCTCATGAGTAATGGGTGTATTGTATAAGTAGCGATACAAGTGGTCAAATAAGGGGCCAGTACCCCCTCCATCCACACCACCCTCCCTACACTACTGCCCCAGTGCAACTGACCTATTGAAGCACACCTATTCTTTTGTGATCCACACAGCAAGTGTCTGGCACCTCAAGTCCAAACATCTCGTTCCCTAGATCCCAATCCCTGTCTGTCTCAGCCAGCCTGCTAAGGAACACGACTTCTATCCCCAAATTATTCCTCACACACTGGGCTTTGTGGGTTGACCTTCTTAGGGCAAACTTACAAACACAACCCAACATCTTTCTTCAGTCATCCACAGCTTTAACCATAACCTTTTATCAAACTGCCCTCAGGAGAACTGTCTCATCATAAATCTTAACGCCGCCTCACTCCAGATCTGACCAATTTCAAACAAGCCTAATGAAACCTTTCATGAAAGAGCCAAGAGGCATATGACGTGAGCACTGCTCCTAGGCCTGCTGGGATGCCGGACTGGGGTAAATACCTGGAGCCCAGGGGGGAAACCATGGGCCAGCCACAGACAGACGTGCTCTACCTCCGTCGGCGGATTGTCTGTCCAGGAAACGCCTGGCCCCACATCCTGGTCCCAGGAGCTCGAAAGCAGGACCAGCTGCTGCATAAACCCACTATAATCTCATCAAGAGCTACCATACCCCCCTCACTAGTCTGGCTGGACCATGGAGATGCTAGCGCTAAAAGTCCTCTGTGGACAGAAGTTATTGTTACCCAGCAAAAGCAAATAAAGTATATTAATGTAGCAAGGCCTTTTTTGTTGTTTTTTAAATGCCAGCTGCCCTTTAAAATATGTAAACATTTCATGATGAACAGAGCAACAAAAATTCTTGAAAATTATCCACAAATAAACATAAAAAAACCTGCAAATTATGAAAGCAACCTGCAAATGATGAAGCAACTGCATACAAGTAATAGTAGTCAATTTCAAAAGACTACTGTCACTGGGCAGTGGATTAGTCAGAGTGAAATTTCTATATAAGGTACAGAATACACAGTAAGACCAAATACAGTGTATCTAAGTGGCAAGTCCAATAAATAGTAAGAAAAAGTTACAACAAAATGCACCAATGTTACAGAATCTCACTATAACAGCTTATGCTCAGGGTTGGGATGTATCAGAATAGAAGTATTGGAAATATGAACTCAGAACACAGTATCTGTACTCAGTCCATGTCACATTTTGTATAGGCAGTATTCAGAATACAGTTACCTTTTACATTTTTAGGAGGATATTTTTAGAATACTTACCCACTAAATTTAAAAATATATACCATCTTCACAAGAAACACCATCAATTCTTATTGTATCAAACATGTTTGTTAGATGAACTATAAAGAGGACCTCAAATAACAGCTTCTTTACAAACTGAAGTTCCTACTAAAGCCTGAGTAGACTGATAAATCAATGTGATGAACCAGTTATTAATCTCAGTGTTACTGAGCTCTGCTAAAGCCTGAGTAGACTGATAAATCAATGTGATCAGTTATTAATCTCAGTGTTACTGAGCTCTGCTAAAGCCCGAGTAGACTGATAAATCAATGTGATGAGCCAGTTACTGATCTCAGCATTACTGAGCTCTTTTGAAGGATGATCAAACAAATCTCCTCAGTAGTGAACATGTATGCGAGTGAAAAGTTTAGCATCTGTGTTATTCTGAACTCTTGGTTGGTCTTGGTTGGTGGATTTTAAAAGCACCAGGAGACTAAAGCAGACAAAGAGGGAGAAAAAAAAAATTGGACATTCACTTACATGATAAGTAAATTTTTCATGAAAACTATTTCTGGAAACAGAATTATTACATGAAGAAAACTGACAACCAGTAACAGCGGGGAACAGTAAAAAAAAAGATTTGCAAAGTCTATTCTGAACATTGCTGCTGTCCGATCAAAACCTCGTATCTCCAAAATGGCAACTTTACAGGAGAAGAACAAACTCCACTTTTAATGTAGGTCAATGGAGCCAGAATTTTTTCCAAGTCATTTTGGGCCATTTCTTTTGGTCCATTCATCATGAAATTAACATACAATGTAAAGGACAACAGGCACTTTCACTTTATGACAAAAACTGAAAAACAACAATAATGGAGATACGAGGTTTTGTTCCAACAGCAGAAATATGTTACTTTTTATGTACTGTAATGGAATATGTTTCTGAATACACTGCCTTGTATTTCCATTTTTGACGTTTTTCTTTTTTTTACATAATTTGAAAATACCTGTTACCCTTTACATTGTATGTAAATTTCATGATGAATGGACCAAAATAAATGACCTAAAATGACTTGGAAAAAAGTCTGGTTCTATTGACTTCCATTAAAAGTAAAGCAGGTTTTTTTTCCTTTTCCTGTAAAGTTACCATTTTGGAGATACAAGGTTTTCTTCCGACAACAGCGATATCCTTTGAATGAATGATTTTTTCAATCGATGTAGTTTTTGAGTAGAATAAACCTAGTTTCATTGCTTGTTACCACATGAAGAAATTTTTTAGGTTGAATTTTTTACAGTGTAATCTGCTGCTAACGTTAGTCTATGACTAGCACAGTATGACCTTGTCTGCAGTGGACAACCAGCAAACTATGTGATGAAGAAACTCCACACAGGCTCCTAGCTGCCACACAGCACACAGAAGATTACTGTCACCCTGTCAGACAGGACGGTGGATCAGCCAGGGTGAAATTTCTTGTCAGGAGAAAAGACTTCAGCTTCGGGGAGGGTGTGTCATCTTCTCTCACGGCTAATATGGCTCTCACAATGCTAGGAGTGTCCTAACGCCGGCCCCTCTGGCTAAGAGTCACATTTCAATTTTCATTCTCGTTTTTTTTGGGAGTTGTGAAGAGTGCGAACGAAAGCTAAAACTCGCCATCACTTTCCGTGGCTGTTTTTAAAACGGAGTGTGAAAATCTGAAGTTTTGTGAAGACAGCTAAGCCAACGCTTTACCTCAGAGGGCAGAGAGACGCGCGCGCCGGAGGATGTCCTCACCAGGTGAGCGAGCGAGTTTCTCCTGTCAGTGCTGAGGAAAACGAGACTGTTTCATTATTTCACGGCGCAAATTAAAGTGGAACTTTAATTTCCAAAAATTCTGCATAATTAAATGGTTACCCTGTCAACAAAGTCGTTCAGGGTGGTTTGGACTGAAATGCTTCGTTCCAGAGAAACTTAGTGAGTCAGAATTGTTCACAGTGGTAGTGATAGGAACCAGACGTCCACCTCTAAAATCTCCCTCAACATGAAGTTATAACATGAAATGGTTATGAATACATTTCCTGATGCCTGAGACATTGTTTTACAGTAGTTTTGTGTTAAAGTTTTGGTCGAAAACGTATTGTAATCATTTTATTTTATGGTGGAAGGATACAGGAAGAGTGTTCTAAGGCAAAATAGTCCCCAAATGAGACTTAATTTTTCATATTTGCCACTATTTTAACAAAATCAGGATTACATATAAAAACTAAGAAGACGCGTGTAGGTTCACTGGTGGTACATAAACTAGCTATGTTTGCCTTGTAGACATCAGGAGCCCTGGTTCCTATCACCACCACTGTAAAGAAATCTGAGTCTGTAAGTTTACAATGAACTATATCACGTCAAACCACTCTGAATGACTTTGTTTATATTTCAACCACTGTATTGTCCAGAAATTTAGAAAAATCAGTGGAATTCCCCTTTAAGCAAAATTGGGAAACTTTACAATTAAATGTCTCCTACAACAACAACAAACGTCTGAAGTGTGAGGACACTCCAAACACACTATCAGAGAGTGTAGCAAGTGTTTGTCACCTGGAATTAGAATTAATTCGAGCTAAAAAGGAGACTTCAGTCTTGCAAAAGCTATCAAAGTGTGTAGTGAAAACACATAACTTGTGCTTTTAATTGTGGCCTTTTCTCACTAAAATGCACACATTTACAGCAAAACCTGTATTGTACAGTTTAACAATACAACATTGCTGAACTCTCGTATGACAGTCCATCGTAATGTCAATGAGATTGTTTCCACTGAAACGTCTCGCCTTCTCAAACAGTCCTGCCACAGAATTAAAGTTCTTTCAGCTGTGTGTATTATTTGCATGTATGTAAGGATTAGGGCTGAGTCTCAAATGGCTCCCTACTCCCTACATAGTGCACTATGCAGGTCTTGTGCTCAAACAGTTGTAATATGTCTAAACAAAGAGCCATTTGGGATTCAGCCACATACGCACAATTACCTGCTGGATGTACAGGACACTGACTCAGCCTAGGTTTAAAGCCTTAAGCTTACAAAATAGACCTGGAAAAATATCTTCATAGCAAGTGAATACATCTTAAACATAAGCACTGTAGCTAATATTTCTCATTATGAAATTATTGTGAGAATATTATAAGAATATTCAACTTTTTCTAGACATTTCATTCATCATTCACTTATTTCCAGGCATGGTAAGTTGCTCTTAATGTACGGGCAGATTAGACTTCCTTCAATTATTGTTTCTTGAAACAGGCAAGATGATCTGCCAGTGCAGGAAGGTGATCTTGCTTGTTTCAAGAAATAATGTTATGAAGAAGTCTAGAATAGTCTAGGTTGAGTAATCTTATAATAATGTGACAGTCTGATAATGAGAATTAGATATATTTTCTGCATTTAAGATGCCTTTGACTGGCAAGAAAACACCTGCTGAAAAATAGGCACATAAAAAATTTACACTTTTGATAAACTGATTTCAGTTTTATTAGTTTTAAATCATAGATAGATAGATAGATAAAAAAAATTACAGCTTGAAAATATAACTGATTATGGTACTGAAGATGTACCCTTAACAGTACCACCCCAGTGACAGTTTAATCCCCTTTTTCTGAGCGTCTATAGTGGCTTTACAATGTGATGTGCCTCCTTCTTTATCTTCTAGCACTGTTTGCACACCAAAAGTCATCCGATCCTTTTTTCTTAAATAATTGTTAAATGGGAAAAATTAGCTAAGACCTGGAAAAATATCATCATAGCAAGTGAATGCATCTTAAACGTAAGCACTGTAGCTAATATTATTATGAAATTGTTATGAGAATATTATAACAATTTTTTACTTTTTCTAGACATTTAATTTGTCATTTGTTTATTTCCAGGCATTTTAAGTTGATTCCACCGCACGGGCAGATTTGACTTCCTTCAAACATTATTTCTTGAAGCAAGCAAGATTATCTGCCAGTGCAGGAAGATGATATTGCTTGTTTCGAGAAATAATGTCATGAAGGAAGTCAAATCACTTCACTTGATAAAATCAAATAGTCTAGAATAGTGTAGGTTGAGTAATCTTATAATGATCCATCATTATAAGATTATAAGATTACTTATAATCTTATAATGATGATTCTCTGCGCTTAAGATGTTACTGAATACTGAAAGAACACCTGCAGAGATATACACACATAAGGAATTCACACTTTTGATAAAATGATTTCAGTTTCATCAGTTTTAAATCATGGATGGATGGATGGATGGATGGATATATATATATATATATATATATATATAGATAGATAGATAGATAGATAGATAGTGTTATAGAAGTACTGACCATATTCTCAGAAAGGTATACCATGAAATAATTTATAATGATAACAATCAGATAGATAGATAGATAGATAGATAGATAGATAGATAGATAATCAAGCATGAATGTATGAATTAAGGATGAGTGATATGGTAGAAATATGATGTCACAATACCTGAAGACATTTTCAAGTCACACAATACGTATCATGACATGTAGTTTTTCTAATGTTTGTAAACAAGTTGGATCTGACCAAATGCCCCAGCAAACCTGCAGTGTCACATTTTAAAAAGCCATGTAAAACTTTATTTACTTAAGCCTTTACAAAAATAGGAACCAGAGGAAAGTTTGTTTTTAATCAGACGATGGCATCCAACCAGCTACTTGTAACCATACAGGTTATGCAGTTGTTGTCTGTGTTGTTGTTTGCAGGCTGTCTAAAACTGGTCTTTCTTTTTTAAGGTACACACCATTGTTGATTGTTATAGAAGTACTGACCATACCTGTTCTCAGAAAGGTATCCCATGACAGAATTTATAATGATAAGGATCACAAATCATCATATCGCCCACATCTAAAATGAAGTATTGAATTCCAGTGCTATATGCCATCACGTTCTCATGGCTGAATCTGTGATTCAGAATGCTAGCATGCCCGAATACAGTCAGATACTCTGAGAACAGGAGATGCATTCTGGAGGGGACAGTGTCACACGGCGGGTCAGATTGTTCCCTAGGCTCGAACTGGAATGCCTCTTGTTTTTCTTGGCCTTCATTTACTCGTACGTGACAGGCGATTAAGTATCTGAATAATCCTGGCGTACCAGTTCAGCATTTGTCAGTGACCCTGTGATTCACAAAAAAACAAAAAAACTGAAGAAGATTATAAGCATTCTCAGGTCCTGTCCAACCTGCTCGCATTCCAAAAATAACTATTACACACACACACACCTCTTTGAATCAATTCAACCTTCGTTGACGTGTTCAAAAACAGCATTCAGGCCATATTCAAATGAACAGGATGATCTTTGCCTGGTGCACGAAGGTAAGATCGAAATTCAACCTGAACACTTTACATTCACATGTCTCGGGTGTCTCATAGCAGCAGTAGGTGTATATGTTGATGTGCACTGTCAGATAAAAGGTTCTGTGCAGGTACATTTGTCTTCAAGGTACAAACAATGTAAATGTTCCCTCAAAGGTGCAACAGTGGCTTTAAAGTCCAACTGTACCTTAAAAAAGGTTTTTCCAAAGGGATATTTGCATATTTATACCTTTTTTTATAACCTAATGTTTTAAAACAGAACAATAAAATAAAAAGCTTGGGGACAAGACAGTGTGTGTGGAGTCAGTGCAGCTTAAAAAATATAACTGATTATGGTACTGAAGATGCACCCTTGGTGGTACCACCCCACACTCTCAGAAATAAAGGTACTAAACTATCACTGGAGCAGTCCCCCTCCTCTCACTGGGGTGGTACCCTCAAGGGCACATCTCAGTACCTTTAGTCAGGGAACATAATCGTACCATAATCCATTGACATTATATTTTCTAAGCTGTACTGACTCCACACACCCTGCCTCGTCTCCAGGCTTTTTATTTTATTGCTCTGTTTTAAAACATTAGGTTATGAAAAGATACAAATATTTACTTTTCACCTAAAAAAAACTTACTTAAGTTACACAGTTGGACCTTAAAACCACTGTTGTACCTTTGAGGGAACATTTACATCGTTTGTACCTTGATGAACGAAAAGTGTACCTGCACAGAACCTTTATTTCTAACACTGACAGGAGGGGTACCACCCCAGTGACCAGTTAGTGCCTTTTTTTCTGAGAGTGTTCAGTGGCATTACAACGTGATGTGCCTCTTTCTTTGTCTTCTAGCACTGTTTGCACATCAAAAGAAATGTTTGTTAAATGTGAACCTCAATGAATATGTACAACATTTCCGCATAATTTAATGATTAAGATGTAAACAAAAATCATTCAGAGTGGTTTAGTGTGAAATGCACCATTCTGTAGAGCCGTCAAGCACCATCAAGCAGGGGACCAAGGGGGGCCACAGCCAACCTAATACAATCCTTGGCCCCCCCAGTGGCCCCCTCAGCAAGCTTTATATGCACAATATGCTTCTGTCTGATATATTAGGAAGCCGGGCTGTCAACGAATATTCTAAATTCAGTTGTATGGAATTGTAAAAAAAAGCAGACATTCGATTGTGAAAATTAATATTCAGTTAAAAAAAAAGCAGCTGTCTGCCTCACGAGTTCTCATATGTGCCTGGGCTACTGCACTGAATGCACTGCATGACGGACAGAAGCCACACAACATCACTTTCATGATTGAAATATCATGAAATACAGTGAATAATTCAACAGCAACCATGTGGTAATGATGGAGGAGAGTTCAGAACCCAACTCTGACGCAGAGAGAGTGATCTGCACTCCGAGGGATCTACAAGTCCCCTTTTGGAAATACTTCAGAGCAGAACTTAAAGATCAGTAGACGGCAAAATTGTGGAACCGTGAGATAAAGTTGTATGTAAGCTATGTAAGCTACAGTTAGCCTACCATTCCAGCACTGGCAACCTGAGGGCACATCTCGAAAAATATGCACCCAAAGGCCTCCAATTCAGTTCTTCCTCAAATTAACATTCCCTCTGATTAATCTTGGTCACAGGCACACGCGGCACTGAAACAAAGGAGAGCGAAATGGGTGAAAAAGTCTTACGCCTCAATTTAATAATCCAGTCAGCGGCAAAGCGAAGACTTAAACCTTTCTTGAACCGTTTTTACTTTCTGTAGTTGCAGTGTTGTTTGGTGCTGATTTTTTCTCAGAATACACACTCCTGGGGACTTGATTCGTGAAGGGGAATGTAAATTTGAGGGGGAACTGAATCTGATGCAACACTCCTTTTATGTTTGTTTTGCCCTCTTGTGGACATAATGCACAAAAATAAATATCTGAATGGTTCTAGCATACGTGTTTTTCAAAAGGAACATCAATTGAACATCATTTTTGGCCAGTTTAGACAGCCCTAATGCATATCAGACAATTAGTAACATTAACTGTACAATAAGGAACCAAAGTATATCAGTATGTAATTCCACAATTCTTGGATTGGCATAGTTTTTAACTAGCCTACATCCTACAACAGCATAGTAGAATTCCTGAAATTCATTTATGGCTTTTGGTTTTGGTGGGCCACCCCGAGAATTTCAGTGGCCACCCCAAGATTTTCTGGCCACCCTTATGAAAAATGTCTGGGGGTGCCACTGAGTTGTGACGATAGAAACCAGACATTCAAAGCGTTTGTGCCTCTGAAAGCTCCCTCGCAGAAAGCTATTACATGAAATGGTTACTTTTACGTGGTTGGATGCCCAAGACATTATTTTGTAGTAGTTTTTATGGTAATATGGTATATTTTAACATATGCATGGTGGAGAGGGACCTGCAGGGTGTTGTAAGGCAAAATATCGCAGAAATAAACATTTTTTCAGATTTACCGCTGTTTTATCATCATCACCATTGCCTATATAAGCTCAAACAACATGGATAGGTTCACTGTTTCTTTCGGATAATAAATAAAGTGGCTATATTTTCATTGTAGACATCACGACCGCTTGAGTCAGTAAGTTAGCTTCTCCACAACACATCGTTCCACATCAGACCTGTCTGAATGATTTTGTTAACATCTCAATTCCTGAATTATGCGAAAACATTTTAAAAGTTTAGAAGATGCAATATGATCAAGTGACATTTTCTTCATTTTTGACGGTGGGTATCATGCCCTGATGCAGTGAAAAAAAAATTGGCTTGATTTAGACACAGTGATGAATTTAGCTGCATTAAATGACTCAAAACACAGTAAGTAATTGTTTGTTTATTGGGCTGTTAGGCTAAGAGAAGTCATTCTTTAGTCATACGACAGTGAATTGCTCCTTTCATATGCTGTAACAAACTGTCAGCCTTTATTCATTTCTTTTCATGTTTGTGTTCTGAGACTGAGGTGCCAAGGTGCACTTTGTGTGCTTAAAAGTTGCCATATACAGTACTGTGCAATAGTCACAGAACTGGCAACCTTCATTTATTTTATTTCCAGTATAAAACAGCCAATAAGTAACTAATTTTTCAGCAGCTGTAAAAAGAAAAACAGGAAAACAGAATTACAGAAGCCTCAACAATTAAATATAATGTTATATAATATAAAATTATGCTATTTAGAGAGTCCACCCTTCACAATATTACAGCTTCCATTCTTTTCGGACTTGCTTTCTGTTAATCTGTAGGGATATTTTTCCACATCTCCAAAGTTCAGTCTTAGAAGTTGGTTGCATTTTCTGCTTCATATTAAATTCTGTAGAGGCTTGACCATAGAGTGGTCAGTCCGTTGTTCAAGGGCTTCTTAACAGCTGCACATCCTTTCAGACCCATAGCGCTGAGTCGTCTTCTCACAGTGGAAGAATGGACAGAAACACCTGTGGATGTTTTCAGATCTGAAGCCGCTTGATTTTCTCCTCTCTCTCAAAGATGAAAGTACTGTTTATCTGATGGGGGCAGTTTTGGTGGGCTACCAGGTGTTGCAGATGGTTGTTATGAGGTCCATTTTTTCTTGAACTTTTATTCATTTTTTGAACTTCAGTTTTGGAAACGCCTGTTTTTTTCACTCATTTTCTTTTGACATGAACAATGAACAACTTTACCTAATAGATGTTTTGAAGTGTCTGACTTTTGCACAGTAGTATATATTTTAGAATGTATACATTGAAAGTCTCTTCATCCTGCTGTCATATTAACTTAGCAACCAAAGGCCACGTGCACCCAACTGCACCACAAATGGCCAACAAAGTGAAGGCCATGTGCAACTTGATTAGTATAGCAAAGCTCTGACCACATATTTGTTTATTCCCCTGGCTACGTTAGCATTTTGCACCTGATCGCGTTACATAAGATATTTGTATCACAAGGTATTGCACTTCCCTAAAGTAACTTCCTGTAAAACTAGATGGCTAATATATTTGTGACAAAGACTGACTCTTGATACCTGTTCCATTAAAAATGTAACAAAAGTAAAACTTGTCACTTAATCCTCTGTCACAGAGCATTGTCCAGAGGCATTCATAGCAAATACCTAAAGCCCTGAGAGAACAAAAAGAAACAAGAGAATGAAAGCAGTACCTCCAATACAGGACGGCATCGTGATGGAAAGTGCTTCTGGCCATTTCTGGGAGATGTTTGTCACACTACAGAGTGCTTTTTTCAAACATGGTACAGAACTGCACCTTTATACAAAATGGCAGTTCACCCAAGCAACCATAAGATTTCACTCCGATGTCCCCAGAGATGCCTCTTTCAAGCAAGACCAGTGGACCCGATTTAAAGGCTTGTGCACTATTCAAAATAAAGGCTCATGGCTTGAACATACAGTTCTGAGAAAAAAAAACTTTAATTATTATAGAACCTTTACATTATATGGAAATACTATAAAACAAAAAACAGCTAATTTACAGTAAGCATTCTAGTTCTTTAGGGAACCAAAATAAGCTTGAAAACACTTTTTGTAGCCGACACTTGTTTGCAAACAATTTTCGCCCACTCTTACTTGCAGAACGCTTTTAGTTCTGCAATGTTCTTGAACCGTCTTGCATGCACTGCATGTTTAAGATCATCCCACAAATTTTCAATGATGTTCAGGTCAGGGGACTGTGAGGGCCATTCCAAAGCTTCAGCTTGCATTTGTTGAAGCAGTTTCTGGGGGATTTTGAGATGTTTTATCACTATCCTGTTGTAGAAGCCTGCCTCTTGTCTGCCTCAGTTTCCTGACTGTATCACATTTGCTCCCAGAATTTGCTGATATTTATTAGAATCCATTCTTCCATGTACTTGTGCTGTGTTTCCTGAGTCTCTGGCTCCCACATAACCTCAAAGCATAACAGTCGACAAGGTGTTCTTTTCATCAAATGCTGTTCAGTTTGTTCTCCAAACATACCTGTGTGCTGTGTGCGTGTGTGTGCTCTATTGTACGCTGGCACAATATGGCTGCTGCTTTATATCGGGTTTTTCATTTGGTTGAGGAGTTTGCCATCATATCCACCGAGATCGCGGCCTAGAGCGATTTGCCATCCGTGGCTCAGAGGCTTCTTGGGCTGGCTGATTGGGTGACGCTACATCACACTTATGATGCAGCCTGGACCGTCCGCTTGAGTGATGCTGTATTGTCGGTATGAGGCTTTCTGAACCTTGGATTGGTAGTGTTCAGCTGTATGAGCAGCGCTACGCCGCAGCTACAATGCCTCTCGGGCTGGCTGCCAAAACAACGCTACATCGTAGCTACGTTGCTGCCTGGGCTGGCCACTTGGGTGATGCTGCATTGCAGCTATGAGGCTGCCTGGACTGGTTAGTGGCTGCAGGAAAATGCTACACCTATTGTGGCTATGGACATTTTTGGCTTTCGAGGCTTCCTGGGCTGGCCTCCTCTGTGATGCACCGTGGTGTGAGACTTTCCCCCGTAGCTAAGGACCCATTCCAGGCTAGCAAATGACTCTATACCATGGTCAGTGGAATTCCCCCTAGCTGTGGGAGCTGTGTGTGTGTGAGTGTGTGTTCTGTGTTGTTTTATATATATATATATATATATATATAAATATAAAAGTGATGATGATGAGTGATGATACCCTTGGTTGTGTCTCAAGAGCTTTTGTATTTTTATTTAATGAGTTTGGTGATTTTCTAGATCTTGCCTTGACTTCCATTATTAAACATTATTGGTTCATATTATTTTTCCTTGCACACTTCTGCACGGTGATGTAATCATAAGACGATTTAGAGGTGAGCAAAAGTAACTATACTTTGATCAAAGATAGACTTTTCTCTTAAATTGTATAATAATATGTATTGTGCTTAATGTGATGAGCAACAAAGTCAACTAAATTATGCAACTAATCAAGCTAAAAATAGGTCAATGTTGATTTTAGTTTAGATACTTGAGTGACAAAATTGGTCGAAATGCACATCCCTATATCCAGCCCCAATTTAGAATTACAAATAACTGCAAAAGTAAGATTTACTTTGCTCTCTTTCAGAAGGATGCCTCGAAAACACAGGGACCACCTGGCTGAGCGAGAGAGGAAGTCCAAACATCACTTCCTACATGCTCTCTACTTATGGATGTTCCTACCTCTTGTTCCTCAAGGTATGAGCACAAAGTTGTAGAGTCAATGTGGTGAGACATGCAAATGTACATGTTGGTGACTACGCGACCAGCAAAGCCACAGAGCTGAAGGCACAGTGGAAAATAGCTTTCAACAGGATACAGAAATTAAGGGGGAAATTATGTTTGCCTAGAAATTGTCCATCTGTCCACCCTGGATAGTTCTCAACTTGTGTCTCTCATAACTGAGATCCATTGGAGTCAAGTTCAATGAACAAGATCAAAACGAGATCAAAACACATAACCTGAACACTTCGTTTTCAGTTTTGAAGTAACGTATAGCAGCACATGTGTAGAATACACAGTGGCATTAAAAAGTTACACACCTCTTTCTTTCTATTCTAGTATATATCCTGGATGTTCTAACACGGAACGTTATCAGATCCTCAATCAGAACCTGTTATCTGCTCAATAGTATATCAGTGAATTTCAAAAACTATGGGTCCCATATCGTCTCTTTTTATCCTCTGAGGTCCCCTAATAATGTTTAATGTATTAAAACCTTTACAAACAGTCTTAATTATTTTTTAAATTACCATTTTCATACCTTTCCCCATCGCTTAGAATTAAACAGGCTATTTACTGTGTCTTTGAGGCTGATATATGAAACAATGTCTGTTCTGACTAGCTGCCCTAATAGAAGAAGCAGTCTATGCTAAAACATTCAACTGCACTACTACTTCACTATGAATGGGTGGGGCTAAACTGCTATAATCTGAATATATGAGTTTTGGTGAAATCACAAAATCAGTGAATTCACAGTAGTCCTGTTTGCAGGTTAAGGGAAATTCTTCAAAACATCTGCTTAATTCTTACATTGACGTGTAACAAAGTCATTCAGAGTGGTTTCATGTGAAAAGGTGCCTTATAGAGAACCTTACCGACGAGTATTTCTTTACAGTGGTGAAAGGAACCAGGGTTTGTGACATCTACAACGCAAATATTGCCATTTTGTTTACTAGTCGAAATCTGCCTTTTGAGTTTTTATGCATGGATCTCTCCTCCATAAATGAGTGTGTTTACATGCACTTAATACTGCTAACTGCAGAAAATCAGATTTTGTCAGTAATCCGATCAACATGTATATGCGCTTGAGTAATCAGATAATGAGGAAACTCCAGGTCTACATGATTAATTGGATTTTTGCTTTGAAACCGGTCAATAAACTCACAGAAGAAGACGTGACGTAAACATAAGGTAAAACTTCATGTGGCTTTTTTTTTAAAAAAAAACATTACACCACTTTACCTGCAAATATGAACTGAAAATTTAAATCCTTAATTTCATCAAGGACCTAGTTGGTTTCAGCGTCACTCCAAAAGTGTTTTGCTGTGATAAATACTGCTTGCTTATTTCCGGTGCCGCGGTCTGTTTTCACACATGCACAGACTGAGAAATCTGAAAGAAATCAGAGTAAGAGTTTACATGCACTGAGAAATCTGATTACTGAGCTAAAGTCCAGCTCTCTTTATTGGATTTGTTAATCGGATTTCTAGACCTTACTCCAATCTAAGAAATTAGAGTATGCTGTTTACCATTTGAATAAACAGATAACTGCAGAAATCCAATGATCTAATTATTGAGTGCATGTAAACATACATACTACATTAAAGTCATTTCAAAAAAGCAAAGATAATGTGGTTTTCTATGATATAGACCCTTTAATACTTACCAAAAATGTAATAGAAGGAAAAAGCATCTGCACTAAAGCCCTAAATGATTACATTTTCTTCATTACTGACAGGACGGCCGATGTGCCCTGATGGGCTAAATATAAATAAGACTTCATTTGATTTAGGCGTGATGATTCATTAACTAGATCAGGGCCATTATATTTAAAACATCTAAGACCAAGACACGGACTCAGGTGTGATTTGTTTCCATAGCGACAAGGCCTCTGAAAAATCTTTGCTCTTTAATAGGTCTCAGCTTTCCACAGTGCTTCGAATGAATGGCAGTGTGGTGTAAAGAGGAGATGGATAAAGAGTAGAAAGCCAGATTGAAGGCCAGAGCTCAGCGAGCTGGAGTTTGGCTCAGAAGCGTACCTGGAGACAAACACTAATGCTCCGTGTGATGTGCTAATCCCACTAAAGAAGCATTGGCTTAATTGCTCTGGCAGCACTCTCCATGCAAGTCAATAAAGCACCTTTAAGCTGTAAATTGAATGAGAGAAAGTGCAGGAGTGAATAGACTCTGTACATTAGCGAGAGGTAAAGGGTTGGAAGAGGAAAGTGGGGACAGCAGAATGCGAAGGGCTCAAAGGCCACAATCAAGGATCACTGCAGGCTAGTTTTCCTACACCTAGGTCACGGTGGTGGGTGATCTTGAGACAACAAATGAATAGTCTCAGTCTTAGCTCAGACTTGGCTACTACAAAGCCTAGGCCTTGACTCAGACTCAGTGTCTCCCAATGTCTGTCTTGATCCGTTCTTGCCTCTATAATTATCTTGACCATAATGTTAGTGGTGGGTAGCAACCAGTAGTGGTGTAACAATACACATATTTTCAAGTTAGATGATTCTGAGGTCAAGATTTGATTCAATTTTTGATATTTTATATGTTAAAATTGTATTGATTTTGCAGAACCTTTTGAACTTTTTGAATGCCTGCCACACAACCTTGGTTACTTCAGGCAAAAAGAGCATGGGTGAACGTAAAGCCCATCTGTCAAACACAAGGCCTGCCAGCCACGTCAGGCACGAGACACAGTCCTGTTTGGCCCACAGAATTAGTCCCCAGTATGCACTGCATTATAGTGCGTGTTCTGACCCCCTTCCCCCAACAGCATGGGCCATCTATGGGCCAGTGGTTACACAAAAAGAAAAGATGCCTGGTGTCTAGTTCAAGCAAATAGGCAGTTTAAAAAAACCTAAAACAATTTATTTTCATTTGGAATTATTTTTGAATAAGTGTTCAGTGCCTATTTTGCTGTCGCAGTTTTGGCATATTTTGAATAAACAATGGCCGGTCGGGTCATTGCAAAATGTTAAGTAAAACTGAAATAAAAACACAGCTGGCCCACAGATTTGCTGAAATTTTTTAATATGGCCCTTTTGGTGGTTGAGTTTGACACCCTTTATGTATAGCATAAGCCCCACCCACTTTACTCAGATAGGATGTATCCAGATGCCTAGTTTTGAACACTGATTGCAGATTTCATGACAGATGCTAAATAAGAGACCCTCGGAACAGACCACGGGGCGAATCGGGGAAAGACTTTCAACGTTTTTTCATACTCAATTCCAATAATTCATAATCGACTGTATTTGTTCAGAAAATTGATGCTGTCAGAATCATATTAAAAGATTAAAAGGTTTTAAATGATATTTTCTTGAAAATAATTACCTGTCATCAGGAGATCACAAATTCGTTCCTTCTGATGCCGCAGACATATGTGGCTGGCATTCCAAGACAGCATAGTTGGCCTTGTTCTCTCTGCGTGGGTAAGGTGGCCCTCCATCTCCCACATCACTTAGCGCAGCGCTAGCCGGCGGGAGCGTGTGTTAGCTGATGATTGCCTGTTAGAGTCTGTTTGTGTCCTCCAAGCGTGTTGAGCTGTCCAGTGGCGTTGCATCAGCATCACTTTGAAAAGATATGGTGGCTGCTCCATTTGTCTCATGCTAGTCTTCACCCTGCCAGCTTGGTAGCACTGCATGATAGAGGAAGACACATTTATTGCACCCTGGAAGATCAGATCATGTAATGCAGATTCCCTGTTAGTATGCTCAAAGCTAATCCTGAGGGCATGTGATGTTTTGGCTGTTCTTGATTGGGGCTTCTGTGAAGTCTGAGGAGCAAGCCTCCCCTGACCCAGTGCAGCTTTCAAGATAGCCAACATATTCTCTAGAATAAACAGCCTGTAATCAGTTTGGTATTTTCACAAGGAAGACCGCTAACTCTAGATTTAGCTCACAATTCCTCTGATTCATCTGATTCATAATTCTATTCAGGGGAATGGCCAGATGAATTGAGATACTGTCGGTCAGGTGTGTTTGTGGCATCTGTGGAGGGAGAGAGAGAGAGAGAGAGAGAGAGAGAGAGATTTTCCTGGCACAGGACAAAGGCTGAGCTAGAGAGTCTTTTGATCCTCGGTGAGCGTGGTGGCTAAGTCCAGCATGCCCACAGCGTTATGACATTTCCCTGCTTTAATCTCAGATTAATTAGCAGAGGCGAGTGTGTGGGCTGCTGTGGTCAGCCAAGGAGAATTAGACCATTTAGCCCCTCATCCCTCCAGGGAGCCACCAACACCACCCTGACTGCAGCTGAAAGGACAGACAGACAGGGTTACAATTAAAGAGGAGAGGCTGTGTCATTGTATGTGTGAGTGAGAAGTGAGAGGTAGTGCTTTTTTCAAGGTGGTGAGAGAAAGAGACAGAGGAAGTGAGTGAGCAAGAATGTATGTGTGTGGGTGATTGCGTGGGCAAATGCCTGGTCTCTATAATTACACAATTACACAAGTCTTGTCCAAGTAGGTCTAGGCGATAACATGATAAGTACTGAAATTGAAAGATTTAAGGGATTCTGTCCCACAATCCAGTATAGCAACAAAGACCAGAACTTTGAACAATTACAACTCCAGTCCTGTAGACGCCATGTTCACTTTTTTACTCGTGAGATGGGGAGGAAGCCTAGCCAGTGGTGTTACTTCTGGCAGGGTGTGGAGGCGTGCCCGCTGGGCCCCTAATGTCTTTACTGAACCATTCACTGGTGTAAAATAAGGTGGGGGCGGGCAGGACATGTTCCACCTCACTTTTTGAAATCTTGTTAAAGAATGTTGGGGACCTTAAGATGATGGTCACATAAGGCTGTAACACAATAACCTGTGTTAGTGATGACACATTTCTAAGAGTGACTTTTCCATAAAATCTCTCACATCATTGATACCCTCTTGTCATTAAGTATTATCTATGCTCCAAAACGTCCACATTTGGCGTGTTGTTTTCACAGAAATCTGCCAGAAATCCAGAAATGAAGCACTGACCTGTCTTCATACATCAAATTATTTGCAGCGCTTATTTACTGTTCTGTAATCATTGACTTTCCTCTTCTCACGTTTATCATTATCAAATTATTTTTCTAAAATATGCTCCCGAGTGGCGCAACTAAAGCATTGGCCCTATCATCAGGAGATCACAAGTTCGATCCCTGGTGATGCTACAGCCATCCGTAGCCGGGAGTCCAAGAGAGCACAATTGGCCTCGCTCTCTCTGGGTGGGTAGGGTGGCCCCTCCTTCTCCCCCCATCACTTAACGCGATGCTAGTCAGCGCAGGCGTCTGTTAGATGACGTAACAGATCTGGCGGTTGGCGCTTTCCTCCGAGCGCGTTCAGCTGTCCAATGACGTTGCGTGACCGGCAGTTCGACCAGATGCGGTGGAGCTTCACAGGTCTCGGAGGAAGCCTGTTTTAGCCTTCACCCTCCTAGTGTTGATAGTATTGTGTGATTGGCTACAGTGATTTAATAATATACTTCAGTCATTAAGCTACATTAGAGCAATACATTGATTTAGATTAAGCAAAGAGGAGGTAAACCAATTACATTGTCAGTTTTATTATTCAGTCGAATGGGTTCCCTTGCACTTGTGGTCATTAAGATCTTGCATGCTGCACTGAGTCTAGCCATTCACCAGTAACAGCACAAACCAGCATGATAGTCAGCATATTTAGCTTTCAGTTTGAGGAAAGCAACTTGGAACTTGAAAATGTTTTTACAATGAAAACAGTCTTTTTCTGCACAGTGGTATCAGTTCAGTTTTCATAAATAAAAGATAATGTAGAGTTTGCTGACAATGGCTATCAAACCGACCGTCACCACTGATGTGTATATGCACACAATATATATCGATAATTAGTAATATGTAATTCTAATGAAAAAATGCATTGTGATGAAATGTTGTTGCCTAGCTTTGGGCCAAAATCCCAAACATTTCTCATTTTCAGAAAGAATGTAAGTGCTCTCGGGGGGACATTTGCACCTGTTTTCGTATTGTCCCATGACGCTAGAGACGGCAGGTGTAGGCCTTACCTGCGGGAGCATTCCAGAAGTCTTGCACAAACAGAACACTTATACACATACATGCAAGCAGTTTTGCGCTCATCTGCTGCCACTTCAGCCTGTCAGTCATGGCTGAGTTACAGTATGCGCATGCAGAGGCCAAATCTGGGCTGGCCTGTTTTGGATTTGGCAAGGTATCACACATGGTTATGAAACAACACAGACATAAGCTAACTGCGCAAGCAGAGCTACAGAGAATTTGATAAGAATGTCGTTCAAACTGGCTGATGTGGTTTCCCATAAATTTACAGATGAAACAGGCCGCGGCTGCTCTTGCAGTCTATATTACAGTGAAGGGGTATACACTTTGTCTGTACAACACAGTCTGAATAATCTCATGTTTTTCAACCTAATTCACTACATCTCTAGCGTAAAGTGACCACACTGTTCTTAGTGAACCCAAAACACACTTTTGATAAAACCCATTGGGGCAGATGCTAAAGCTAGCTCCATTTTAATTATTCAAATTTAGTTTTTACTTCATTTTATAGGTTTAATTCCATTCTCTTGTGTTGGTTCAGCCCCTGTGCTGCTTTGCTGTTAATCACACCTCTCACCTTTGAGCTTTAGCATTAGATTTAGACTGAAATGATCTTAAAAAGAGAGGATTAGAGCTTAACAAACTTAAGTTTCTTTGCTGATAGATGGTGGACGCACTAGTAAGTTCTTTTGCAGTTTTGTATTTTATGAGGTATTATTTAATTGAAATAATGCTACTTTTACTTAAGTATAGGTTTTGGTTCCTCTACCCACTTCTGGTGGATGACAGAAAATGCTTTCGTGTTCCGTGGTGAGGCAACCTGTTAGCGGCCTTGCTAGCACAGGAAAGATGCGAAGCCTTTTGGGCAGACGCTGAAGCAAGTTCCATTTTAGTTATTCATATTTACTTCTTAATTCATTTTTTATAGGTTTATTTCCGTTCTCTTGCATTGGATCAGCACCCATGCTGCTTTGCTGTTGGTCACATCTCTCACTTTTGAGCTTTAGCATTAGATTTAGACCAAAGGGATCTCAAAAAGAGAGGAATAGAGCTTAATAAACTTAAGTTCCTGTGCTGATAGACGGTGGATGCGCTTCTATATATATTATTATATATATATATTCTATATTTTTCACAAGGTATTATTTCATTGAAATAATGCTACTTTTACTTAAGTATAGGTTTTGGCTCCTCTACTCAATTCTGCTGGATTACAGAAAATGCTTTCAGTGGTCTGTGGTGAGGCAACCTGTTAGCGGCCTTGCTAGCAGAAAAAAGATGCTAAGCAGATGCTAAGTGGAGTGGCTGCAGGCCCGCAGCACTGCTGCTGTGTAGCTGGGCTGAGTGTTGGACAGATAGGAGGAGGCCGTGGCTATTCTTGGTCCTCTGTCTCTGGGAAAAGGGCTGGTTGACATTTTCAGCATATTGTGGTGCAACTGGTGACGGAATGCAAAGAGACATGCATGAGGTAAATGGTTAATGTGCAGGGTGCAGCTCTCACAATGAATCATGACTCTTGCTAACCTGATACAGGAAGAAAACAATGACAGCTTAAAGAACATATCAGCGTTCCAATGTAAGTCCTTACAGCAGCATTTGACATCAAGGAACATGGGCTACCTTTCTTACAGTTCAAACGTTGCATCTTCTCTATCTTGCAAGTCATTTTAATAACTTACAATGCATTGTAATAGTAATATTTTTCATTTTGTTGTGTTAAATAGTAACTTAAATGAAACCCAAAAAATGGAATATTATGAACTACACACCAGAAGATATTCAATGTTTCAAGCATTTTGGGAACTACAAGACATTGTAAACGATAATTTACATACTGATTGTCTGTTTACAACATATTTCATAATTATCTACCTTGACATTTTTGCACTGCAAGACTTGATATTAATTTCATTGTCATTTTATTCCTGATGCTATACAGATTATCTCTAGCTCTGTTTATCAGTCTTGACGCATCTAAAATGTCAAAATATTTAAAATGTAGACATAAGTGACACCATATAATACAAATCTGCCGCCACTTTGGTTTAATATTTATATTAATTATATTATTTTATATTCATTTCTTTCTGTTCAGTTCAGTCCAGTGTTAATGCCGTGACTGTATTAAGTACAACATTGCCAAAGGGTTTTCTCTCTCCCCAGCGGGCGGCTACTTCATGAGTGACTCTAAGGCTGTCCTGCAGGGCTGCTCTGACTACTGGACACTGCAGGACCACTGGGCCATGCCACTGCTGTTCCAGATAACAGTGTGCGTGGATGTGCGTGTGATGACCCCGGGTGAGTGGACAGCCTTTAGCTACACATCTCCCCGCCCACCATACTACGACCTGGCCCTGCAGGGTGACGACAACGCCCTCTACGCCTGGCTTTTGGGTGTACGGCACCGATTCCCTGTGCAGCTGGAGCTGGGCCGCTGGTACCGGCTGTGCCTGCGGCGAGATGCTATGCGAGACAGCTTCAGCCTGGAGGTCAGCGGTAACCCGGACCCTCAACAGCGCACGGTTATTGCTCGGGGAATCCCACCCACGGGGACCCTTCTACTGGGCTGCCAGCTGCGGGATGCCTCCCCTGGGGTCACTCTGGCCACTCTGGAGCTCTACTTGTTTCGTGTTTGGAACGACGTGTTGCAGCACGGGCCCTGTGAGGATGGCACAGTCGTGGGCTGGGACTCTCGTATGTGGGGCATCACCCGTCCCCAGGCCAGGGTCCGGGACGATGCGCTGCAGTGTGGTGAGTGCAGTCACCGTGGAAACGGGCCTAGCGCCAAGCGCAGTTAGCTGACAGTGGGTCTGGCTTAAAATAGCAGAGATAATGTGAGCAATTATAGTGCATACAGCAGTGTTAGTCTGGGTGGCTCACTTAGCCTCCAGCATATAGAGTCATGCATGCGTTCTCTTTCACCCACTCTCCCTTTACTCTGTGCGTGCATGCTTTCAGTTTTCTTCCTCAACTAAAGGAAGAACTGATTCAGACACTATGTAAACCATATAAACCTCATGATGTCACCACTTTCTGTAGCATTTTGCATGAAGCCAGACTATGCATTATTTGCATGTTGTGAATATGGATACTGTATGATGCATGAAGTGGGTGTTGGCTTATTTGTTGTGTGATGCATTGTGGTTCTGTTTTTTTTTCCACTTTAAAGCTTTCATCCACTTTATAGAATGAACGTACAAACTCTGTCAGTAGGGGTGCACGATTGGAAACAGCGAGACTCAAAATCAGCTAATATTCCCTCAAACACATGAATTTATTTTTATTATTTGAATTTCGGCTGATCTGTGGTTCAATTTTATGACGTAAAATAATGTGAGCCAGTATGCTGCATAGAGTTGGGCAGTATTACAGTAATACCACCATATTTAAAAATGATGCCGGTATTTCAAAATTATGACATGTCAAATTTCTATTCCATGTCTGAACAGACAAATAAACACATTCCACCCATTTATATTTTAGAGGGGCTCACTGATTGGTGGGAGCTCACCAATAGGTGGGGCTTGTTGTAAGAACCAGGAAATAAGCTAGAAAAAACCAGCATGGCAGTCGCTCAGTATTGGCTATTAGCTACACACACCACACAACAGTACCAGTCTGACTGCATGTTTTAGGCTACTGCAGACCATATCATCACTTATCAAATAATACTTTATAGGCTGTATAGATTGTAACAACTACAACAAAAGTCCTCATAGGAAGGTCTGTTCACTCTACGCCCATCTTGGCAGTTGTTTCTAGTTATACAAGACCAGGATCTTATCTGTTTGCATGGGGCAAGAACTGAAAACCCCAAACTAATAGTCAAATTAAAGTTACAAAAGCATACCTCACTAAAAATCACTAAAAATCTGACAAAAAGCATAAATAGTTTGTACCTTTTGGCTTGAATAACTTATTTATCACGATTGCTATCAGTTAACTACCTCTTCTAAAATTCACTGTTTTGGAGCTTAAAAGGTACAAGGTGAAATAAGTTACGATATGACTAGGCCAGGGGTCGGGGGTCCAAATGTTAAGAAGAGCCATTTTGTCCTTCCAACAAAAATCAAACCACCTTGGGAGCCACAACATCTGCGTCTTGCGTGTGTTACCCTTCAGAAATGCTTAGCAGCCAAAACATTTTATATCAGTATGTTAATTTACCTCACAAAGACCAATCATCAGCAAATTTCACTATAATTGTATCAGAATCTGGCATATAAATTCATAATCCGTGCACCCCTAATTGTCAGTCATAGTAGTGAGATCTGCTCTTGGTTCTTTATCTTTGTGCATGACTTTCCTGTAGGCATGCTCAATCATTTAGGCCGTGTACGGGTCAAACGACAAAACAGCGAAACACAAATTACACAGGGTGAGTGCACAGTTGTCTCATTTTACTAACACGTTTATTAACGTGTTAATTTAGTGTAGAACTGTTCTGTGTTTTTCTGCTGTGAGCTTTGAAATACTCATCTCAGGGAAATGCTTGTAATGTTCAGTTTCACTAAAATTGGGTCTGTAATTCATTTACAGTCACGACCTCTACAAATGCACGAGAATTCCTCTCCACTGCAGGTAAGTGTATAAACTACTGTGACAACATTTTATAGAATCAAACTTTTTCCATTAGATAGGACATCACTCGCTCTGTGTTTGATGTCTATTCATGTACGTTCACCTCTCTATGTTTCTCTTCTTATGCCCCTGTCCTTTTCTCTCAGCTCCATTTCTCTCCACACTGGCCCTGATCTCTACTACAGTGAGTTCACCTCCACAGCAAGGTCAGTGAGCAATGGGAGCCATTGTACTGTGCTGCTGGCAGGCTTGACATTTGCGTTGGTGTTTGTGTGAGTGTGTGTGTGTGTGGGTGTGTGTGGTGGGGGTGGATGTGCAGGCAAATGATTGTCTCACACTTCATGTAACATCCATACAGTCTCTTTAACATTTTGTAGTTAGCCTGACAGCTAAGGCTATGACTATGATTTTGTATCTATTAACACAATCTTTGCTTTTAATCATTAGCAGATACTACAGCTACTACTCCACCTACAAGTGCTACTGCTACTACTACCGCTACATCTACACCTACTACCAGAGCTGTCACAACAGCTACTACTGTTGCAACTAACCCTACAACCACTAGTCCTACTACCACTGCTACGCCACCTACAACTGGTGCTACTAGTTCCACTACATCTACTTCTACTAAGATAGGTCCCACCACAAATAGTACTGCTGAAGCTAAAGCAACCACCACAACTACTACGACCACACCTACAACTGTTACTCCTAGCACTACTACATCTACTCCTGCGATCACCACAGGTACTACTTTTGCAGCCTCTCCTGCAGCCATACCTACTACCACAACTACAGCTTCGCCTACAACTGCTACTCCTAGCACTACTTCATCTACACCTACAACCATAGCTGCCACAATAAACACTACTGGTGTTGCCACTACAGCAATGACAACCACCACAACAAGTCCAACTACTACAGCCACCACCACATTTAGAAGTACACCTACAACTACTACTACTACTACTACTTCTACCCCTTCTAGCATATCTACCACCACAACTACAAGTCCACCTACACCTGTTACTCCTAGTATTACTGCATCTACTCCTACTACCATAGCTACAACCACAACTGCTCCACCTACACCTGTTACTCCTAGTATTACTGCATCTACTCCTACTACCATATCTACAACCACAACTGCTCCACCGACACCTGTTACTCCTAGTATTACTGCATCTACTCCTACTACCATAGCTACAACCACAACTGCTCCACCTACACCTGTTACTCCTAGTATTACTGCATCTACTCCTACTACCATAGCTACAACCACAACTGCTCCACCTACACCTGTTACTCCTAGTATTACTGCATCTACTCCTACTACCATATCTACAACCACAACTGCTCCACCTACACCTGTTACTCCTAGTATTACTGCATCTACTCCTACTACCATAGCTACAACCACAACTGCTCCACCTACACCTGTTACTCCTAGTATTACTGCATCTACTCCTACTACCATATCTACAACCACAACTGCTCCACCTACACCTGTTACTCCTAGTATTACTGCATCTACTCCTACTACCATAGCTACAACCACAACTGCTCCACCTACACCTGTTACTCCTAGTATTACTGCATCTACTCCTACTACCATATCTACAACCACAACTGCTCCACGACACCTCTACTCCAGTACTGCTGCATCTACTCCTACTACCATAGCTACCACCACAACTGTCCACCTACACCTGTTACTCCTAGTATTACTGCATCTACTCCTACTACCATAGCTACAACCCACAACTGCTCCACCTACACCTGTTACTCCTAGTATTACTGCATCTACTCCTACTACCATAGCTACAACCACAACTGCTCCACCTACACCTGTTACTCCTAGTATTACTGCATCTACTCCTACTACCATATCTACAACCACAACCACAACTTCTACTACTGTAGCTACCACTACATCCACAGCTCCACCTGCAACTGCGACTACACCTACTACTTCTACTCCTTCTACCATATCTACCACCACAACTACAAGTCCACCTACACCTGTTACTCCTAGTATTACTGCATCTACTCCCACTACCATAGCTACAACCCCAACCACGACTTCTACTACTGTAGCTACCACTACATCCACAGCTCCACCTACAACTGTGACTACTACTACTACCACTGCTCCTTCTACCATATCTACCACCACAACTGCTCCACCTACACCTGTTACTCCTAGTATTACTGCATCTACTCCTACTACCATAGCTACCAGCCCAACCACAACTTCTACTACTGTAGCTACGACTACAACCATAGCTCCACCTACACCTGCTACTACTACTACTATTACTTCCACACCTATTACAATAGCTACCATCACACTTACAAACCCAACTACTACAACTACCACCACAGCTACAGGTCCACTTACAGCTGCTACTACCAGTACTACTGCATCTTCTCCTGCTACCACTGCAACTACAGCTGCACCTACAGCTGCTAGTGCTACTACTACATCTTCTCCCATTACCACAGATATCACAACTACAGCTGCTGCTACCACTACTATCATACATACAACATCTACCACTACCTTTTTTCCTGCCTCGTCCAGTGCACCCAGCACTTACCTTACAACTATGTCCGCCCTGCAAACCACAGCCATGTCCAAAACAGCAGATACAGTCTATAGCTCCACAGGTAATGGCCAGCCCAGTAGCTAGATAGGCCTCACTGCTTCTGGAAGTTCAGTGGTCCACATGTTTGCACTTATATGTCTTTCTCCTACAGCAGCGAGCCCAGGGGGCCATGAGGAATCAACCGTTATCACCACAATCCATCCCACCACGGCAGCATCTACTCGACTGAACTCATCTTACCTCTCTCTAATAACAGTAGCCCCCACCACTCTCACCGTAAACCAGACTGCATTCAACACTTTATCCACAGGTATGTAACTGTTAACCTGAATGCTCTCAATGTCTTAAAGTTCAAAGAGAAAAAAACAGGAAGGGTGTTCTTAGGCACAATGTGAAGCGGAGTGCCTAAAACTTCCTTCCTTGTGATAAAAAACGCACAGCCTCAAGTGGCTTATTGCTTTTATAAAGCAGCAGCCAACATAAAAGATAAGATACACACTTTTTCAGAAAATAATGTTATTATTAATAACATTAAATTAAATGTTATTATTAATAATAATCGGCATAAGCAAGTGTTCCGCCAAGAAATGTAGTTCCAACCATGGACTGCTGATTGAGGAGAACGTTTGGTCTCCCGTCTCTGTATACTGCGGTCATTTTATTACTTTTTTTACTTTTTGTCGTGTAACAATGAACATATAATAACACGGCGCTATTTAATGCAAAAATCTTTGCTTTATAAGTACTTTTTGGTCACCAAATTACCACCACAAGTCTTATTTGGCACCAATCCAGCGGCGCCCTCTTCTCACACTGGCTTGAATCTTAAACGGCTCCCTGCTCCCTACAAAGTGCACTACATAGGAGTTTAAATACTGGATCCTGCAGCCCGACGGTGCATAATATTGCTAAGACATAGTCATTTGGGACTCAGCCACATCCATGCTCAACAAATGATGCGCTATTTGGTTGTAGAGGGTAGAACATCTACACTTTCATAGCTAGCACACTATTTAGGGAGTATGGGGTTGTTCAGGATTCAGCCTGGGTTTGACGCTACTTATGACTGAAACACGAACATTTGAAGTGTGTAAGCCATTGAAGTGACATTCTTTAGACTTTTATACTGCCGTGCACTACAGTGTCCTACTAGAAATGCATTGTTGGTTGTTGAACTCCTGGCTAGCTCACCAAACTATAGAATCATTTTTGTCCATTTTTGACTGCACACAGTATACATAGTTTTAAAGGGCTCATATCACAGAAAAGTAATAATTCCTCACTTTTTTAACAAGAACAGTATGTAGTGTTTAAACACGGTTAAAGTTTCAAAACGTGTTACTGACTCCATAGTCCATTTTGTCCATATATGGAAATTAAGCCGCAGTTATGAATGCAGCAGTGTCTTTTTTTGTGATGTGTTGGAATCCAATGCATCTACATATCTATAAATAAACAGGAAAAACCTTCTACAAAAGTATTTTGATGTCATGGTTTTTCTGATGTCACAGAAACCAAAACATTTACCTGTTTGGCCTGTAGCAGTTTAGCTGAACAGAGATCATTTACATATATCAGTTTAAGAGGTACTATAACTAAAACAGCCTGTTTGATTTGATTCTAAGGGATAAAAGAGAGGTTGAAAAATGGTCACATTATAGTGAATTATATGACTGCATTTGGTACATAAAGCCGTACAAGTATCATAAATGGACCCCAGGGAAAAAATACATTTCAAAAAATGTGAAGAAGTTCAAAACAGATATATAGAGATTAGAGACCTTATCTGCAAATCTATGAGTTCATGAGATTGTTATTATAATGTAAACAGAGTTAATTCCTTTTATCTAATCATAAGAGAACAGCTAACATATACCCAACAATAATGAACAGTAAGGCCCAATCCCATTTCACCCCTCGCCCCTACCACCTAGCCCGTAGCTCTTCGTTCTGGGTGTTCACACCTAGGTAAGGTGTCCCGATTTTTGTTGAGATAGAGGGGTAGGGCGAAGAGTTAGGGCTACATGGCCCTCCAAACGGAGGTTTTTCAGAGACACACTCCAAACGGAGTGTCATGAGAAAAAAAGAAAAACCGACAAGATGGCTGCACGAGTGACCAGAAAAACGCACAGATGTTAATATTTTCTCAGTTAAAAATTACAATAACCATTGTATTATCTTAGTTTAATGATGTTGTAATGTATTATGGTCCTTTTCTTCATTACAAGCATAAAAAATTGCTAATAGTACGCTAATGTTTTGGTAGATGGCTTGCTAGATTTCCCTTTCCACCTTAAATAGTCCAGCAGTACTGATGCCTGAAGCAGCAGAATGTAACTGCTGCTCCATTTAAGGTGGAACAGGAAAATTCAAACAAGAAGCTGGCGAATAGCTGACTTAAGCTTCATATCACCAAAGAATTAGGGGTGGGCGATAATAAATAAGTATCCCCACCTCTTTGAAGGCATATGATGCCCTAAATATAACTAAAGCCCAGCAGTGAGGTTGCTGAACTTTACCCTCCTCTGCTATCACTGCAGACTGGCAGTGTCGCCTACAGAGCAGCGCTAGTAGCTGTTAATGAAGTAATGTTCTTTTTATTTGAGGGTCCCATTTCAGAGGGAAGATTTCAACCACTACCTCTTGTTACTCAGTTCCAAGGGGCAAGGTGACACTCGAAAACAAGGGGTAGGGGTGAATATAAGAAATGGGATTGGGCCTAAGTATCAAAACAGCAAAGGCCTTTAAAGCTCTTTAAAAATGCAATCTTACCCTTTCCAGATTCGACAGTGGTGGTGCAGTGCAACCTTTCCCAGTTCTGCGACAACAAAAGTAAGCAAACGAGGCCAATCTTAGTAAAATAGTGCTCTTCATATTTATTCTTTGCCTCAACATTAAATTCAAAACTCTGCTCTCGATCTCTCTGTAGCGTCATACTACTGGATGTTTGTCAGTGTTGAGGTGGCAGTGGAAGGATCCACTAAGAGTGAGCAAGATGTCCAGGCCTGGGTAAGTACACATTAATAGTTCTTCACAAAGCAGCCTTTTGTGTTGAAACTCTTGTTTTACTCTATCGGTCTGTTTCATCCCTCTCTTATCAGGTTTCAGAACTTTTCAGGTCTGAATGTGATCTTGGGGATCTGATGCAAAGCTCATCAACCACATTAGCCACATATTCAAAAAACATATCAGATGGAATTACAACAGGAACAGCAAGCACTTCAACTTCATGCCAGAAAAACTCCACAGTCGCACTGCAGGTGACTGTTGCTGACATGGAACATGTTTAAAGTTTAATCTTACAATGTGTGATTAAAATGAAATGTAATTTGAAGTGTTTTGTCTTCATTACAGGACATTAGCGTGGACTGTGAAGATAAGAAAAATTTCACGTATGTCGTAAATATAAACATTAAAACTGTAGAAAAATAATTTCATATGAAATATTGAGGATGGAGCTTGTGTGTCATTCTGTAGTCGGCTTCATGTCTGTATTAGGATCTCCAGATCTAAGCTGGTTTTCTGTTTGAGACAAATGAATGGCATTTTCGAATATTGGTGCTCACATGCCCAGTGGCAAAGAAAAACGTCCCAAAGCTGATATGTTTTGCAGTACCAACTTTTCTCCTTTGAAAGTTGCCAGATCCACAGAGTTACGAAGTCATTAAGAATCCGAAGTACGACTATTGCTACATGCAAGCTAAAACTGCAGCGCACTGAATGGACATCATAAGACTGGCACCTCGCCAAAATACCCCATGCAAACCAGCAGGCTTTGTCAAATGTGGCAGTCTTGGCAGTAGAAGGCTACAGTCTGAGTAGCTGATAATATATAAAATAAAGTGACCAGATATTTGAGATGAATACCGGGGACGTTTCCAGTTGGACAGTCTGTATATCATTAAAATATCCAATGTTTTTATGTATGAAATGAAAAAGGAAAGCACAGTTCCAATGTCATGTATTTTGTCCATGGTAATTTTTGTACTATAATAAACTATAGTCAAGGCTGACAGATAAGATTGGGTACTATGTAAGTAATTTGTCAGAGGTTGTATAAACCTGTAATTCATATTCAGATTAAATAACAATGAAAAAATGAAATACAGAAAAAAGACCCATTGCTAAAGCCCAATGGCCAGACCCTAAGCACACCCCTAAACACACGTAGCTCCAGTTCTGCAGAGACAGACGGCGGCTATCAACATATGCCTTTTGTCATATATGGATGGCTGAAAAAGTGAAGCAGTTTAAAAAAAAATTATGCACTATTTTTTTTAACATTCAAGAACATTGTATGCCTGTACAAATCAAATCACCTATCACCTGGTAGTACGATTCAAGTCCCATAACCCCACCCCTGCTTTTAATCCCTGGGTTACCTTGTGTCTTGACAAGATATTTGTGGTTATGTTGTGGATGCTATTGACACTTGCTAGCTTCTGATCGTGGGAAAGGCTCCAGCCAGGGACAGGCCACCAAATACAGGGACTGTCCCCAAAAACAGGGATGTCTGGTCACCCTAGTATAAAAGTGTTGCTTAATACTAGACTTACTTTCACGTGATGTTTTCAGTGCTAGCTTGCTTGTAGCATAAATGTAGCAATATTTATATTTCGACTGCTTAATTGTTATGGAATTCCGAGGATCCAGTGGCTTGAAAAGGTCGGCACCCCACTATCTGTATGCCACTGGATCCTCTGTATGCCACTGCTGGTCTACCTCCGGACCACCCATTTTATTGTCTTACCCGTACAAGGTCCAACTAGTTTTCTAACAGATTTTCAATTCACACAGCCTTTTATTTTGGAAAATTATTTTTGGAGAATAAACTAAGCCAAATATTACAAACAACTGAAATGAATGTCTATGTCTAGTATAAAATGAATCGGATGCTGACACTGTGCTAAATTAAAAGTATTTACTGAACTAATTTACAATTATAATGAAAGAAAGAAATGAAGGAAAAATAAGTGAACTGGACTGAAAGTGAAAAACGAGCGATGAAAAGTGGCTTTTTGTCTAATACTCTGCTTAACCACCAGTAGGCCTCCCGGAAAATGCTGAGCAAAAACACAGCTTTTTTATCAGCAGGCCAACAGTGGCCCACCATCCTCTTGCCTTCTGGGTCAGGACGAAATGTGACTCGACAAGATTTTTTAAAACCCCATTTATTTTTCTCATGGAGAAAATCTACTTAGACCTGAAGTTCCTAACATGGGCACAAAAGCGACTACAGAATGACACCAACTTTAGAGGTCAGTTATCGTACTAGCCATAAGCAGTAACCAGCTAACTCTCTGCTTCCCTCTTCATTACAGGAAGACTAACTGCACTGTGCTGATTCAGTTAAACCAGCCCACAGACACATGCTCCATGAGGCAGCTCCTCCAGAACAGAAGCAGAGAATCTTCTTTACATGCTAAATTAATGGGGGAGGTGGAAAGAGTGGGTAGGTGAGACCAGAGATGGTCTTGAATCTAATAAATTATTCATGCAGTTTATGAAGAGGCTCTGAGTAAGAGGTGATCAATCATCTACCAATCACCCACAATAATGCTTGGGTCGAATGGGCCATTGATTATGCACTGCTGCAGCACTCAGTAATTTGTCTCTGTAGGAAAAAACCTCTGCGTGGATGAGAACATGTTGCCCCCTGGAGATGGCTTTGTGTACTGCAACTCCTCCTTGCCTTCCTCTGAAGTCTGCCAGGCTAAGAAACCAGTCAACGTCACATGGTATGACATATGTTCTTCATGTTCTCCCATTTACTTGTGCAAGACGTCACTGAGACCTAACTGCTGCCTAATGTTTTCTCCACCAGCTCATATGAGAAGAAGAGCTTCACCCCTCGTGTCCTGAATGAGGCTCAAGCACAGCCCTGTGACAGTGAGTATTAACCATGGGACCAAGCACCTTTACCAAAGCTTTACCAAAGCTTTAGGTGTGAGCCTAAACTTTATACTATTGGTGGTCTCACTGCTGTTAAAGTGATAGATTGGCAAAAAGTCTGGTTTACACATTTTTCCCCTTGCCCCAAATGTATCAGTCAGCCAAGACATGTTTGTCAACTGAGATGTCCTTTGATTTTGCACTGAAGCTGGAGCTATGAGGTTAAAATAGCTAAAAAGTGATGGTAGCTTACACCTTGCCAATTACCATCATACAAACTGCATGCCTAAATAATTAAATACTGGTATCAATATGCATCAAGTTGTTAAGTAATATCAAATAGACTTGCTTATGTGGTTTCTAACACTGTATGACATATTGTTATCCATAAAAATAAACAAAGGTCCACTGCTGAAAACAGTAGTAGCAACCATTTTGAACAGTGACGTTTGTCCATGTACACTGATCTATAACCAGGTTAGATTATAGGTAAGTGTGTATCATAAAGCATCAGAAACCACGTAAGTACGGAGCCTTGCTTTCTAAATACTGTATAAATAAAAATAATGCGTGGCCACGGCGTATTAACATGTGAGAATGACATCCTAATGCGTGGCCATGACTTAATAAGGCAGAGTGAACGAGATCATCGTACCTTTATAAGCTGTGTCCAGGGCTAAATTATCTCATTCCCATGCCTTACTACGTCTTGGCCACACATTAGGCAAGGCAAGGAAAGGCAAATTCATTTATATAGCACCTTTCAAACACTGCTGTCATTCAAAGTGCTTCACAAATGAGAAAATTCAGAGTCAGAGTTGTTTTAAAAAAGTGAGGTAAATGCGAATAGAAAAACATTAAAACAACATTAAAAACATGATTAAAACAAATTTAAAAGAGGAAATCATTACATTAAAAATCAAATTAGAAATTAAATTAGTATAGTTAAATAATCAAACTAAAACCTAAAAGTCAGATTAAGATTAAAAAAGTGCCGTTACGGAGGAAAAAGAATCTCTTTCTCATGCCTTACTAAGTTACTTAATTATTTTATTCCCATGATTTACTAAGTCGCGGCCACGCATTATTATTATTTGTACGGTATGTCACCATCAGGGCTCTGTTCATAAGCGAGACTGTATGAGTTTTTGACATTTAGGCTTGCAGTTTGCACAGTGCTACAGTTGTATGCAAAAGTTTGGGTGCTGCTGGTCAAATTCCATGTCCTGCTGCTTTTCTAAGTGAAAGTAACTTAACACATCCTCTAAAGAGAACACACTTCCGCACATTGAAATGCACAATTACTGTTTATTTGCTGAATTTAACATGTTGGAAAACAAAAATGTGGCCTGTGCGGAAGTGGCACATATATGTCTTATGTTTTTTCAATTTCTCCTATGTGTTAAACTAGAAAAAAATACAAAGTATGCTAAATTATATAAAAATATATAAATACACTAAAATTTGCAGACACATTTTATAGTTTGCTAGAGGATGTTTTAACTTACTTTCAATTCTGAAATGAACATATAATTTGAGTGTGTGTATAAACTTTTACATATAACTGTAACTAGTGAGGTATATGCTTTAGATTAGCTTTGGACTAGTAGATCCAGTGCAAAATTAATGAAGGAAACTTTGGGCACCAAATATGTCTTGACTTATTGACTACATTTGGGGTAACCGGAAAGTTGTGTAAGTTTGATTCTCTTTCCCCAACTTGAGCTGTCATGCAGTGTTCACTCCTGTCCTCTCTGTCTTAGATAACACACAGAACCAGTGCAGCTGTAGCAGATTCTGTAGCGACTCAGGTGAGAATACATTTAGGAGTTATCTTTGGCATGTTTGTAGCTTGTGTTTGCAATTCTGACTCTATGTTGTGCTTTCTCACCACTTTCAGGAGCATTTTATGCATTTAGCCTGAACATCAACAGTCCTGATGTTACGTTTGACGATGTGAAGAACACAGTGAGTACATAATGAGAAGACATAGACATACAGTAGAGTGAAAAAGGTGGAAACTTTAAATGAGATAAATAAATGAGAAACAAATTTTACATCTTATTTGACGTTCTGTTTTCTTGAACCCACTAGATTACGCAGCTGGATTGTCCCTGCAACTCAACCATCCTCCCGTATGTACCCCCCTCAGAGACCACCAGTCTATAGCATTTTCTATGCATACTTTTATCAGAGCATCCTACTGATCTGTGTAATGATGTTCCTTTATTACAGTTTTCTCTGTAATGTTTCCAGTCACTATAAGGTAAATCTTTATTGCTGTTCGTTGTGCTCCACACTGCTACCACTGAAATGCTTCCTGTTCTTGTTGCTGCCTATGTTTCCTGAGAGCCTGTTTTTGTTTGACTGCAGGGTGTGCACATACAGTGTCACGGTGATGGAACAAGGTAATCTTTAGATGGCTAGTCTGTGTGTATGTGTGTCATCTAGCCCCATTCTGACAAATAAGGCTTTCAGAATGATCATTTGAAAAATTCTTATTAAAAACGATATGATGTGCGATTTTGTGTGTGTAAGAATCTGTTCAATGCGTTGATATTTGTTTCATATCTTTCATAATTGTGTTTATTAATTTTTAAGCAAATTATCAATTTTACTGCCCAGAAAAAGTCAGGTGGCACAACCACACATTAATAAAAAAAAAAATGATTTTTAAATTTACAGCTACTGAAAACCACTCTTTGTTTTTGGACACTTGTATAAGCGTTTGCTATTTATTTTTCAAATAAATAAACATTATAATATTACTAAGATAACTTTCATGGGGTCACACCACCTGACATGGTAAGCTGATCCAGCCTAACCATGACTCAAAAACCGCACCATTAAGGTCACTTGGGGTCTTCCTTCTGGTGCAGTATCCTGCCCGCTCCTTCTTAAAAGCATATCATGATAAAAGACCTTTTTTGTCGGTTGTGCCGCATGACATTGTGCAACGTGTCATAATTTTAAAGCTTTCAAACATAAAACTGTGCCAAACTGTTGTATTTAGAATTGTATATAACTTAATTATCCTTTTTATAGTTTACATAATCTATATATTTTTAGACTTTGGCAGGTATAAAAACCTAAAATGAATTTTGTTTTTGTTGTTTGAAAATCTCTTTGACCCTCTGGTAAAACAAAAATGATCATTGTCTCTCAGGTTGTATAGCTGTTTAGTAGCACTGCAGCTCAGTCAGCTTCTAGATCTGTGTTCAGTCAGTGAAGTCCTGGCAGCCCTATTCCAGTCCAGCACCTTCATCACCTATGATGGCATCCTCACTAGATTAGGTAAGTGTTGAAATATCACGCTCATAAATATGCCTTGCTAACAGTCTCGAAAATTAATGTTTCTAAATGGCTCATGGCTTGGCACATGATTTATGAGCCATAATTGGCATAGAAGTTACATTATTTGAAGGTTAAACTTCACTCTCATTTACAAACATAGTTTTTCACAGAACCTTCCAATGAAAGGAACCAAAAGTGGTTCTTGTATGGCACCACTCCAAAGGCCTTTGAGTAGTGAGCCTCAAATCAATCAATCAATCAATAAATCAATCAGTCGGCCTTTATTTACACTCCGAGTACATTGTGGGTGACCCTCATTTACAGTGCAGCCAAGCCAAAACAGAAATCAGGGATTAAAAAACTAGACTGTAAAACTTATCAGTGTTTTGCACAGCTGAAGTCATTCTTACTCTCTTTTTCTACTCAGCTCTGTGTGGTTCGCCCGGTGATTCTGCATATAGCCTGTTAAACTCAAATTTCACCTGGGTCTCTGCAAACATCAGTGCTGAACAGATGTGCACACTGAGCCAGTTCTCCCTCACCACTCAGTTTACATGGTAAGTGCTGCTGACACATGAATAGCCATGGATCTTTTAGCTTTTGAGCTATGCAGCCAAATCCACAGTACTGAACTAACTCATGCAGTGTTCTCTTTAAAACCTGTCATTGCTCGCCCTTAAATGCATACCTTGAGGCGCTACACTGGAAAAAATGATGCATTGAATTGACTTATGATGTACACACTGAACTGTGTACGTTATTTCAACATGGATAAAACGTGTTGCATTAACACAGCTGATGTAATATATTTTTTCAGTATAAAAAAAATACTCAACCCCCACCTTCTCATCTTTTTTTCTCAGATAAATGACAAAATATCAGAACATGTTAAAATGTGTTTTATTCTGTTATTTTGTTATTGCCAATAAAATATTTTTACATTTTGGTACTCACTGGGTCACCATAGTTTGAGAATAAACACTGTGGTGTTAATTCAGTATTGAGGATTTTGCTGTGTATGTTTTTCACATGTTCATAATAGTTTCTAAACCATTTTTTGAGGATGTTAAAGGAGAAAATTTGTTTGTTTTTCTACAGTGGCATAGGTCAGGTGCTGTCTGTGCTTCTTAATGAGAGCTGTACTGTTGGACGTTTTAAGACTGGAACCAGCCCAAGCCAAACACCAAGCGTCCCACCCCGCACCGGTGCCATTTCCCCAGCTGAAATGGGCTTAGAACAAAATGCTACTTCTTCTAAAATAACAGCCAACTCAGTGAACATCCAGTCAAACAGCACATTCACACCTTTAGATCCTATAGTTACACCAGTTGGTCCTACAGCAACAACAGCTACACCGTCCACTGTGGTTGCACCAATCAATGGCACATTCATAAAACCCAATGCTACAATGTCATCTCTCAATGCAACAGTCACATTATCTAATACGGTTACACCATTCAATACTACACTCACACCAGTCGATCCTATAGTGACATCTTTTAATGTAACAGCTAATTCATCCAGTTCTGTGGTTTCATCAATCAATAGTACAGGCGTAGAACCCAATGCTACAGCGTCCTCTCCCAGTACAACAGTAACTTTATCTAGTACAGTGACACCATTCAATACTTCACTCACACCAGTCGATCCTGTAGTGACACCTTTTAATGTAACACCTAATTCATCCAGTTCTGTGGTTTCATCAATCAATAGTACAGGCGTAGAACCCAATGCTACAACGTTCTCTCCCAGTACAACAGTAACTTTATCTAGTACCGTCACACCATTCAATAACACAGTCACACCATTCAGTCCTGTAGTAACACCTTTTAATTTAACAGCTAATTTATCCAGTTCTGTGGTTGCATCAATCAATAGTACAGGCTTAGAACCCAGTTCTACAGTGACATCTTCCAGTACAACAATAACTTTATCTAGTACAGTGACACCATTCAATAATACAATCACACCATTCAGTCCTTTAGTGGCACCTTTTAATACAACAGCTATTTTATCCAGTTCTGTGGTTGCATCAATCAATAGTACAGGCGTAGAACCCAATGCTACAACGTTCTCTCCCAGTACAACAGTAACTTTATCTAGTACAGTTACACCATTGCATACTACAGACACAGCTAATATTACAGACACACCATTTGATTCTACAGCTTCACTCAGTAGTGCACACACTACCTTTAGCACACCATACAATACAACAGTCATGCAGATCAATGAAACAGTATCACCACATACAATGCAGCATAATACGACAGGCTTACAACAAATCTCTACACGATATGAAACACATGCGAATGTAACACAAGTGAACACAACCGTTTCTACGGTTCTCAGTGCAGATTCTAGCTCTCTACTCAGTACACACTTTAATACGACAACAACGACACAAAATACATTACACCTCAATACAACGACCCCTCTATATAACATTACACAGCTTAGCACAGCAGACACAACACAGTTTAGCACAAAAGTCTCAGAAAACACAACACATTTTGGCACAACAGATCTTTCTCAAAATATTTCAAACTCAAATGCAACAGCCCGTGATCTAAACACAACCCTGCCACATACTACTGCGCAGTCTGCGAACACAACACAGTACAATACAGCAGCACCTCTGAACGCAACTACTTTCAGCACTGCCAAACCATCCTGGAGCGCAACACAGCCTCAAACAGCTACAAATGCAACTGCATCAGTGAATATAACACATCCGACCACCACAAGCACATCAATTTACACAACACACCATCAAAACACAACAGCATCAGTGAACACAGCATATCTTAACAACACAAATTTACCACTTTACACAACAGCATCACTGCAAAATACAAATGCAACAGCTTCTGGCAGTGTAACGCATACAAGCAGCACAAGCGCAAATGCCAGTTCACCAGTTTACACAACAACATCTTTCAGTAACATGACAGAATCAGCCGCATCGCTTGTTAGAAATGCAACAGCGGCAGTGGATATAACATACACTAATACCTCAAGCTCACCACTCAACACAACAGAGCATAATTCGACACATCTAAACACCACAAGCCAACCATTTTACACAACAGCATCATATCATAGCACAACAGAATTAAACACCACACTGCATGTTACAAATGCAACAGCGTCAGTGAGCGCAACACATCCAAACACTGCAACCTCAAATACTACAAGTTCACCACTTTATACAACAGTCTCATTTGGTAACGTGACAGAATCAATCGCCAATCCAAATGCTACAAGTGCACCAGCATCAGTCCATATAACCCAACCGTATAACGCAACAGTGAACGTCACAAGCTCCCAGTTTTACACCATGGAGAACACCACAAGCTCACTAATTTACACAACAGGCCATCACAATGCAACAGTGAACACAACACATCCAAACACCCCAAGTTCACCACTTTCATCGGCATCCAACGCTACACTAAATATTACAACTGCAACAGCATCAGTAAATATAACGCAGCCCAACGCCACAAGGCCACAACTTTACACAACAGCAAATCCCACAAGCCCACCATCGTACACAATAGAGAACACCACACAACCGAACACCACAATAAATCAGCTCAACTTCACAATCTTTACTGCAATAAGCACAACACAAACTGCTCAGGAGAACACTACACAGTTTAACACATCAGCTTTAGTGCTAAATGTTACAACTCTTAACACAAGAGACTTCACACACAATACAACAGTACACCCGCTAAACACAACAGAATTCAATACAACGTTAAATCCATTGAACTCAACAGTGATCAAAACCACAGCACCCCAAAATGCAACACAACATAACAAAACAGACAGTTTTAACGCAATACAATCCAATGACACAACTTCAGTACCTCCCACAACATGGACCAACACCACAGAAATGGTGAATTTCACCACAGAGGTCAATTTAGAACAAAACACCACCGCTAGTACCCTTAACACAACACAATTTGATATCAGAAGCATGATACAGAATACTACACTGGACAATGCTCACATTAACAACATCACATCAGATACCACAACCACAGTAAACATGACCAACCTCATCGATAAAGATGGTTCTGCCGCACCCAATACGACATCAAGTCCTTCCATTAGCTTGGCCATCTTGGCCAGTAACACTACAGGTACTGCAAATAATGCAACATCCAGCCCAGACAGCATCTCAGAGGCCCAGTCCAGCTCGACCACCTCTGACAAGGTCTTGACAACCTTGGGTACTACTGTGGTCACCAGTACAGAGACTACAAAAAGAAGTACTACTGCCATAACGGAAGCCGGTGCAGGCCCCCCAAGCACTACATCAGGTGGTGCTCCTGTTCCTCCTCAACCAGCAGTGCAGACCACCACTACTACCACCACTACAAAAACAGGTAAGATCACAGTGGAATTGAATTTAGAACCAGTGACCAAGTGTGCTTGCATACAGAGGAATTAGACCTCTGCATTTTACCCATCTGTGCAGTGACACACCCACATACATGCACACTAGTGAACACACACACTAGGGGGCAGTGAGCACACTTGGCCGGAGTGGTGGGCAGCCGTATCCATGGCGCCTGGGGAGCAGTTGGGGGTTAGGTGCCTTGCTGAAGGTTGCTTCAGTCATGTCCTGTCGGCTCAGGGGATCGAACCAACAACCTTCCAGTCACAAGGCTGGTTCCCTAACCTCCAGCCCTGTTGCTAGGATTGGTGTTTATGAAATAACAAAAGTCACACTATTAAGACAGATCAGATATAGTTTTTTGTACTGTAATGAAGCTAAAGTTAGCATGGTAGCAGATCCATTGTTGTTCTTTCCAGCCTACATATCTACAAGAACATAATCCAGTAGAGAAGCATTTTAATGTTATATAGCGACTCTAAACATTCAGTTGGATGCCAACATTCTGAAAAGCCTGCCCAACCTAGCAACAGTTGCTATGAACAAACATGTTTGTGGTCAATTCACTTGTAAAGTTTTAAAAATGCTCCATTCACAGCTCAGTCCATATAGTCCATATCTCTAAAATAAGCTGCATAAACAGCCTGATTTGAATTCATTGGTTGTGTGATGTCATGAAAACCTTCACATTTACATATATCTACCTATTCAGCCTACGGCAGTTTAGAACTGCTCATTCCCAGCAAACACACAACATTGTCACAACGTTGTCTGCTTTCTTACAATGTTGCTACAACGTTGTCAAAAGGTGGTGGTGTTTACATTGTCTAAACAAGGTCATCACAACGTCACCACGACCTCATTATTCAGTAACGTTGCCGTATGGTGTTATGACTACCTGTTGGCAACTTAGCAAAATTCCATGGAGTTCCATGCACAACCTAATGGACCCCATGAGGGTTCTAGGAGGTTGTGACAATGTACTGACAACGTCACCACTACGTGGTCACAATGTTGTCAGATACCGTTGTCACAACTTTCTGAGGAATTACAATGTTCAACTTCAACGTTGTAACAGCAGGTTGTCACAACGTTGTCACAGCGTAACTGTGTTTGCTGTGCTTATGCTGCAGTAATAAGGAGAGTTTCAGGCTGCACACTACAGGGCAGTCATTCACAACAGAGGTCATTTACATATATCAGTTTTAAAGGCACAGTAACAAACAGCCTGTTCAGTTTTAAGGGATTAAAGGAAATGTAAAAAATGGTAATAAAGGGTAATAAATGTAGAATATGGCCCTGGATATGTAGGATATGGCCCTGTTAAGCAAAGCTCTATTATGTGTACTGGGATCCACTACTCACATATGGCAGTAATAAGCTACAAAGTACACTGCCTGTCAAAGGTTTTTCGCCACGCAGCTTTTCAAAATGTTTTTTAATAAAAATGTGCATGTTTTTGTTGGCGGCTTGCAATAATCTAACACATTATAAAATAAGCAGGTTTATTTTAAGAAAAACAATACCACAACAGTTTTGAGAATAATATGAAAATACATGTATTCCAAGGAAGACATCTTCATGAACATGAAGCTGAGTGTTGCGAAATACATCAAAAGTGTATGCACATAGGCTTTTTATACTAAAATGGGAGTTTGCCAATTTTTTCTTAACTCCTTAACAAGTGATGGAGGGCCCAAAGTCTTATTACACAATTATAACCTAAGAATAACTCCATGGGTTGCATTGAAGTCCCTGTAATAATAAGCGTTTATATGTAATAAGCCTAGAATCAAAGCTGCACTATTTATTTGTTAAAACTGAAAGAAGTACACTCTTAAAAAGATGGTTCTTCGAGGGTTCTTTAGTAAAAACAGTGGTTCTATTTAGAACCATAAACACTTTGCAGGCACTTTGATAGAGAATATGTTGTATACGGGTCTATTTTTGAAAATGGTTCCATATAGCACCAAAAAGTGTTCTGCTATTGTTTTGTTGTCAAGCTTGTAACAATAGAAGAACTGTTTTTAGTGCTATAGAGAACCATTTTCAAAAAGGTTCTAAATAGAACCATATGCAGCACATTCTACATCAGTCTGAGGAATGATTTCTCACTGCAAAGATCCATTTAAGCATGCAAATGGTTCTTTGAGTGTTGATGGTTCTACACTGTAAAAATGGTATCTTGTCAAGTAAAATTATCTTATAGTCAATAAATGTAATATTTCTCCTGTTGAGATTGTTGTAAACTTAATTTATTTAACTAATTTCTAGACATTTTTACTTGTTTTAAGTGATTTTATTAAGTAAGTGGATATTTTTGCTGGTTTCAAACACATTTCTTAAAACGAGCAAAATTATTTGCCAATATAATGAAATAATTTTAATAATAAAATTACTTAAAACAGGTAATAAATCTTACAACAATCTCAACAGGAGAAATATTAGATTCATTGAATAGATTGAAGATAATTTTACCTGACAAGAGACCTTTTTTGCAGTGTATATAGAACCACTGTCACCCTGTAAAGTCGTCTGCAAACTTTTGTCAGGAAGTGTGTAATAATCCAAATAATAAGAAGAATCTTTATTTACATCAACGAGTGCTTTACAAAGAAAGATTGGCGCAGCAAAGATAAAACATGGTTCAAATGAAGTAAACGCACAATTATAAAGTGTAGAAGAAGAAGAAAAGAGAGAATCGTTGCTCTCTGCCTATGAAATCATGAACAAATCTTTAAAAACCTCTGTTGAACTTGCGTGTTTCGATCTTGCATGTATGTGTGTGTTTAATTTTAATCTTTTACAACACATTGCAGAAACCACAACATCAGGTAGTCCTGAAGAATCGGCCAGTCAGCTACTAAACCAGACTCTGAACCAGGATATGTCCACCCTGAACGCCTCTCAGCTGGAACAGCTGGTCAACGGGGTGGAGAACCTGCTGTCTGGACCCAACATCAGCCTGGAACTGGGCCAGAAAGTGCTGTCTCTCATTGACCGCCTGCTCAGCAGTTCCACAGACGCTGTGGCCTCCTCCTCAAACCGGTAAGAGACGGAGACATCAGCATCCTCCACAGCTTCAGAACTGAAGAGCATGTGAAACAGAATGGTGAAATAATTGTTAAAAAGGTGGATGATATGGTTTATGATTAGCGTATGTTGTCGTTGTCAGCTTGATCAAGGCTGTGGACACGCTGGGGTTGAAGCTGCTCATTCGGGACAAGACAGAGAGCATAACAATGGCATCACTTGCTCTGATGGTGACAAAAATCGATGGAACCAACTTCATGGGAACATCATTCTCAATCGCAGATCCAGTGTCCTTCAGGTAAAGTACGACCCTCAAGTCTTATGCAGTGCACTCAGTTTTAACCCTCTGAACCCTAGACCTGTTATTCAGACTTATGACGTAGTAACTCGTTCATTTACTCAGTTCCACTTGAGTCATTTAGTCACTGAGTCACTCTGCTGTCGGTTCAGCACCTGGTGTACTTTCCTGTTGTTCACGTCTCTCACTTTTTATTATAGACCAAGAAAAGAATCGTAGCTAACAAATGTCATTTTCTAAGCCGAAAGATGCTGGTTGTTCTGAAAGATGTTCTAATGCAGTCCTTGAAAGAACTTAGTTCACCATGCTCTTTTTTTTTTAATGTGATATTTTTCTCCTATTCAAGTTTTTGCTGAGCTGTTTGAGCTTCTACTGAGGAAGAGTATTTTTACCTGATTGTGGGTTTAGGCTTCTACTGTGGAGTTAATTTTATGACAAAAGCTTCAAACAAAATAATAAAACCCACAATCAAAATATACAAAATGTCAAAAAATATGTTACCAATACAGAAAATGTGAGTAAATTAAAATGATTTTTTTCAAAATTATCAGTACCTTTTTTCACTCATTTTGATATAAATTTATTACACATCTTTGCCTTAATTTTGTTCTGTTTGCTGATTTTGCTGATATAATTTTTGCTTCTGGATTCGCTTTTTTTGCTTCTGACTTTTAGCACATTTTCACAGGGGGCTGGTCTTAGAAGAGGGTATTCACCTGCACTCTCTATTGGTCAACTGATTTAGAGTGACAGGTCTTCTGGCACTTAGTCATGTCCACTCTGTGACTCATGAATTGCCTAAACCATGGCAGAACTGAGTACTGAGTGCAGTACTGCACTGGTATATCTGACATTATGAGCAATGTTTGTCTTATTTCTTTTAAGCCCTTAAATGGCCAGTGTCCACCGGCAGGCCCAGAGATTTATTACACACATCTGTGACCTAAGAATAACGACTGTTTGGATTGAAGTCCCTGTAGTTACTGAATAAAAAGCCTTAGTATGTAATAAGTCTGGGATTTTAAAAGGTTAAACTGGTAAGGTAACATGTTTGGAATCGTGTGTACAAATAAAGTTTATCAATGTAAAATGTAAAAATGTATATAAATGTAAAATACAGTTATGTTAATAATAACATTAATAGAAACAAATGAAAGCAAAGGCAAAATGCGTAATAAATTTATATGAAAATGATTTTTTTTTGTATTTGCAAAATATTTTTGACATTTTGATACTCAGTAGTTTGCTTGTGGATTTTATTATTTTATTTAAAATATTTGGCACAGATTTAACTCCATATCCTACCCAAACAAGCTTTATTTAATAACCACAATGAAACTAATATGTAAGTTATGTAATGATGAGGTGTGGATCACATACAGACCCTTAGGGTTTAAGGTGTTAAATGTGACTCAGATCTGTCTGTGTCACTGAGAGGGGATTCTAAACTTTTCTCCTTCATTCTCAAGTCTCAAATTCTTTTAATTTTTTGGCACCTTTCATAAGACGGATTACATTTCATATTGAAATCTTATATCTAAAATGGAAACATTTTCACTTAGAAAATCAACAAAACATAATCTGATCTGGGGTGTTCAAACATTGGCACAGTTGTGTTTATACACTGTATTATCATTATTACTTTTATAATTGTAAATCACTTGAGAAGTAGCTTTTAAATACTGCATGTAAGGGAAGAAAGATGGTAAAGGAGGAGACATCAGCTGAAATCCTGTCTTCATGCTGCTCTGAATGTGTGTGTTTGTGTGTTTTGATGTGCAGGTTAACAGGAGGAGAAGAAGGTCTGCGAGTTCTAGTCTGGGTTCCATCTCCCTCCCTGCCTCTCTGACAGAAAACCTCTCCCTGGTAGAACAGCAGCAGGCTTCACGGGTTCAGTTCACCTTCTTCAGTAAGAGCACCCTGTTCCAGGTAAAGAAGAGTTGAAGAGCAGCACCGTTCGTTATCACAAACAATGCATCTTGTGTTAATATATGCAAATGTCCTCACTGTCATATTAAAACACAGAACCCATTTTTATTCTTTTTTTTACTTTTCACTATTTGAAAACTCCAGCTGGCTCTTCCATTGTGTGAACATTTCATAACAAATAGGACAAAAGAAATGATCCAAAATTACTAAAATCTTATTATATGTTTATATCAGTGGCGGCAGATGCTTTCTGACGTAGTGGAGGGACGGGTTCTAAAAATTTAATTGCAAAAAAAGAGGACTCATAAACTACTATTCAAACGTCTGGAATCACTCGTCATATTAGGTCAATGTTGTTTTATATTTAACAACAAATTCTTTAAAAGTAGCTTTAAATATAGTAAACTAGACAACAAAACATTTTATTTTTGGGAATGAAAAGAAATGATGACATGATAAACAGTGTAATGTAAATATCTATGTAGAAACAGTTTCTGTCAAGTAATCCACATTAATCAACACCACGCGAGGCATTCTGGATATGAATTTATTATAACTTCATTCTTGATGTTATAGAGATATATCAGTGTAAAGCTCTGTTCATCATTCTGGACACATCTAACAGTGGCTTTGTTCTTTCTTACAGATTCTCAGTTTCTTATTAATCATTGAAAAGCTGTGAAGGCACACATCACTAGCATGTTACATGTTTGAAAATAACTGCATTTTTATTGAAAAAAATGACTCAATGTTTGAATGGTAGAGTATCTACACTATATAGACAAAAATATTGGGACACACCTCCTAATTATTGAGTTTCAGGTGTATCAGCCACACCCATTGCTAACTCGAAACTAAGTCGAAACGCATTCTGTGGAATGATGAATGTCACCAGGAGAACGTAACCTGCCTGACTGCACTGTGCCATCTGTAAAGTTTGGTGGAGGAAAATAATGATACAGGGTTGATTATTAAGGGGTTGGCCTAGATCCCTTAGTTCCAGTGAAGGGAAATCTTGATGCTTCAGCAGATCAAGGCATTTTGGACAATTCTATGCTTCCAACTTCGTGTGAACAGTTTGTGGAAGAACCTTTTCTGTTCCAGTATGACTGAGACCCAATGTACAAAGCAAGGTCCATAAAGGCCTGGCTGGGTGAGTTTTGTATGAAAGAACTTGGACTGGCCCTCACAGAGCCCTGACCTCAACCCCATCAAACACCTTTAGGATGAACTAGAACGGAGATTGTGAGCCAGGCCCTCTCGTCCGACATCAGTGTCTGACCTCACAAATGCTCTTCTGGATGAATGGGCAAAAATTCCCACAGACACTCCAACATCTTGTAAAAAGCTTCCCAGAAGAGTGGAAGCTGTTGGAGCTGCAACGGGGGACCAACTCCATATTAATGCCTATGGATTTAGAATAGGATGTCATAAAAGCTTCTGTAGGTGTAATGTGTAGGTGTCCCAATACTTTTGTCCATATAGTGTATTTTACACCTGGATTGTCGAGAACTTACAGTGTCCGTCAGGCTGCTTCAGAAAGTAGCTATAGCTGCTGAGTTTCACTCACACAACAGCTTCATTTTTAAAATGGTGATGGCAAAATATTATAAAACCTGCAAATTATACCAAGACAGTGATGCTAATGCTAGTTTTCAAATGACTCTCCTGCAGCACTGAATACGTATTCAATGACAGACTATTTTTAATTTGAAATAATGTCAATCAGGCAAATTACAGTGTCATTTTTAGCAATAGGTTCTGTGACCATCAAACACAAAAGTCAGTCTTCCAGACCGGACCCAGAGTAATGTTGTAAAAGTCTACAGTCGAAAAAAACTTTTACCTTTGCTCCACTAAAACAGTGTATATTTGAATCTGCCATAAACTCACATTGAAGCGTGGCTGTGGGACGTGCTTCACTGGCTGCACAAACACAGTCATGCAGATTATGCTGTCTGTCTGACACTTTCTGTTGGTACATTCACCATGAAATGTTCACACAGTGCAGAGGGCAGCTGATGTTTTCAAATCATGTAAAAAAGTTTTTTTTAATAATAGGGACAATATGCAAAATGCAAGGCCCTTATCTTCTTTCATGTGCTTATTCATTGTTGCAGGAGAAAACACATGTTCCAGGAAAAAACCTGACGCTTAATAGTCATATTCTGGGGACGAGTGTAGCCAACCTGTCCATCAAGGGGCTGAGGGAGAACGTGGTATTCACTCTGAGGAATAAAGCGCCTGTAATAGTGAGTCCACTCACTCATACGCACACACTGTCTCTCTCTACACTGGTACCTTTCTCATTTCTCTTTCTTCTCCCACAGGGAAACCTGACCTGTGTTTTCTGGGACTTTCAAAAAAATCGTAAGTTAATCTGTTTCTCATCACTCAGATCATTTAAGGGTAAAAAACATAATATATTGTTATTTTTAGATATTTCTGATGAGATTAGAGATAAGATAATCCACCTGCTTAAGGAAGGAGTAAGTCAAAGGAAAATAAATGAGTTTCCAAAGCTGGAGTTCAAATTATTAAAACCCTAAAAAAAATATTAATAATTATTAAAAGCCTCCTAACAACCACCTGCAAGACCTGGTAGACATCAAAACTGACCCATCAGAGAGAAAATCAAGCTCCACACTTGCTTTAGATCTGAAAACATCCACAGGTGTTTCTGTCCATCCTTCCACTGTCAGAAGACAACTCAGCAATAGGGGTCTGAAAGTATGTGTAGCTGTTTTTTCAGCTCTTATTGAAAAAAATTAAATAGACAAAAAATATTTGCAAATTAAACAAAGAAGCTGATAGTGGTCTCAGAACAATGGACTGACCACCCTAGAGTCACTGAGTATGTTTGGGATTACTTGGATGATGAGAAGCAGAAAATGCAACCAACTTCTAGGACTGAACTTTGGAGGTATGGAAAAATATCCCTGCAGATTTCTTTGAAAAACTAAAAGCAAGATTCCTGAAAAGAATGGAAGCTGTAATGAAGGCAAGAGGTGGACGCACTAAATACTGGAAAAAAAAAATATATTACACTTTTAAAAAGATGGTTCTTCAATGGTTCTTTGGTAAAGAGAATCATTCTATATTGAACCATGAACACTCAAAGAACCCTTTCCATGATTAAACGTTTTTTGCATCATGAAAGGGTTCTTGCCATTAATGAAGAATGAATGTTCTTCTGTTGTTACAAGCTTGACATTGTAACAATACAAGAACCCTTTTTGGTGCTATATAGAACCCTTTTCAGAAAGGTTCTATTAGAACCATACACAACAGATTCTCCATCAATCTGAAGAACGATTTCATGATGCAAAACCCTGTAATCATGGAAAGGGTTCTTTGAGTGTTCATGGTTCAATATAGAATGATTCTCTTTACCAAAGAACCACTGAAGAACCATCCTTTTAAAAGTGTAATATAATTTTTATTATTCAATTAATTATCAAAATAATCTGTAGTTTCCTTGATTACTAACATAATCTATATGCTGCTGTAAATTAAGTTCATGTCTAAAGCCATTAATTATGTATGTAATTGTTATAATGTAAATGGGTTTTGCTCTCTGTAGAAGGATCAGGAGGCTGGAATAATGCTGGATGTGCAGTCATGAACACCAGCACAGAGAATGAGACCATGTGCAGCTGCAACCACCTGACTAGCTTTGCTGTGCTAATGGTGAGCAAGCATACGCTACTGTTCAAAACTTGTCATATTAACAATTTTTCTAGATTGTTATGCAGTGATCATTATACAGTGTAGATTTACATACTAAAAACTAACACCAAAACGTATTTTTAGATGTATTTTTCAGAACAATGATAAGTTTATAATGATAAATAACATACTGCAAGAAAGGTCCGTGTCACCTGACTTAGGGGTTAAGTTCACATCAAAGTTGACAAAAGCCGTCCTTTATGACAAACAACGCCAGTTGGAATTTATGTAGGTTTATGTCGGTTGTCATGATAAGCCTATATATGCTTCATATAGCCTTATGAACACTGCCCTACAGGGAAGTATTACCATTTTTGTTACACGACAAACAGTGACAAAGTGCAGAAGATTGGGTGAGTTTGGTATGTAAGTTCAGCAGAGATTGTGTTTTATACATATGTAAAGGACCTGTCCAGAGATGTGATCACTGACCCAGTGCAGGCCACCATCCTCACCTTCATCACTTACATCGGCTGTGGCGTCTCTGCCATCTTCCTTGCTGTCACTCTCCTCTCCTACCTGGCCTTTGAGTGAGTTAAACAGTCATTACACATTCTTTTCAATAATTCCAAAAAACACTCTCGCGTATGATTCTTTAACAAAACTGCTGCTGTATTAGCGTAATGTTCTCTTTGTATTTAATCATCATGGTATGGTTATGGTAACAGAATTGTTGCTACAGTACTGACACAGGGCATCACAGTGCCTGATACGAAATGATGGCAAAAAAATGATGAAAAAAAAAAAATGTATCTCTCATTTTTAATTCAGCCACTTTTTATTAATGGAAAAGTCACTTAAAATGGAAAACAAACAGAAAAGGTAAATAAATAATTAACATATGGCTTCATTCAAGATAAAGGGAAGGTTAACATACAATATAGCCAAATTATTATGTTACTGAATAAAACTTTTCATCTATACATTTCAAATGTGTTAATAAGAGGTCCATTTCAAATTAGCATGCACAGTTTGATTCTTCAATACACTCTGTTACTATCTAGTATTAAAATAGGGTTTTTTGGCTCATAACAATAGTGGAACCTTTATTGGTGAAGAATCATTTTTAAAATTCTTCTTTAAAGAACCATATACAGCTGGTTTTCCATCATAGAGAAGAACAGTCTGACCATGCAAAGAAGCATTTACACATTTAAATGGTTCTGAGTGTTCATAGTTCTATATAGAACCATCGCCTTTACTAAAGAACCCTCGAAAATTCCAACACACTAGCCAGGTTTTCATCCACAAATTTATATTTTGGCATATTGAATAAAAAAGATTCAGTGGAAACAAACATAGCAAATATAAAAGATTTTCTATGGTGAATCATGTTTTGGCCATAAAAAATGTGATAAATTATAATGGAAAAGCATTTTCCAGGTAAATAATGTAAATGAGAAGAAAATAAAATCATCTGACTTGGCATGTGTTTGTTTGGCCATAGCTACAACAATTAATAAATTAAAAAATATCTTTATTTTGTCAAAGAAAAAACATATCAGTGAAATTAGATGGTAAACAGACAGGCAGGGTGCAGACGGGTACCTGCCACCGATTATTGGACATTTCCTGAGCCATCAGTGCTCTTTATCCCTATTTAAATAAGGAACTGATTTTTAGTGTTAGTGATGTTGAATTGTTTACCAAGTTGTTGAAAACGTACTAAACCTTTGACGCTAATTCCGTCCTCTCTGATTCCTCAGGAAAATCCGGAGGGACATTCCGTCCAAGATCCTGATCAACCTGTGCTTTGCGCTTCTGCTGCTGAACATGGTCTTCCTGCTGGACTCATGGCTGGCCCTGTACGCTGATGCTGTAGGCCTCTGCATCTCCACAGCATTCTTCCTGCACTACTTCCTGCTTGCCTCATTTACCTGGATGGGTCTGGAGGCCCTGCACCTGTACCTCGCCATCGTCAAGGTCTTCAACAATTGCATGTCCCGATACATTCTCAAGTTCGCTCTGGCAGGATGGGGTGAGTTCCTAAGCAGAACCAGCAGTGGATACAGTGTAGGATACAGCGGTTAGGGTTCTAGATGCATAGTTAATTGGCTCTCTGTTGGTGTACGAATGCATTGCAGGTGTACCATTGCTGGTTGTCATCATTGTGATCGCTGTGGACAAAAACAACTACGGCCTCATTACATATGCGAAGTATACAGACGGGACCACGGACGATTTGTAAGTATGGGTGGGACATGGTTCATGGTAGAGACTCAGGAACCAGGGGTCAAATACAGCCATTTGATTTACTGTCCAAAACCACAAGTGGACCTACACGTGTCTTCTTTTTCTTAGTTTTTTTAGAATGTTGATGATGGCGAAACAGTCATAAATCTGAAAATAACAAGATTTTCATGGGGCCTCCCCTTCACCATGAGTGGACTGAAATTAATGGATTTAAATACAATTTAAGCCAAAATTTTATCATAAAACTATCATAAAACAATATTTCAGACATCAGGCAGCATATTCATAACCATTTCATGTAATAACTTTCTGTGAGGGAAGCTTTTAGAGGTGGTTCCCATCACCACCATTGTAAACAAATGTGACTTTGTGGATTCTCTAGAATGGGGCATTTCACACCAAATCAGTCTGAATGGCTTTGTTTACATCTCAACAGTTTAATTTTGTAGATTTCTGTTTAAATTGGTGGGTTTCCTCTTTAAAGCAACGGTCAAAATGGAAATCCAACCTGATGAGCTTTCCTGCTATTTTCTGCTCAGATATTGTTTTACCCCTTAAAGCACAGGTTCCTAACCCTGGTCCTGGAGTACCGCCTACCCAGCACATTTTAGGGTTTTCCCTGCTCCCAACACACCCACATCTAGCCATGCAGGGCTTGTTAATGAGCTAATTAGTTGGCTCAGGTGTGTTGGGTTGTGAGCCACTAATAGGTATAGATCAACTATACATGCTAACATGGCTAACAATTAATGGAAGGTACTAATGACATCATTCTAATTGGTGGCCAGTCGCTTTCATTCATTAGTAGCAACATTAGCTTTTTGGCTGAGCACTCTAAGCCAGGGGTTGGCGACATATGGCCTGTTGCAGCTCCACAGCAGAATTAGATTTTGTAGGTAAAAATAAAATAATCCTCCTTTGCAGTAAAATAAAGCTCTGCTGATCGTTCAACAGAGTTTCAACAATAAATGGTCTTAAACACTGGAGTTAATGTAGAACTGCTAATTCACCAACTTTTAACCCTGAAGGTTGGCACGCAGACTGCTGGTCACCATAGCAACGCAGATAACAATCTCACCTAGGTAGTAGCTAACGAAATGGTATAGAAAGAGATTTAACACAGACATCGATTTGTAGACGAATTTACGTATTTGTGTTTATAAGCACTCAGCTGGTTTCCGGATACGTTTAATCTGCAACGAGAAACTGTCAAACACTAAAAAATCGCAAAGCTGCTGTCAGTTTCTCATTCACATTTTCCCGTTCCACCTTAAATGGTGCAGCAGTTACATTCTGGTGCCTCAGGCACCATTTAAGGTGGAACCGGAAAATACGAACATGATGTTGGTGAATGAGAAGCGACTTCAGCCTTGAAAAAAGTCAACAATGAGAGACATTTTACAAGAAACTGTTCTACTTCTGCGGAAAAGTTTCCTGCCGGAGATGCGAGAAAAGTGGCTATAACTGAGCTAAAGCTTAAAGTAAAGTAAGTCTGCGTTTTCATTTATATTATATTTTTTGGCCTTTACTATAACATACAGGGACATATTTTGACGGCCAAGATAAAATGGACATAAAATGTTGTGGCTCCAAAGGTGGTTGGATTTTTATTGAAAGGACAAAATGGCTCTTCTGCTCTAAGTCTGTAGTCCAGACTTCCCTGTCTCACTCTTATAACCACGTTACATATTATTTTGATAAGTATTATTGCTGAATAATTCATAACAGTTCATTCATAAAAAGCCTTCCGATTAAAAACTGAATTCTGAGTTATATTCTAAAGGCCTTTATTTACTGTATGTGTCTTTTTCAGCTGCTGGCTGAAGAATAACACTGCCTTCTACGTGGCGGTGGTGGCCTACTTCTGCGTGATCTTTGTGTTCAACATGATCATGTTTGTGGTGGTCATGGTCCAGCTGAGGCGCATCAAACGTCAGAACCCCCACAATAACCAGTACCGCAGTGGGCTGCAGGACCTCCGCAGCATCGCTGGCCTCACCATCCTGCTCGGACTCACTTGGGGCTTCGCTTTTTTCGCCTGGGGAGTCGTCAGCCTGGCCTTCATGTACCTCTTCACCATCTTCAACTCTCTACAGGGTGAGAATGTTCAGCATACAAAATGTGTGGTATGGTTATCTTGAGGAACCAATGTATATGGATGAGCCACAAAAAAAGCATCTCTCTATCTCTCCCTCTCTCCCTCTCTCCCTCCCTCTCTCCCTCTCTCTCGCTCTCAAAGGCTTTTTCATCTTTGTGTTCCACTGCGCATTAAAAGAGACCGTCCGCAGACAGTGGCGAACCTACCTCTGCTGTGGCAAGTTCAGACTCGCAGAAAATTCAGGTACAACTTCATGCATTTTCTCACAAACCAGTGAGGAAAAATATACTGGATGTATTGTTTCTAAATGGCCAGTTTATTAGGTACCCTTTTCTACACACATTGTGCATCTACCTCATACGTGCATTTTGTGGGTTTATAAATGCTGATTTTGCCCCTTATTTTGATTATGTGATGGTGAATTTGAATTAATCATTCTCCAGCCCAGGGCTGCCCAAAGTGTGGACACTGGATTTGGCTTGCCAGAAAATTGCCCACTACTTCATCCAATGAGAGAACAAACATATTGTTATGCTGTGCAAAGGTCTTATTACTTTATTTAAAGCCATAAATATTGGCAGTAAGTGTGTTTAATGAAGCTCTGATTATCCAAAACAGAGTTTTGACTAAAATTAATTCATGGCTGCCATAAGGATGTTATAATGTTGTTTGCTTTTAATGTGATATTAGTAGTTTTACATGCAAATAAGTGCATCAGACTTTTGCACAGCACCAAAGTTGTGTCTATTTACATACATATATATATATATATATATATAAAAATATATATATTTTTTTGGAACATAACCTTGTATCTTCAAAATGGTAACTTTACAGGAAAAGCAAAAACATACTTTACTTTTAATGGAAGTCATTCTGGGCCGTTTCTTTTGGTCCAAACTATGTAAAAAAAAAAAACACAAAAATAGAATACGAGGCTTTGTGTATATCTATATACCACCACAAACATTGCACTTTGGCCCCTAAACACCCCTGCTTTAGCCCTTCATCAATGGTCAGTTTCTGACCACAGGGTCACCACTGACATTATTTGGGTGATGGACTACTCTCAACTCAGCAGTGACACTGAGGTGTGCAAAAACTCAATGCTGTTGTGCCTCAGACACCCATACCAGTACCACACACATCCAAATATTACCTGGTCAGCAGTGGGGGGGGTGATAAACTGTGCAGCAACAGATACAGTCAGTAACTGTAAACCTAAAAAGTGTCCCTAATAAAAATGGCCTTTTATGATGACATTAAAAGTTTTTATGATGACAAGTGTGGATGGCATCCACATCTTTTATAGATCTCTTGCCTGTATGAAGTAGTTTTGCAGTGCTGCGGTCCATTTTACAGTGCAGAGTCACTGTTTTAAATTCCTTTGTCTTTGTGTTTGGTTTGCAGAGTGGAGCCGGACAGCCACTCAGAACGCCACGAAGAAGACATCACTCGCCACAGCAAACTCCTCCCGCGGCTCTCGGATCCAGAGTGCTTCCAGAAGCTCCTCACTGAGCACCAACAGCATACCACAGTCAAACAACAGTCAGTTTCTGTATTACTCACTATCATTCACGCAGCTCTGTAAATACAGTGACCCCAAAAAGTATTTGGAAATTTATTTGGAAAATCTAGATTTATTCATTGAATTTTTGTTACCAAAATGACCCAATTTGAAATATTTCATTACTGAGTAGGTTAAGCTATAAATTACATTTGCACTCAGTTTACTTTCTGTATCAGCAGCTTGGAGCTGCATTTCTGTTTTTTCTGATTTTGATGTATATTAATGACACAAGAGGACATTGTGCTCACCAAAATAACTCAATAAATTCAAATCATAGTCACATATCTCCTCTTTTGCGAATAAATTCAAATCATAATCAAATATCTCCTCTCCTGCGAACAAACACAAATATGATACCAGTTGAAAGTTTGGAATTCATACTTCCACAGAATTTCTCCACTACGATAAACAAATAATTTAATATCAATTTACAGATTTTCCTATTACTGTGGCTTCTAAGAGTTTAGACTGAGACCAAACAGAGAGTCCTTATTTGAAACGATCTGTTCTTTATCTTCGCATTGCAGACTCGTCTGCGGAGGACAGTGTGTCCACATCCATGGAGGGATCCAGCGGCGACGTGGTTCTCAATGAGATCAACAGCCAGCACAGACCACTACATAGAACTGACTGATGTGTGACTGTGGTCTAATGGAAGTATTCAGGTGATACAATCAGCGGACAGAAAAGATGGCCAGGTTACTGCGAACAGAGGCTTTCAGAACACAACAAAAACACTGTTCAAGACGGCACCTACTGAAATATTCCATACGTACACATTCACGAAGCTTTCTGGAAGATCAGCAGTTGTTGTGCTATTTCAGTCATGTGCATTTAAGCAGATAGACTTGAGATGGACTTCAGCAAATAACATAAGATATTTTCAGAGAAATATGCCTCACATGGCTATTGTTTTTTTTTATATTTTATTTTCAACATACACTTGTGGACTTTCACCCTCTGTCTATTTTTTTGCTGGACAGTCCTCTGAAAAGATGTGAGCCAGTTCAGTTCGGCTGAAGACAACAAGATGCACCAATACAAGTTGTGAGGTTCAAACAGAGCAACTCTGGCTGAGTCATGTTAGCAAAATTATTATGCTAAAACAGCTCAAAAGAACATCGTGCCAGACTTTGAAACCAAGCAAACTGAAATAGACTGTCATTTTAAGCTGGGCGTTAGCTGACCAAATGCAGGGGTAATAGACCAATGAGCAGGAAGACTTGTGGGCAATCTATAACAAGTAAACTTTTTACTGTGCCGTGAAAAAGACCTACTGTATCTCCCCACTTATGTGAAGAAACTTGAAGAATGAGGAGCTGTCACTCATTTTCAGAAAACAGTATTAAACACTACCTGCTTCTGAGGCTTCAAAGCTCATAATGTAGACTGAAATATTACCTTGTGTAAATTTTTGTTCATTCATGCTTTTATATAATAAAAACATTCATATGAACACATGAAGAAGATACAGTAGCACTGTATAGGTCTGAATATATTAAAGTAATAGGTAATGTGAAAACACATGGAGGGGGGTTAAGGCTTTGAAGACGACCCAGAAGATCTCGGTGTCAAGCTACTGACCACTTAGCTTACAGAATAGCTCAATGGAGGCATGTCCAGTATATGAATGTTGAGGATATGCTGAACACAATGAACAAAGTGGATCATCAATAGGCATAATTCAAGCGATTTTAGAAAATTACTACATAATTCAGGTGTTTAGATGTAAACGAAGTCATTCAGAGTGGTTTGATGTGACTGTCCTGTATTTACTATGCAAAATGATGAGTGAACCTGCACGTGTCTTCTGAGTTTTGTATGTAATGTTTATTGTGAAAAAATAGTGGCAACTTCAAAATAATCTTTCTTTGGGGACTATTTTGCTTGATGTACCCCTCTAAAAATACCTTTTAGGCCAAAAGCTTGTCTTAAATGTATTCTAAATCGCAAAGTGTGTATTGCACTCAATAATCCGATCATAATTGGATTTCTGCAGTTATCTGATTATTCAAATGGTCATGTAAACAGTGCACTCCGATTTGTAAGATCAGAGTAAGGTCTAGAAATCCAGTTATGAAATCTGATAAAGAGAGCTGGATTTTAACTCAGTAATCAGATTTCTCAGTGCATGTTAACTCTTACTCTGATTTCTTTCGGACTTCTCAGTCTGCGCATGTGTGAAAACAGATGGTGGTATCGAAAATAAACAAACAGCGTTGCCGCGGGACCGACTACATGCATGACGAAATGAAGGATTTAAACATTATTTTCTAGATGATGTATATTCATATTTTCAGGTAAAGTGGCGCAATGTTTTTTTAAGAAGTTTGAGTTTTACATTACATTTACGTCACGTCTTCTTCTGTGAGTTTATTGGCTGGTTGCAAAGCAGAAATCCGATTACTGTCTGACTCGTGTAGACCTGGAGTTACACATTATCTGATTGCTCAAGTGCATGTAAACGCGTTTACTGACAATATCTGACTTTCTGGAGTTATTGGATTATTAAGTGCATGTAACGCACTTGTTGACTCAGCATCAGGCAGCATATTCATAATCATTTGTGGTGGTCACACTTTCTGTGTTGAACTCTTCAGACATCTAGTTCCTTTCACCATCACTGTGAACAAGTCTGATTCTGAAAGTTTCTCTACTCTTCTCTGAATGACTTTGTTTACACCTTAATGATGTATTTATGCAGAGATTTAAAAAAAACATGTAATTCCCACTTTTTGACCAGTTTCAGAAAGAAGCACAGGAAGAATGTTCTCTTTTTCCATAATAATCGCTATTTAGTAGCTTAACTGCTTAACTGAATAAGAGCCATTTTATATATATTTTATATTGTATATATATCCATATTCTGTATTTTTGACTGACTTTGCTAAAAAGTGTACTTGTTTTCAACCATGTCTACATTTTAAATAAACTAATTTAATTATGTCCTGGCTTTCTTATACATAAATATTAAAGTATTAAAGTCCCAAGATAGCATAATTGTCCTCTCTCTCTTTGGATGGGTAGGATAGATAGGCCCTCCCTCTCCCCCATCACCAAATTGAGGTCTTTGGAGGTCCCCTGGTGGAAAGTCTGACTATGAAGCGACCTGTGTATTGAATATTTATGTATTGTATTTTCACAGTACATTTTTTATGAGCTTTATTCCAGTAGTTTTTCCACAAGTATTACTAGGCAGGAGTCTTTTATCTTCATATCTGTATCAATAAAAATGATTTTTACACTAAGAAGCTGACGAGAAGACACAGCAAGCAGATCTAATAGCCCGCCTTTTCTCAGTTAATTCATTAAAATATACTATTTACATAGTAAAAATGTATTTAGCTGTTGGCAGGCAGGTTTGGTGGCTCCCATAAGAAGTAAAACTAAATTACGATTCTGTAGTGAGAACTTTACCTAATGCATGTTCTCAATCAGCCTAAAATGGCTGCTAACAACATTTATTTTCTCAGTGTTCATGGCTTTTGCTGACTTAAAGACTCAAAGGAATCTAACGTTTCTTGGCAGTTTCAGATCTACTCGAGTTTTAAACCAAAGTGAAGCAGCTTGATGTGGTATATTGTATAGTTACATTACAAATTTAGGATGAGTGAGTTTACATTTTATCCAAAGGGAGGAATATAATCAAGCGTAGAAAAGAAGACTCTCTCCTTTTGTGAGGACATTGAGTTTGTCTAAAAAATAAAATCTTATTTACAGAAATAAAACAGACCCCCCAAACACGATCCTACCCAAAACAGGAGTCTTTTAGCTGTTGTATCAGAATTGGCAGATAGTGTTCTCCTCCAAGCGTGTAGAGCTGTTCAACAGTGTGGTGTCAGCAGCAGTTCAAAATGATGGCACTTCACATGTCTCGAAGAAAGCCTTCACCCTCCCAGCTTGCCAACTTCGTGTGAAAGAAGACATGGCTAAACTGGGGTGAAAATTTGGGTAATTCATTTGTAAAATAGTATTAAAGTCATTGGAAGCTTTAAAAAACTGAGATCTGTTTTTCTATATCATACATTGTTAAACCGTTCTGGAAATAAGATATTTCTATTTCTACTCCATCCAGTGTGAAGACATCACTTTCTTCAAAATAATATAGAATTTGTGTGTTTGTGTCTGATTTGAATATCCAAACTAATGATGCATTTTGCAGGGAAAATAGCAGCTTCAAATGTTGCTACTAATCTTTTCTTATTTATAATCTAGATTGGCAGATTGGCAGATTATAGTGCAATGGTGTGCCCCCCTTCAACTTCATGCAGGACAGATAGACTATTGAGTTATTTGAAATGACGACATGAAAAATGTGCCCTGATATCAGTCATTCAGATGTATTTCTGGAATATAAACCCATTTTGCAACATCACTGCCATGTATATAAATATATTTTAACCTGTAGTAGTTTCAGACTTTTGTGTTCTTGATATTGTCATATACACCGATCAGGCATAACATTATGACCACCTCCTTGTTTCTACGCTCATTGTCCATTTTTTCAGCTCCACTTACTATATAGGTGCACTTTGTAGTTCTACAGTTACAGACTGTAGTCCATCTGTTTCTCTGCGTACTTTGTTAGCCCCCTTTTACCCTGTTCTTCAGTGGTCAGGACCCCCATGGACACTCACAGAGCAGGTACTATATGGGTGTTGCGCTGGTCTGAGTGGATCAGACACAGCTGTGCTGCTGGAGTTTTTAAACACCTCAATGTCACTGCTGGACTGAGAATAGTCCACCAACCAAAAATATCCAGCCAACAGCGTCCTGTGGGCATCGTCCTGATACGACCACTGATGAAGGACTAGAGGATGACCATCACAAACTGTGCAGCAGCAGATGAGCTATCGTCTCTGACTTTACATCTACAAGATGGACTGACAAGGTAGGAGTGTCTAATAGAGTGGACAGTGAGTGGACGCAGTGTTTAAAAACTCCAGCAGCACTGCTGTGTCTGATCCACTCAGACCAGCACAACACACACTAACACACCACCACCACGTCAGTGTTACTGCAGTGCTGAGAATGATCCACCACCCATATAGTACCTGCTCTGTCAGGATCCATGGGGGTCCTGTCCACTGACGAACAGGGTAAAAGGGGGCTAACAAAGTATGCAGAGAAACAGATGGACTACAGTCTGTAATTGTAAACACACACACACACACACACACCTGCCTCCTGTAACAGTTATATATTCTCAGTAGAATTGCACAAATTAAAATAGTAACCCAAAATCCTAATATGACCTACATGACCTACATTGGCTTAATGAGTTCATATTAATATCAATATTATTAATGCACTTCCCAGCGATTTCTGATGTCCTATTTTCTATGAAGACATCACGTTTCTATAAACATGCACTGAGTTTGAAGTCTTGTGCCTCATTGGCCACATAATGAGAAACACCTACTATATAAGTACTGTGAGTTTAGAGTTACTGACTGTAACCCATCAGTTGCTTCTCAGTGTATCTGCCCCCACATACTCTGTCCATCCATGGGAAATGACCACAACATGTCCACCACTGACCAGACTTTATTCTGGTGGTGGAACATTCGCAGCACAGCAGTTGCTGGAGCATTTACACACATCAGTGTCACTGCTGTGTTAATAGCCCACCAAACAAAAATCCAGTCAACAGTGGTAAGAAACTGATGTGGTCCTTTTCCATTATTGGACAGAGTAAAACAGTAACAGTAAACTGTGTTGTAACAGATAGCAGGATAGCAGAAAAGGTCTGCTGCAGCTTAGATGAAAATCTTTAATGACGACCACATATTAAACAATTTGTGAGCTCCTGCTGGTGTGAGTTTAACACAACTTGCATGCTAATAGCCCCCCCTGCCGGAGAAACTTCAGATTGCAACACGTGCTCTAAATGAGTTCCAAAGCCATGGCCACATGCTTTACATATTTAAAAATAAATTTTCCATTGATATAGAGTAAGTGCTCTGGAATTCAGCTACAGATGCAGTGTGTATCAGATGAAGTCATAAAGTATGACATTTTTATAGTTTCACAACTTACCTGAATCACTGGCTGTGTGGAAAATGCTGAGAAGATTCAGCAGATAAAATCTGGGAAACCATGAGGAATAACGGATTACTGATGCCCGGTAATACATATTATTTTAAATTATTTAGCAAGCTGTTTAAAGTTAGTCTCTAGTTCTCTGTTCGTTCTCTTTCCCAAAACAGCAGTTATCAGCTTTGATGCACCATCACCAGGTTACTCGTCAGTCATCGACAATTTTTGATTACATCGCCCTGTTAGCCCTGGATACAAAATAGGTAAAGACACTAGCGACTCAGTGTTCGCCCACCAATATGAGGCAGCCACAATGATATACACCAGAAGAAACAATTTATTTTCAAAAAAGTGTAGCATCTAGACTGGCCTGATCTGTCTTTGGCCTGCTCTACACAAATGCAGCGCGAGGTACAGGCTCAAGTGTAGATGCTCCAGTAGATGATGTTGAAGAGGACGTAGGCCAGAGGAAACAGGATTCTGGAGTAGGAGTCGATGATGTAGCTGTTGCTCACGAGCAGCTGGAGATGGTAACGCAGTGGCCGCGAGCGCCGCAGCCGTGTGCCCAGCACCGGAGGGGGGGCAGGCACTGTGGAGCTTTGTGAGGAAGCCTGCTGATCCAGGCTGAGGTCAGCCAGCGGGGGGAAGGGGCTCAGCTCTACGTCCGTGTCATGGAAGCAGCCATCGAAAGCCATGGCCTGAGATGCATCAAATTCTGAAAGCTAAAAAAGGAGGAGCTCTATATTACACTTAAAGATCTCTGTATGAACATAAGATGGAAATTCCATTGATTTTGTCATATTTCTGCATAAATAAATAATTAAAATGTAAAGTCATTCAGAGCGGATTGAAATGCTCGCTTCTAGAGTCAGAATTGTTCACAGTGGTGGTGACAGGAACCAGATGTCTGAAGAGTTTAATGTCTCTAAAAGGTCCCTCACAGGAAGTTAGTACATGCAGTGGAGCCATGTAGGATGTTGTGAGGCAAAATGGTCCCCAAAGAAAATATGTTTTTCAGACTGAGCACTATTTTACCATCATTAACAATACATATAAAACCCACAAGACACATGTAGGCTCACTGGGTGGTAAATAAACCGGCTATGTTTGCCTTGTAGACATCAGGACCCCTGGTTCCTATCACTACCACTGTAAAGAAATTAAAATCAGTACGTTCTCTATAATGTACCATGCAACACTCAACAATCAGTAGAATTCCCCTTTAACACAGTTCCTTCAGTCAAATGCAGTAGAATCAGCTTTACCCGTTGTTATCAAGGGAGCTGTTTGACTTAAAAATTAAAATATCGCTGCTGTTGGAAGAAAACCTTGAATCTCAATTTTTGTCGTTTTTCAGTTTTTGACATAATTTGAAAATGCCTGTTGTCCCTTTACATTGTATGTAAATTTCATGAAGAATGGACCAAAAGAAACGGCCCAAAATGACTTGGAAAAGTCTGGTTCCATTGACTTACATTAAAAGTAAAGTAGTTTTTTCCTTCTCCTGTAAAGTTGTCATTTTGGAGATGCAAGGTTTTCTTCCGACAACAGCGATATATTGACTTTACATATGTCAACATATTTTCAGTTTGTAGGTCAAAAAGTGCTGCTGGTTCATTTTTTGAGTTTAGGAGAAGCATTTAAGTAATCATAAGAAAAATGCAGAAGTGATACACTGAATCAAATGTGTACATGGTTACCACACGAATAAAATATGTCACATCAATGCAATTCTGTCAGTTTACCCACTGTTGGCAAGAATTTTGTTGATGTAATATATTTTATTTATGTGAAAATTAGGTACATATTTGAATCAAGGCCTCACTTTTTCAGTGTAGTGGACATAAGCCAGTCATATGGCTTCTGAATCAGCAGGGGGAGACATTTCAATCATCAGTGCCCATATTTAGGCATCAAGGTACACTAACTGGCCACTTTATTAGAATCACTTACACTGTAGCTCCACCTTGCTAGTGTACAGTTAGAAACTGTAGCCCTCTGTTGATCTGTTGGCAGTCTGTGTAAGCCATCAACCAGTCTAGATGTCTTGATATCTTTGGGTGGTGGACTATTCTTAGTCTAACAGTGACACTGACACGTGAAAGCGCAGCAACACTGCTGCACCGCTCTGCCTGATAAAACTCACATCAGCACCACACACTTTAACATGCCACCATAGTCCACAGCAGCAGTCCTGTGGTCAGAAAAAGACCAATGATGAGTGATGGAGTTCAGGATGGCTCACAAATTGCGCAGCCACAGGTGGGACATAATCTGTTATTTTACATCTATGAAGAGTCCTATACGATTAGCGGACTTCATGAAGTGGCCAGTGAGGTGGGAGTACAAAATAGGGAGTTTCTAATAAAGTGGCCGGTAAGTGGAATGACAAGGTAGGTGCTCATAATAAAGTGGTCAGTGAGTGGAAGTATAAGGCAGTTGTTTCTAGTAAAGTTGTCAGTCAGTGTATTTCTTATTTCATTCACTTGTAAATTCAGTCAATGGCATCAATGAAATATGAACAGATTCTATCCTCTTAATCCCCTTTCTGACCCATGACTGACCTTTCCCTTCTTCAGTTTCTTCATCTCCTCCACAGTGGTGAAGTAGTTGACCGCAGCATACTCGATGACCGACAGGAAGACAAACAGGAAGCTGGCCCACAAGTAAATGTCCACTGCTTTCACGTAGGACACCTGGGGCATGGACGCTGACACGCCCGTTATGATAGTGGACATGGTCAACACTGTGGTGATTCCTGGGGCAAAACACCACATAAAAGATTCAGATGTAATATATTTCATTTAAGTTAGATTTTATTAATATTTCAGTGTAATGTATTTTTTAGATTTTTGCTAATGGAAAAATTTACTTATCACGGCCAGGCATTCTAGCTAGCTAACTTATATTTATTATTTTATTATTTAATGTTATTATAATAGCACCTAGCTGGCTTGCCAACTGCTTATATCAATATCAATGAACAGGTTGATGCTTTAAATTGTTTTTTATATATATATATATATATATATATATATATATATATATGACACACATAAACAACTCAGCACGAGTTAGCCAGGCTAAAATACAGCCTCCACACAGCAGGGTTAGTTTTAACACTCGGTTACAACTAAGACTTCAGCATAAACACTGAGAGCCCATACCCACCCAAGAATGCGCTAAGAGTGATCCACCACCCAAATAATACATGCTCTGTGGTGGTCCCGTGGGGTCCTGACCATTGAATAACAGGGTGAAGGGGGGCTAACAAAGTATACAGAGAAACTGATGGACTACAATCTGTAACTGTAGAACTACAAAGTGCACCTATTGGATAAGTGGTATATGTGGTTGATAAAAAGGACAATGTGGGGAAACATGAGGCATAGTTAATGAAGTGTCCGGTCGGAGTGTATTGTTGCTTGTTGCTTTACACATACAAGAAATGTCAGTGCCATATGATGACCACCTTTACTACAGAAAAAAATTCCACTCGCACCAGTTTCAGCTGAATTGTTCGTATATGGTAGGTGTTTTAAACAAAGTTTACACTTTCATTTAAATTAAATTGAATTTAAATTACAAACATTAATCTTGCTCAAATATTTTAGGATTCACTCCCAATTTGCCCAAAGATATGTAACTATGAGCTTAAAGAGATAATGAAGAGTGTGCCACATATGAGACCTGTGAATTTAAGGGTTAAATAATATTACTGGAGTAGTGTTGTGCTGTAGTGTAGTGCAGTAACTGTGCTGCTGATTTCAGTGAGAGCCCCCAGGTGGGTTTAAATAGTGCTGGGAACAGCAGCAGCTGTTATGCAATGAAAGAGCAGGTCCAATCTCAATATAACCCACGGCCAGCTGCAGTGGAAACGCAATGGAAAGTCACTGAGGAACACTAGAGCTCTGATACACTGACTGCACCACTGCTTGAGTGTGTATGAGTGTGTGTGTATACACTGCCTGTCAAAACTGTGGGGATGTCCACCTTTTCAAAATGGTTTTAATACCCCTGAGCATGTTTTCTTTCTGAGTTGGCAATAATTTAACAAACAGTACTGTGTGAAAGTCAGAAATTGCCAATAATGTATTTCATTTTTGGTCAAAATAGCTATTAAGTTGATTTATTTTCAGCATCAGGAAAAAAGCTGAAAACATATATTTAACGGAAAATTACCCAGATGCCTCAACAGCTAAATGTAATTGTTTCACTATTTAGTGTGCATTTAATGTAGTTTTTCAAAGAAATCTACAGGGCGACTTTTTCCACACCTATGAAAGCTTTAGTGCACACTCTGCCATCTTTAACATGATTCAACTTAACATGTCAGCTTAGCTGTTTTCAGATGATGACTTTTCCTCCGTCCCCTCCTTCCTCCCCACCGCCACCAGTTTGCCCAAAGGTTAAGCCCCGCCCCTGCCATCCCTACACGGCAAGATCTGAGTCTAGGTGTTCTAACACCCTGGCTGAAGACGGGGCCTGCGCCAAGGACTTTAACTTACAAAAACTGTTAGCTATCAAACTGTCATACTGATATTAATATGTTCTTTCTTCACACTCGTCTCTGGAGTCTTTCTGGTAGAACCAAAGTTCGGTCTTAGAAGTTGGTTGCATTTTCTGCTTTTTGCAATCCAAGTAACCCAATATATTCAGTGATGTTGAGGTCTGGACTCTGAGGTGGCCAGTCCACTGAACACCAGCAGCTTCTTTGATTAATTTTGTCTTCTATTTTTTCTATTTTCTCAATATTTTTTTAACAGCTATACATCCTTTCAGACCCATAGCGCTGAGTCGTCTTCTGACAGTGGAAGGATGGACAGAAACACCTGTGGATGTTTTCAGATCTGAAGCAGCTTGATTTTCTCCTCTCTCTCATAGATGAAAGTACTGTTTTGGTGGTCTACCAGGTCTTTCATGGTTGTTATGAATCCCATCTTTTAATAATTTGTTTAACTCCTGTTTACTTCCCCTTATTTTCCATAGATTTTTCCTTCCTTATTCAAGTGGACTAAGTGATCTAATCTTCTCAGAAATGTCTCCTAAAATGACTAACTCATGCTTACTGGCTGTTTTGACTGGAAATTAAATTAGTGAGTTCTGAATTAAGGAGTAACCTTTGGCCTGAAAGATTTTCAACATGTGCTTTTAACAATGTATCCTTTTTATCCAATAGGAATGTTCCTTGCCTCTCCATTTATTGGAAAGGCTTGACTTTTGACTTGAATTATCAGGCTTTTTCAGAAATCTTCCTTTGTGAAACACCCTCCAGGTTTATTTTGAGGAAAACAAAATGCCACATGCAAATATCGGTGACAATCCTACCTCTAGGAATGATGCCAAACCCTACACATTTTCCACTCTTGTTCTGATGTCAGCACTCTTCAGCACTCAAAGCCTTTCAGGTAGTTATACCATCTTTGGGCCAAAGAAAATGTTCTAATCATAATATAGACAAGACCTTCTCTTCATAGTAACGAAGACATTTTGATGAACACGAAGCTGAGTGTTAGAAAATATCAGTATTAAATAATAAGAATAACAGTATCAAAAGCTTTGCTTAGTTTCAAAAGAGGGCGTCCCCAAACCGTTGGCACACTTTTGAGTCTGAAGTGCATGTGTACGTGTTTACCAAGTGAGACGCGGGCAGGTACGGCCCGCCTGTCGATCCAGAAGGACACCCAGGAGAGGACGACCATCAGCATTGTGGGGAAGTAGGTCTGCAGCATAAAGAAGAAAACGTGTCTCCTGAGGATGAAGTTGATGTACAGCCTGTTATACCAGCCTGACAGGAACAGAGGGAAAAAGCCCAGTCAATTCACAGTGTGTCAGCCTTCTGCACAGAGACGGAGAGGAAATGTGAGCAGCCACAAAGACAAATGACACACAGGGGAGTTGCAGGTGAAAGTGCTGTACCTGTGCTGCTGTAGAAGGCCAGTCCACTGGACGGGTTAAACTCTTCAATGAAGAACTGTGAGAGAACGATCTCATCTGTTCTGAGAGAGTCATTCCCGTTCTTCCAGTACAGCATGAGGTCGTTCTCATTATAAGCATCTGCAGGACAACAGAAAAGCACAACTCAGACACTTACAACAGTGTGGACTGTGCATGGACTGTAAGCAAAGAAGTGAATGTGTGCATTTGTAATGGATCATATGAAAATTTCATAAGAATTATAGGAAAATAGAAAATACAGGATCAGTAATAAGGCTTAATGTGATTAATTGTATATTATGTGATTCATTAAAACTCTTTTTTCTTTCTGTCTTTGCCTTTTCTATTCAAAGAATAGCTTCAGTTTTGTCTTCAACTCACAGCTCTCCAGCTCCAAAGAGCAGTTCTGGGTGTCCAGAGGAAAACTGCTGAAGTCCATGGTGCACAGAGCGGTCACTGTTATCCTGCACCAGGAGACAAATTCTGTGTTCAAAAACAAAATCCAAAGCAAGCCCATCACCCCCACATGCACACACCCAGTACGAGAGGACACCTGACACTGTAGAGAATGTTGCCATCAGGATAGACCCTCAGCATGATGTTCTCCATGGTGGTGTCGTGAATGAAGGAGCGCTTTGAGTGGACAAAGAAGACGTCCGGGACCCAGATCTTCTTCACTAGCCGGGCGTCGAAGGTGCGGCTCAGGTTGTTTCCAGAGGGGAAGGCCAGCCGCTCGTCCTTCCAGTAGTGTCGCAGGTAGAGGGTCATAGTAAAGTCCTGTAGGGGACCAACAGTGAACACGATCTAATTAGGACACACACTTAAAGCTTAAAGTGGGGTTTTGTCTGGAATTTTGTATATTGTTCTAGATAACAGTATGTCATACACTCAAAACAATCATTCTTTACCTGAACGTTTCGAGAGAAATTATTTTCTTGATCCTACGTAAATGACTTAAGTTGAAATCTGCTATTACATTTCCTGCTCAACTCACTAAAGGTCATTTAATGTGATTTACTGGTATTGATTTAACTTATGATGGTTTAAAAGTAGCAAATGTAATGTCCAGTAAAATAAAACCAACAATAATGAAGCTTAGGAATGAACTTAAATACAGAACGTAATGTACGTCTGAGCAAATATAGTCCACACTCTTAAAAAAGATGGTTCTTCAATGGTTCTTTAGTAAAGAAAATGGTTCTATATAGAACCATGAACACTCAAAGAACCCTTTGCATGATTAAAGGGTTCCTTGCATCATGAAAGGGTTCTTAAGATTGATGGAGAATGTGCTGCTGATGGTTTTTATAGCACCCAAAAGGGTTCTTCTATTGTTACGATGTCAAGCTTGTAACAACAGAAGAAACCTTTTGGGTGCTATATATAACCCTTTTCAAAACAGTTCTATATAGAACCATGTATAGCACATTCATGCCCATTGTCCATCAATAAAATGTACTTAATGCCTATTTTAACTGGAAATTAATTAAAAATCCCTGATGTTACTGTATAAAGAAAGTGACATACAGTGTTGCGAGTGAAATGCAGATATTCCTAATTGGTAAAACAATGAGAACATTTACCATGTTGACCTCTGAGATGCTGTCCAAACTCTCCACCTGCACATCTATGCCCACAGGAATGGCAGAACCTTCAGAGCACAAAAGAAAGCAAGGTAGAGTATACAGCTTAAACAGCATAGACTGGAGGGAAGAACAAGCTTCTGCTTACACAGTAAAGGAAATGCCTGCCATATGGTGAAATATTGTGAAAAAAAATTGTGAAATTTTTAATTGTAGAGCAACTTACACTTCTTTACAGTGGTGGTGATGGGAACCAGGGGGCGTGATGTCTAGAAGACAAATATAGTCACTTAATTTACTATCCAAGTAGTAGTAGTAGTATGTAGTAGTACATATAGATGTGTCCTTTTCATAAGTATTTATACATATATGTATTTTTTATATGTCAGTTTTTAATATGTTATGCTGATAATGGTAAAATAGTAATAAATCTGAAAAATGCCTATGCCTTACAAAATAAGGTCCTGCATGTACCCCTCCAACAAGATCAAATCTTCACTCAAAACTGTTGAAAAACAATGTCTTTGGCATCAGGCAGTGTAATTGTAACAATTTCATGTAACAACTTTCTGTGACGGACCTTTTAGAGGCATTAAACTCTTTTAGAGGCATTAAACTCAGACGTCTGGTTCCTATCACCACCACAGTGAAGAATTGACTCGATAAGTTTCACTAGAACGAAGCATTTTACATCGAACTACACTGAATGGCTTTGTTTCCATCTTAACCATTTAACTATAGACAAAGTTTGAAAAATCAGTGCATTCCCCTTAGTGATGAGACATGTTGCCCCTTTCAAATTGAAGAAACCCCTCGAAATCTGTACCTGGGCCTTTTTCTTTCAAGGGCAAACACTATTCTGAGAAGTGTTGAGAAAAAATGAAACAAGGGCACACTTTGATTAAAGCACCCAGCAGCACTCTAATACTTTCAGAGAAGAACCACAGATCATTTCTGCCATCCTAAAAGAAGAAAACCTCAAACCAATTAACATCTCTGCCTTCCTGCTTCCTCCTCCCCTCTCCCCTTCACCACAGACTGGAGTTTAGACCCAGGAAGATGTGACGCTGTGTCTCATATCCCATAAATAACTGTGATAATGCCAGTGTGATTGGCATGTGGCCTATGCATGCATAACAATTCATGCTCCATATGTTTAGGACCTGCACTAGACAGTAACAGCAAACAGGCAGTGGTGCTGTTGTAGACGTCTGACAGTGGTTGGGGGGGATGGACTGTGGTTTGAGGTTGCGGTATCGGTAACTGTGGGGTGTGTGTATTTGTATATTTAGACCCAGAGGCCAGAGGGCGTTCCAGTGGGAATTTCAATGCTTGAAATCGGTGGAAAACTTAATTATCTGAGCCTCAGCCACAGTGCATTCAATTAAGATGCACACTTCTCTGATTTAACATGACAGAAGGAGATGTGGACTGCTTTAAAGTGAACATATGAGACAAGTCAAAGGTGATATAAATGTGTTTAAAAAAAATGCTTTTAAATTAAAATAAGAACATTTTTCTGAAGAACGAGTGCCACAATTAGGGCAGTCAAATGATTACAATGTTAATTGTTATTCATCACATTACTATGTGAAGTTAATTTTAACTATAACTTTAATTAGTAACACTTTTTGAAGGCCACCTACATAAGGATGTCATAACACATGCAGAAGCATTGAATAACGTGTTTATAAAACAATACTTGTGTATCTATGAACAGCTAATGCCAGGAATCACAAGACATCATAAGCTGAGGTAAATGACATTATATTGACATAAGTGTTTTGTAACACTTCATTGATGCTTCATAACTGTGTTATAAATGGAACAAATGTCCATCACTGTCTCTTATGTCAACACAGTGCCATTTACATCATAGAACATTTATATCATCTTGCAGTTATAAGCATAAACTGGTCATAAATACTCAAACATTGCTTCAAGAGTATGTTATTCAGTACTTATGCATGTGTCATGTAATCCCTATGTAGGTAGTTCTCAAATAAACTGTTACATTTTAATTCAACGCTGCTACCTAACATTGACCTAACCATGCCATAAACATGTCATGGCAGATGAGTTGGCATGGCAGATTAATTCAGGTAATCTGACAATATCATGTTACCATTATTACCTTAATTGTCATGACAGATACAAATGTTTAATGTTATGACAAGTTTTGTCACATGATCATTTTTGCAAGTCATGACATCAAACATTATGACATCTGCCATAACAATAAACGATAATGATAACAGGACACTGTTATATTACTGAACAAAATCTGCAGGGGTGGCCTTTGTACTAAGTCAGGGGTCGGCAACCCAAATGTAAGGACGAGCCATTTTATCAAGTGTCAACAAAAATCCACAACATTTCATGTCCATTTTATTTAAGTAACGTTTCACCATCTTAGCTCGAAATATGTCTCAGTATGTGCTAATGTCCATGTAGTGCAGACTAAAAAATATATAAACCAAAGCGCAAACTAACTTTGCTCTGCTTTAAACTCAGCTATAGCTGCTTTTATCTCCAGCAGGAAACTTTTCCACAAAAGTAGAAGTTTCTTGTAAAATGTTTCTTAACATTCAACTTTTTATGAGGCTGAAGTCAGCTTCTCGCATGTCGCCGACCCCTGTACTAGGTAAATGTAGGCAGCTGTCTAGGGCCCCCAGGAGCCAAGGGCTCAATGAAAATACAAATTGGATCTACTGTACGTGTTGATGTTAAATTTTGGATTCTGAAATATATATACGTTATAAAAATAGCTGTTATTTCCAACTGTGTTGCTTATTTTCATTAATTGCAATGCAGCCTCACCCCCTGGTCATAAATATATAACTATGCACATTGTTTAAAACATGGTTTGACATTGTTTAATACAGTTCATCTTGGTAGTAAGTGTGGTGTTGCCCATAAAAACACAATATATGAATAGAAAAGATACACATAAAACAGTAAAAAGTAACATGAATTGTTATGGATTTGCATTGTGTTATAAACAACAAGTAATACTGAACTTCCTTGAGGAGAGGTTTGTAAATGGTTAAATGAACACCCTGACACACATAAAATCACTACTTACTGTATTAATGTTATTTGTATTTTTCTAAAATTAGTGTCTTCTGAGTAAATACATACATATCCCTTTGATAAATAATATTTTAATAGAGTTTGTATTTATATTATACACACATAGAGTTCTTTGCAAAAGCTTAAACACTCCTGGTCAAACTAGATTTGATCTTTTGATGATTAACACACCTTCTACAGAGAATGCACGTGACCATGGCTTGTTTCAATTTTTAATGCATTTTTATTTTAGTTTAATATATTGGGGAAAAAATAAAATTTAACGTGTGCGATAACTTTTGCACAGGCATCAATTTTTGTTTTATTCTTTTTTTCCACTGTGCTATATACATATATAGGGAGAGGGTGAGAGAGAAAGGACTGACAGTCTCTCATACTATAAAAATAAGTATTCAAATGTCATGGGGTTCATATTCAAATGTTATGGGAACAGTGCGTGACAGCAGTGGCGCTTTGGCTGTCATCATCACAGAGATGTGCTGGAAATACTCTAACGCAGTGCGTGAGTGTATGTGTGAGTGTGTGTATTTAGAGATCTCTCCTGAATTCTCTCTAACCTGAACCCAAATTCCTGCATCTGTTTTGACAGACCTGAACAGTAATCCAGATTAATACCCTCCAAAGTACATCTGTGAGTGTGGTGGCCTTTGTCTGCTCTGTGCGGCTCTCAATCTGGGTCATCTCTGAATTTTGGGATGGAATCTTATCACCCCTCTACACACTGATTGACACAGTATTCACCACTTCAGTGCAGTCCCTTAAAAAAGGCAACACAAGGAAAAAAACAAAGGTGCGAAAAGAGATCACTGGTCAATGCCACAGAGCAGAGTTCTTCAAATCCAGACTCCGAATCCAGTTTCTGGTCCTGGATTTTGTAATCACTGGTAGGTATGACACTATTCGGTCAATCAGTTACATTTCAGTTCAGTTAACTACAAGTGATTACAAAATACAGGACTGGAAACTGGATTCAAGTTCCAGATTTGAAGATCTCTCCAAATGAGATGTAGGTGCAAGGAACCTTTTAAAAGCTTACAGAATGAGCTCTAGCACCAAAGTACAGCGAGTGTGTCATGGGAGAAGTTGAAGGAACTGCAGTAGGTTCAAACCTCCAAAGCCAGGCCGCATGGCAAAGTCATGTTCCTCGATCCTCAGCAGCTGCTCAGTCTTGATGAGGAGGGACTTTGTGCTGTCCTGCTTCTTGACCTTGTAGTCAATCCGGCTAAACATGAAAGAAAACAACATCAGGGTTCAAAAATAACAAGCATATCATTGCTGTCATTTCAAAATATGTTAACCCCAGTGTTTTTTTACACTACTGGAAATTGCCAGCTGTCTTTTACTATGCACTCTTAAAAATACAGATGCAAAAGGGAACCAAAAGCATTAACCAGGGTTCACTTAGTGATTAGAAACTGATGACAGTGGTGACAGCTCTGTGCGAGGGCTCTTTACTGAAGGAGTCATTGTAAAACCACTAAATACAACATAAAGTATATGTTAATGTCTGTTACAACTTCTAAATATTCTTCTAAATAAAACTTGTAATGTTGTTTAAAAGCTATAAATATCCATGTAATTTAGAACTGACAAAAAAGTTTAAGCACAACAGCATTAGCTTGTTACTACCATACAAGAAACCCCACAGAGGTGCTAGGAGAAATTATTATTCATGTTTTTGACAGAGTTTTGATATTTATTTTTCAAACTGAAGGCCTACCTCTAAGTTTGCCACTGGCTTAAATGTTTATTTTTTCCAAGAACTGTATGTCCAAGCCTAAAACTATTTAGGAACCTTTATTTTGAAAAATGTTTGTGAACATTTCATGATGAATGGACCAACAGAAATGACCAGTGATTAAATCTCATTACTGTAACATACATTAAAAGGCCCAAATCATAGCAAATTAAATTTTTATCACGTTTTTGAAATAAAGGAGTTTGAACCGTACTGTTCATTCCTCAGTCCACACAGGCCACTTATATAAACTATGCTTCAAAGCAGCCCATTTGAACTCATTGTTACTGTGATGTCACTAAAACCAACTCATTTACATATATCCCCAATTTTCAGCCTGTACCAGTTTAGCCCCACCCATTCACACTGAAGTTATATAAGTTAGGAGCATTATAACCTGGACTGCTTTTAGAAAGTCCAATACAGGATAGCCAATCAGAATGAAGCTCATTTACATTTATCTGTCTTAAAGGCACAGTAACAAAAAAAGCCACTTTAATCCTAAGGGATAAAGAGAGGTTGGAAAATGGTCATGTAAAAATTAAATTGTGACCATTTTTGATACATAAAACCACACAAATGTCATAAGTGCACCTCACAGGGAAAAAATAAAATGTGACAAAAAGTGTAGGTCAATTTTTTTCCTCTCACATAAAGATATTTTCTTACAACAGCTACAATATGCCATGTAAAAACAACACAGACTCTCACTACAGGCACAGACTAACACATGCGGCCACTGTCGTTCTTATAGATACTTATGTCAGGTGTCAACTGACTAAAAGCCTAATTAGATTTCACATGTAGACAGTGTTGAGAATGAACTTCTTAAACATCATTATTGGAGCAATTTTAACTATTACAATTTCCCCCAGTCATCTGCTCAGCAATACTGGCATCTAAATTATCCAGATGATTACACAGCAGTTGCGTGAGTTTACTGGGAATAAAGAAAAGAGCTTGCAGTTCAGCAGCAAACATGACTCAACAAGGCTGTGAAAGTGAAGTGGATTCTAGAAGCTCTCTGAAAGGCAGCTAAGGAAGCATCTCTCCCAGGAGATGAAGCAGAGAGGGAGAGCGAACCTGAAAATAGACACGACTACGATAGCAGCTGAAGGTCAGCGGTAAACAAACAGCGCTTTTTCTAAAGCAAGCTTTCCCTCAGAGTGTGTTTTACTGCAAACCCCACATAATGCAGTTCATATGGTGCAATCAGGCTGGAATCCTTTAGGGACTCAGTGAAAGGGCTTTTTATCTAACAGAGACATCGCTATACAGTTTAACCCAACAGCGTCAAAGACAGAAAGGCCTACCAAAGCCAAAGTTAAAAGGCCCAAATCCTACATTTTTCTTGTATTGTATTTGTGAGGTTTACTTGTAACGTTTGTGTGGATTTATGTACCAAACATGGTAATAATTCATGTTTATATTACTTTGTTGTTAGTTGTTACTGTGCCTTTAAGATTGATTTATGTGAATCACCTCGGTTCTGACTGGCTGCCCTGTATTGTGCCTCATTTAAAAAGCAGTCCAGGCTGAAACGCTCCTTATAAATTCAATGTAAATGGATGGGCTAAACTGCTGTAGGCTGAATAGGCTAATACATGTATATGAGTTGGGTTTTGTGACATCAGTTCAAAATAGGCTTGGTTTCCACATACTGCTGCTGTTGGAACAAAATCTCGTATGTCCATTTATGTCGTTTTTCAGTTTTTGACGTAATTTGAAAATGTCTGTTGTCCTTCATGTTGTGTGTAAATTTTATGATGAATGGACCAACAGAAATGGCCCAAAATGACCCAAAAAAGGTCTGGTTCCATTGACTTACATTAAAAGTAAAGTATATTTTTTCTTTCTCCTGTAAAGTCCAAAAAGTCATTTTGGAGATATCAGGTTTCGTTCAGGCAGCAGTGATACATATTGAATGGACTGAGGAGTGAAAGGTAGGTTTTTGAAACCTAGGTTCAAAATAGCAAGGAAAATTCTGCTTTCCATATGAGGCTTTCAAAACAAATGAGCTTCCTTAAACTACACTTATTTTATATTGAACACTAACTTCTTAAATATATTTCAGAAATAATGCATGTCATCAGTATGAGTTGAAATAAGGTGTGTCATGTCACCAAACCAGAAATTCTAAAACAAGAAACATCCTGATTTAAAAAACTTGTCAGGACTGTAATATAATACTTTCCTTCCAAGAAACCATGGCATAGCTTCCAAGGAAACAAAGACCAGAACATGTCCTAAATTGTTCTGATCATGAATTTGCATGGGATTAATTTCGCTGTTTCTGGCATCCTATCTCAGAGAAAAACTCTATTCACTGTACAAACACTAAAACTGTATTATCAAAGCTTGTTAACATAACTTATTTAAACAAATTTATACTTACAATTTCAGAAATAATAGCTAGTAAGCTATGGTCCCACTGCACATCATAGGAAAAGGGTAAGAATGGCTTTATATGGCGAAACCTGAATGCAACTTTAGCTGCTTAAAATTTACTTGAAGCTAAACTGCTCGAGTACAGCACCATGTACAGCGTCCTGCAACTCACTTGAAACTTATTCGCAGCAGTTGCAGGTGACACAAATTTGTGAAAAAAGTTTTGGGAAACAGCCAAACGAGATGGATTATTGGGCAACTCACAACATGCAACTAGTTCCATGATAGTTTTACCATGTAAAGCCAGCCTTAGAATGTCTAAACAAAGTGTTGGTGTTTGGGATTTTTGTGCCTGAAATCTGTAATCTGGAGCCCACCTGAGCAGGTATTTTAGATAAATGAGAGCATTCCCCTCCCCCCTCACTATTTCACTCATGCATTTTCACTCCCATGTGCAACAGCAGGCAATATGATGATGAAAAGCCTGTAAGAGGGTTTAAGCCCCTCCACAGCACAATATATGATTTGTTAATCATTACGGTAATTGTCATCATTATAGTAAGCAGTGACCATTGCAAATATTCCAAAAGGCTGCACAATGCAATTATTCTCAATTAGTTTTCATTGTACCTGAAGTTTATGCTGATGTGTTTGGTGTTTCTCTCATAATAATGTGTGGTTGCTTTCCTCTTCTGTTGCTTATGTTTACTGTACTGCTTGTTTTGTTTGTTATTTATCCTTTACCCTATGTCCTTTATTTGGTTTTGTTTGGAAAAGTTCCTATATATATATATATATATGTATGAAATAGTATATTATATCATATATATATATATATATATATATATATATATATATATATATATATATATATGAAATAGTATATTTTGAGGTACTGTATTTCTTGTTTTTCTTTCATTTTTTGAAAGGTTTTACTTTGAAGTTCTATTTAAAAACACTTAAGAAGCTATGAAAATTTCCCCAAAAATCTAAAATACTGAGTTATTTTAGGGTTTTTTTAGGTGATACTTTGTGTTTATTGTTTTTTGAAAGGGTATTTTTACTTGGGATTTTACTGTAAGTTAAATAGTATTGTAGTAATTTTTTGTTTGTTTTTTGAGCTGCTATTTTTTTTTTTTGGATGTCACACATCATACAGCACTCGTCAAAACCACCGGCAAAATAACATTTTCCATTTCGACCACATCGTCAACGCTGCCACAGCAGTTAAACTCCTCATAAACACACTTGGGCTACCTTCTCTAAACCACTCGGCCCAATTACAGGCACTTTCTCATCTCAGTGCTGCTGCTCAGAGAAGGAGAATGTGCTCTGCTGCCTGATGAGAGACTTCGAAAAGAGGAGAAAGTCCAAACATTTCACAGCACAGACTACACTGAAACCCTCAGGAGAAAAAACAAACACCGAACAGACAAAATAAAGTTCCAGAAACTATATTCAGCTGTGTCTATCCTTTCCACTTACTTTCAGTTTTCAGTCTTTCTGTTTACTGAAGTCCACCTTTGGCGATGGCTGATGTAATGTGCCTCATTCACATGGAAATGATGTACACAGTTGGACACAATCATTTTTTCCAGTAGGTAAATTAGACTATTCCAAATTCACAGAATGTAAATCACAGCACATGCAGCAGTCAGGCTGCATCATATGGGCAAGGCACTACATTGCGATTACATTTGTATGCAAAAGTTTGGGCACCCCTGGTTAAGAACATGTCTTTTTGATTTTCCACGTTTGCACATTTTACTGCACAGTGACTGTTTAGTTGCTGAATTTAACTGAAAAATAAACCATAAAATGTGGCCTGTGCAAAATGGCACATTTTATATGTTGTGCTTTTTTTTTCACATATGTTAAACTCAGCAAATTAACAGAAGTTGTGCAGTAAAACGTGCAGTAGTGTGTTCCCTGTAGAGGATGTGTTCAAACAACAAAACTGACCGTGTAAACTGACCAGCATGTTCAAACTTTCATACGACTGTATATTACTGTAAATTGTGATTTGCCTTGCAACATGTTAAAAATGAAACAGTGAAGCAGTAATGTGACTTGATTATCGATTCACCAAAACTATTTAGGCTCATAGGACCACACGATTGGTCAGGTCTGTCAGAGATGCATTGATTTACTGGATTCAAATACATACAGTACTTTGCCACCTTTTTTATTAAATATCCAGTCTAAAAAACCATTATCAAGTACAAGTTATTCAGTTTTCAGAAGATACCTGTGAGAAGATTAGATATAAGATAATCCACTTTCATGAGGAAGGGGACAGTCGAAGCAACTAAGTGAAAAAACAGGAGTTTCCAAATCTGCAGTTCAAAAAAGAATGAAAGATACAGAAAAAATACTTCTAACAACCACCTGGAAGACCCAGTAGACCACCTCCCTCAGATGAAAAGCACTTAAAGCTTTAGAGAGAGGAGAAAATCAGGCTGGCAGGTCCAAAGTTTCATTATATATTTCTTTAACCTGAGAATAACTCCATTAGTTTGAATAGAAGTCCCTGTAGTTACTGAATAATATGCCTTTGTATGAAATAAACCTGGATTGTTAAGGGGTTAATGAGAAAAGAACATCACTGAATGTGTTTGGAATTACTTGGATGGTGAGAAGCAGAAAACACAACCAACTTCTAAGACTGAACTTTAGAGCTGTGGAAAAATATCCCTGCAGATTTCTTTGCAAATTCAAGCTGTAATAAAGCTGTAATAAAGGCAAAAAAATGGACACACTAAATGCCGAAAAAAACCCATTATATTTAGCTGAAGCTTTAATAAATTAAAAGTAATTTTTCCATAAATATATGATTTCTGATTTATTTTCTGATGCTGAAAAATCAAAAGCTTGTACTTAATATGCCGTTTTTACTGGAAATTAAATAAATGAAAAGGTGACCTCTGACATTTGCACAGCACTGTACATCATTTCCACATAAATAAAATGTGTTACATTATCTTTAAAAAGAAAGTAAACTGAGAGATAAAATAATGTTGATGTAATTTATTTCTTTATGGGAAATTGATGCAACCATTTGAATCAAGGAAATACTAAATATATTGTACTACCCTACAACGCACACAGCAAATCGATGTCGAATGCAAATTACACCACTCACCCTCCATATTTATGCTTGGCATGCTCTTCCAGGTATACGTCCTTGTTCTTCTTGCGGTTGGGGTAGCGGTTGTTGAGCAGGGTGACGGGCCACAGGCAGGCCAGGCACAGCAGCCTGAGGCTCAGCAGAATCAGCCTCATGCTCTCACACAGGGCTGCCGGGTCTCCTCCTCAGAGGCTTCAGGTCCTGCCACTGCCGTCCAGAAGAGCTCCAGGAGGCTGAGGAGGTACAGCTCCACCGACTCGGCCATTCCCCGACCTTAAACAGCCTGTGGGTGCTAAGAGAGACCTTCAGCAACTCGCACACTTCCAGAATATGAATCAGACTCAAAACTGGGCTTTTCTAAAGTAAGACATTACTTAGATGGAATAGCACACACTGAAAATAAAGAGGGCATTTTCTAAGTGATATCTTCAAAGGAAAAACATTAAATACAAGAAAACTGGTTTAAACTGGTTATGTTTTATTTCTAATTCTGTTTTTTCTATGATATAGGCCCCTTAATTATAATTAAATCAATAACTAAAGGGCCCACGAAACATTAAGCCTACAATAGTTTAGCTCCGCCCATTCACGCTTTAGTTTTAAGGAGTGTTTCAGTCTGGACTGCTTTTTGAGGGCAGCCAATCAAAATAGAGTTTATTTACAGATGCTAGTCTGAAAGCCACAGTAAAAAAAACAGCCTGTGTAAATTTAATGGATGTTGATACATGTAAAAATGTATTATGATTGTTTTTAGTATATAAAGACACAAACATTATAAGTGGACCTCAAGGGAAAAAAATAAATACCTGAAAAATGTAGGATATGAGCTCTTTAAAACAATTTTGTTGCAATTGCAATTTGCTATGTTCACCTAACTTGTACCTTCATTCATCAGCGACATAGGTGCACTTTGTAGTTTACAGTTACTGACCACAGCCCATCTGTTGATGCACAATTTATCAGCCTCCCTCCATCTCATCCATCAGTGTAAAGGGACCACCATAGGACCACCACTAACCAGAAATTTTGTGTTTTCCAAAAAAAACAGACAAAAGCAATAGCCTGAAGCCAGTACTGTAAGTCTCAGCATTCATGCTTTGTGTCTAAACTCCTTTCACCCAAGTTTGCGTGCAGGTGCATGTTCATCAGTCTATCAGCGTCTATATCCATCCTGCAGGCCAGTGCAAGTCACACGCTCTGGCCTGACGTGTCCTGCCTCATCTACATTTAAATCAATATGATTTCATTCTTACAGTAATAAAGGAATGGCATTAATTCCCCTGAAAATCCTCTTATCGGTGGCCGACTGAAATCTTTCTGTAACCTACAAAGCGGGCAGGGATGACACAGTGGGCTGCCTCTAATCAGGATTTTCACAGAACATCTATACATACTGTGTGCAGTGGCAGTTAATGGAGGGTCAGAGCTGCTTACCTGTGCAGCGTCCCCTCGCCTGACAAATGACAGCACAAACAGTCGGTACTCATCAACATATACCTGAAAAACAGAAAAGTTGTGAGCGGGAAGTCCTGCAAAAAAAAGGCAGAAATCTATAATTGTGCCTATTTGCCGCATCCCACTAAGCTCAGCACTGACATAATCAGACAATGACGTACTGCATTAGTAAAGTCATTTTTAATGCTAAAAATTACATCAGATTTCACATCTGGGAAGAGACGATGCCCTACCTAATACGCAATGCCCTATTAATACACAATGCCCTACCTATCCTAGATTTTGGTGGTTTATTCAGTGATAACTTAAACAATGTAGATTAAAATAATTAGCTGAACACCAAAAAGTATTTCTGGAAGCTTTATTCAATATTTCCATACAATAACAAAACGTTATTACATTATAAATAATATACAGTAATTATCTATTTACAGTAATTTATTCAAGTTATCTGTATTATGCAAAAGTTTATTCCCTATCAAATTATATGCTTCATTGATTTTCTAAGTGAGAATAACACATCCTTTACAGAGAACACATGGAAATATTTTTCTACAAACTTTGGTGCATTTTTTTTTCTTTCTCAGTTTAACATACTGGAACAAAACTAAAACAGAAAATACAGAATGTGCCATAACTTTTGTCCAGGCTACTTTTCATGTTCAGTTTGTTCCGTTATGTTTTAATGTTGTAATTTGTACTGCAATTATGCAGTGATTGTGCATTAAAATGTGCAAAACCGTGTTCTCTATAGAGGATGTGTTCACTTATTTTGACTTAGAAAATCATCAAAACGTCATGTGAGAAGGGGCGCACAAACTTTTGCATGCAGCCGTGATCTACTTTGACACTGATCAGCAGTTTTCCAATATGCAGCATTGTGCATATCACTTTTATTAAAACCTAATTACTTCATAACTTAACAAATTACTTTACTGATTTCTTTGTTTTATTGCTTAATTTACTTTATACATTTTTATACATACATTTTTACACTTTATTAACATGAAACATCATTCCTGATCATTATGGGAGCTGTTATCATCTACAGCTCTGTTCACCAACACAGGTAACATTGTATTTGTTTTATGAATAAAAAATTTATAATTTACTTAATATCATATTTGAATACATATATCTGCTGTAAAACTGGCTTTATATTATTAAAAAGGACTGATCCCAGTCTTTTCAATGGTAACATGCAAAGCAGGCCTATAATAACAGACATTATTACATCATATGCAAACTTACCAGGATGTTGTGAAGGTGTGAGATCTTAATGAAAGTGCAGTCGTAGATCACAGAGAAGCAAAGCGCTGTTTGGAATGCGACCTGCGCTCCAACAGACATTCCACTCTGGACTGATTCAGGGTGGCATTCTACAGAGCTCATCATTAGTTATTTGAAACAATCCCAGCGGAGTACTAATCACTTTTCATTAACACAATTCCTTAGTGGAGAGCGGGCGAGAGAGGGGTGAAGAGACAGAGAGAGAGAGATGAGGGAGGGGGAGTGAGAGAGAATGATAGAGAGGTATAGAGAGGGAATGTTTTAAACCTATCACCCAGTAATCCCAGTGCTGTGTCTAATCTGGTGGATTACGGCTTGATCGTGACCAGCCGTGTGCTGCTGAAAAGGTCTAGTCTAACCAATCACATCACAGGGGGTCTGTTCTCTTAACCGAGCCACATCAGATTAATTTCCTCTTGGGGTGCAGCCTGTGACATTTCACGGGTGGCAGTCAGCTCTAATAAATAGGACAGAATTTATCTGGTAAAATTGTTCTGAAGAAATTCCTTTATAGCTCTTACAATAATGGCTTGATTTTCCTTACTAAGACCTTAAACTGCAGGCCTGTTATTCTGCTATTATGTGTTAATGTTTGGAGGTATTGAGCTGGTATTTTGCGATAAAAAGTTAAATGTAATTACATAATTCCATAATTAATTATACAGTTAGTGACATTAAATTGTATTTGTATAATGTATTGACATACCATACTGTACGGTTCAATACAAACCTCTCAATTCAAAACATACAGGTATCAGAAAAATACATTCAACAGACTGCATCAAATAAAGCTGTCAGTTTAATTATTTTATTGCATGAAGTATGATAACGTTAAACAAGCAAGTCCACAGCGACTGGTCCGAAAAGATTTGCTTAAAAATCAAACAGTACAGTCACTGTAAGCATGTATTAGAACAGGGCTCATGTGTTATTATGAATATTGTGCTTTTATAATGCTGAATGGTCTAAAAAATGAAAATGGAAACATTAATTAATTAATGAACAGAAGACTTTCGCCATATTTTTGTTGTACTAAAACACCATTGTATCATATCAAATCAAATTATTTTGTGAATTTTGAGAATCACTAATCAGTGCACCCCCAGTATTTAGAGGTTAAAGTCAGCTCATCCAACTTTTGCCACATTTTGTTTCAATGTGAGGGAAAAAAGTGGCAAAAATGTAAAGATATCTGGTAACACTCTGGCTCAGATCATCAAGTTATAGGACCCGGGGCATAAATATTTGGTAGGCCTTTACCTGGCTACCTTTTTTGGGCTAAAAGTTATGTTTTAATGATATCACAGCGAGTTACATGAGGACTGTGCAGCACCACAATAACAGCATAACTTACTTACCACAATGTAAATGTGTATTCAGTTTTTTGTTTGTTTGTTTGCTGTTATTCTTTGGGAGATGGGTGGCTGCATTTTTTGAATGTTCTTCTGACCAAGCTGCATAGTCTGGGGACTGGGGTTTATGAGGTGCAAAACCAAAATTATGGTTCCCTAAGTGGATCTAGAAACAAATCTCCTGCATGACATATTCCTGTTAAGTGTTAAACTAATGTAAAGTGTTAAACTGTACTACACACTATAGTGATATAGTGACAATATGATGGTTCTTTAAGGGTTTTTTAGTAGGTTCTATTTAGAACCATGAGTTCTACATATTACCATTTCACGCTTAAATGGTTGTTTGCATGGTAAAATGATTATTCATATTAATGGAGAATGTGTTGTAAATGTTTCTAAGCAGAACCTTTTTGAAAATGGTTATATATAGCACTCAAAAGAGTTGTTATTGTTACACTGTCAAGCAACAGAAGAACCCTTTTTGGTGCTATTTAAAACCATATACAACACCATGCAAAGAACCATTTAAGCACGCAGATTGTTCTAAATAGAATTCACGGTTGTAAATAGAACCATTGCCTCTACTAAAGGATGCTTGAAGAACCATCATTTTTAAGTGTGTATCCAATAAATACAGAGAACGAAATCCTTCTAAAGAGGTTACAGGCTGATTGGTTGAGAAGCATTCTATGGCGAAATAACAGCAGGTTTTTTTTTTTCACAAACACTGTATCACTCCGCTGAGACGCCGTTGCTAAGCTGTAGAAAATGTTTTTATTTCTTACTTTGCGCACAAACAGAAAATGGATAAGATCACATTTGACTGACAGCTGATTTGGTCAGACTCTGAAGATGAGACTACACTAAATTTCCAAACTGTCATCACCACTGAGCAGCTTTTCAGCCGGCAGCTGTGACAGAAGAACAGCTAAACAACCTGGAATCAGCCAGAAATGAACCCAACACCATTCGCCAAACAAAATAGGCTGTAAGATGCTTTACAGACTGGCTGGAACAAAACAACATTAATATTGATCTGGCAAAAAATGACAAAACTGAGCTAAACTTGATATTGCAGCAGTTTTATGGCTCAGTCTGTACTTCAAAAGCGAGGCTTACAGCGTACTATGCAGCGAGTGAGTGGAGTTTGTTACTCTGACGTAGCAACAAGCTGCTTGTTAAGGAACTATATCTGCCTTCGGCTCGTGCCTGCGACCAAATCACAGCCATGATGTTATTTCACAATAACACACTCCCTCTTGTGTTCTATTGCTTATATAGCACTGATATTATCTTCTTATCTGTTTTGGCTGCATAAAGACCAGAGCAAGTTGCAGACCAAACATGTTATGTCCCACTATGGTTTGCTGAGTGGTTATAGCTTATTACTGACAGCAGTACAGTCATCATTTAATGCAATTCCAATTCCTAAATAACACATATATGGTATGTCAACGAAAAACTTTAATATAAAACATGCATTTGCTCATGACAGGCACATGGAGACAACATGAATTAAAATCTGGCAGGTGAAATGTCCACTTCAGACTCCTTCAGACCACTTCAGACAACAACCCAGCAATTGTTTTTAACCACTTTAATGGCGAGGACCCACCTGCGGGCCCAAAGTTTTATTACACACTTCTATAACTTAGACCAGTTTGCACTGAAGTCCCTGTAGCTACTGAATGATAAGCCTTAGTATGTAGTAAGCCTGGGTCTTTCAGTGGTTAACACAGGCTGACCTTTTTAAAATGTAGTGTTTGTTTTTGGAAATGATCGTCCTTCTACTCTTTCAGGGTTTCATGTTTTACAGGTCTCCAGGCACATCTTTTGTATATCTAGAGCTTCCAATTCAAAGTACATTCACAGGAATGATGCACAGGAAAGCCTAACTGGGGTAATGGCGGCTAGTGGAATGGTAGCTAAGCAGTGATTGGAGGAGAAAAGTGGAAGTTCAAGAATGATGTGAGAGCGTCATGATTTTGATTGGGTGTGATGTAAGCTTAAAAATTTATTTATTCTCGCTTTGCCACTAGTAAAGTTTCCACTGCAAGCCAACTGTTTAGATTTTGTAATAAGTGCTCACAGGGGCCCCCTGGTGGCTTGAGCCCCAGGACACGCATTCCATAAACACCATGAGATGATCCAGGCCTGGGAACACTTGAACCTCGATACGTAACATTAACACAACCATGCTGTAAACATGTCATAGCAGATTGAGTTCAGAAATCCAACAGTGTCACGTTATCGTTACTGGTTATTGCCATTATGTTTGATGTCATGCTGGTTCACGACAGTATACTTATCAAAATAATGCTTATAAAAATAGTGAGACACAATACGCCACGACAACTTATGATATCTGGCATAACATGTTTATGACATTGTTATGTAAACAGAATGTAGCAGATTTCAAGTAAAGAGTAACTGGATATTTTCCTCAAAACAAGACGATGTGTACAGCAGTAACAATAATAATATCCCTTGTTCTACTTATGACCACAAACATTGACTGAAGTGCAGAATCTGCACTTTAGACAGAATTTCTCATATTGTTTCAATGAGGTACAAGGAAGAAATAATTTATAAAAAATGTGTTATCACTGGAAACAACTGCACCGTGGTGGGTAGCACTGTCGCCTCACAGCAAGAAGGGCCTGGGTTCGATTCCCTGGCCAGGCGTTCAGGGTCCTTTCTGTGAGGAGTTTGCATGTTCTCCCCATGTCTTTGTGGGTTTCCTCCGGGTACTCCGGTTTCCTCCCACAGTCCAAAGACATGCAGTCAGGCCAATTGGACATGCTAAATTGCCCCTGAGTGTGAGTGAATGAGTGAATGTGTATGTCTGTCTGTCCAGGGTGTATCCTGTCTTCCGCCCGATGACAGCTGGGATAGGCTCCAGCACCCCACCGTGACCCAGAAGGATAAGCGGCTTAGAAGATGTGTGTGTGTGTGTGTGTGTGTGTGTGGCAATAACTGCAGCTTCTAAAGGTTAACCCCTTAAACCACAAGCATATTATTCAGTAATTAACTCATTCATGTCCAAAAACTAGATTTAAATTGATCAGTGAAATATCACAGAATATTACAAAATGTTCAAATCAAATTGGGATTTTTATTGTTTAGTTAAAAGTGATTAGTCCCTTGAGACCAAAAGACTAATTTTACTCTACTAAATTAAGAGATTTACTCACTTTTTTCAGTCACATCATTATATCAATTAAAAATCTTAAATGTAGGATTTTTAAATCTAGGTCTTTTGGTGGCCTTTTTGTGTTGGAGCCTATCCCAGCGGTCATTGGGCAGAAAGCAGGAAACACCCTAGTCAGCTCACCAGTCCATCGCATGGCAGACACACAGACACGTACAATCACACAAACACACACACTCACACTCAGGGGCAATTTAGTGCGGCCAATTCCCCGGACTGTGGGAGGAAACCGGAGAACACTGGGGAAACGTACTCAGACACAGGGAGAACACGCACCCTGATCAACACTCCACCCTGAAAGGACCCTGGTCACCCGGCCGGGGAATCAAACCCAGACCCTTCCTGCTGTGAGGCGACAGCGCTACCTACTGCACATTGTACTTTTATTGTGTATTTATATTTTCTTGCCTTATTTATGTTAATTTTCATTTTCAATTTTATTTTTATTAAGCTGTTATTCCTATTTTAATAACACTTTGTCTTCAGTTTCTTTTGTTCTGGGATGGTCAGTCCATTGTTCTGAGAACATCAGCAGCTTCTTTGTTCTTCTTTTTTGTCTAGTTATCACAATGTTACATAAATTCAAGTACTAGTCACTACCCACCTTTGGATATGGGACATACACCGATCAGGCATAACATTAAAACCACCTCTTTGATTCTACAATCATCGTCCATTTTATCAGCTCCACTTACTATATAGGTGCACTTTGTAGTTCTACAGTTACAGACTGTAGTCCATCTGTTTCTCTGCATACTTTCTTTGCCCCCTTTTACCCTGTTCTTCAATGGTCAAGACCCCCACAGGACCCCTACAGAGCAGGTACTTTTTGGGATCATTTTCAGCACTGCAGTGACACTGACGTGGTGGTGGTGTGTTAGTGTGTGTTGTGCTGGTATGAGCAGATCAGTCACAGCAGTGTTGCTGGAGTTTTAAATACTTTACTGTCACTGCTGGACTCCACCAACCAAAAATATCCAGCCAACAGTGTCCTGTGACCACTGATGAAGGACTAGAGGATGACCAACACAAACTGTGCAGCAGCAGATGAGCTACTATGTCTGACTTTACATCAACAAGGTGAACCAACAAGGATGGAGTTATGAATTTGGTAGGTACTCTGAAATTATTACCTAGTTTATGTGGTTATGAAGTGCAGCACCACATATATTTATGTGCCCTTTAGGCATTTTTCACTGTGGACCCTAAATTTGCATTTTATGCATTTGTCCAGCTGAATGCCAGAGGTTATTCACTTCACTCTAAATACAGAGTTCTTTATAGAACTGTATCTATTAGAATAGGAAGTGAACTTTGGGTCTGTTCTTCTCTTTTTGGGATCCTTTTGGTCTAAACTAAAATGCTAAAGCCTGAATATTACGTGAGAACAGCAAAGCACTTCAGGTGCTGAATTAACAGATCAGAAATAAAATCACCACTTCCAAACATTTGCGCATGTGTTCAGGATTGGGATGTAACCGAATACTCATAAATCAATGTGATGATCAGTTATTAATCTCAGTGTTACTGAGCTCTGCTAAAGCCTGAGTAGACTGATACATCAATGTGATGGCCAGTTATTAATCTCAGTGTTACTGAGCTCTGATAAAGCCCGAGTAGACTATAAACCAATATAATGATCAATTATTAATCTGAATCTGAAACATTACTGAATATTTAGGACAGTTTATTCAGTATTCAGCCATCACTACTTTTTACTATTCTGCCCATCCCAGTGTGTGTCGGTTTCTTTGTTGACTATCTGTGTTCACTGAGGGGAGAGTAACCAAACTCCACCCACGTTAAAAGTAGGCATGTAAAATGAGTAATTTGCCTCCACGTCTTCTTGTGCTGTTGATGCTATGGGGAGTGTTTAGAGAAGAACCTGTCCGTCTTGTTCCATTCCCCATCCACTTTCCAGTCAGAGAAGAGGAGCTTCTCACTTCAGCCAGAGAGACTCAGCATTCGCATACATGTGAGTCAACTTTCTTTATCCTCTCTACTATTACAGAATACAAGCAGATGAGCCACAACAACAGAGATCTGACTCAGACAGCACACAAACTGTTTCTCCTTACTGGGACAATGCCATTATACAAACTTACTGCGTGATATGCTGTGATTGCTGTCTCGTGGTTTGTTGTATTACCAAACACAAATTCAACAGGATCTGATCTGATAAGGAATCTGATTTGTATAGGCTAATCCAATACAAACAGTCTGATTGTTACACTGCAATAGTGACCTGATTGTTTGTTGTCTTAACATAATATAATATAAATAATAAAATATAATGTAGCTAAACTGTTCATCTGATAAATATATATTAAGTTGCTAGTTTTTGGGAACACTACTTAATTTGGCATTCGTAAGTCTACATTACACCTACACATAAACCTATATAGACTCTCCTAAAAACTGAGAAAAACAGCTTTTATGACAAATGATGCTGGATATAATAAGCCTTTATAATTGTTTATGTAGGTTTCTGAAAGGATTATCTACACAATCTAAAAAGATGGTTCTTCAAGGGTTCTTTACTACACCATGAGTTCTGCTTTTGTTATGATTTCAAGCTTGTACCAATAGAGGAACTCTTTTTGGTGCTATATAGAACAATATACAACACATTCTCCATCAATTTAAAGAACCATTTCACCATGCAAAGAACTATTTAAGCAAGAAATGATTCTATATAGAACCAATTCATTATTAATTGGTTCTTTGCATAGTGATGTCATTCTTCAGATTGATGGAGAATGTGTTGTATATTGTTCTATATAGAACCTTTTCAAAAATGGTTCTATGTAGCACCAAAAAGGGTTCGGCTTTTGTTATAATTTCAAGCTTGTACCAATAGAGGAACCCTTTTTGGTGCTATATAGAACAATATACAACACATTCTCAGTTAATCTAAAGAACCATTTCACCATGCAAAGAACTATTTAAGCAAGAAATGGTTCTATATAGAACTCATGGTACAAATGAACCCTTGAAGAACCATCTTTTTTTAAGTGTGTAGGTGTCATGTAGCTGTAGGAATGCTGTCCTTCAGTAAGGTGTTGCCCAGTTTGTTAGGTTAGCCAACGTTTTACCTACACTCACTGGCCAACTTATCAGCAACACCTACCAGCTTCACTTTGTATTTACAACCTGCCAAGCTGGTTGTCACAAACGTCATATCTTAACCTATACTGAATGTCTATGCCCACCTTTAATTCTTGCGAATGAGCAAAAATATTTGATATTGAGATCTGATTTATCAATTAATTCAATCATTTTGATTTAATTCATGTGTTGTAAAATAGAGGCTGAGAAAATTCACAGAACTCCCCACTTACCGATTTTTTTTTAAATTAAGAGCAGTTAAAAGTGTCTTCCCAAAATACCCTAAAATGAGTCCACACATGTGACAGCCGTCACCATTCTAATGATGTCAATCAACTCAAAAAAGGCTGCTACACTACGCTGATTTCATGGTACATTCACAGCATCATAAATAGTATAAAATATCTGACGAATTAATGATACCCAAATATTTGGCGAATATTTTTACTTTGCGTTATGAAAAACAAACAACTCACCTCAGATAAAATCTCTAGCAGTTACAGAGAAGATATGGTGGTAGAGTATTGTTCAAAACTCAGGGACCAACCATCACATATTTAATCTCTGGTCAAATGCCAATTAAGTAAGATATTTCTGAGGAGATAAGGAATAAGAGAACAGGGATAAGTAAAGGGAAAGTCAAAGAGAAAGTCCAACTAACGTCTAAGACTGAACTTGAAGATGTTGAAAAAATTCTTGCAAAATTTCTTTGAAAAAATGAAAGCAAATCTCTCAAAAAGAATCTGCATGGGTCTGGAACCCCCTAATAAACTTCCTGGACCCCTTGAATGTCTCCCAATCAACATTCTGGGGGGTCTTGGAAAATAAACTTTTTATGATGTTATGCTGACCATTAGGGAAAAATAATCGGTCAAATACAAATTCAGTGAAAGCTCATTATTTAGCTGCTTCACCCACAATCAAGCTTCTGTCCTTGGTATTCTTAATTAACTAGAGATGCAGCACTGCTCTGCCTCAGGGTGGTGCTGTAGGAAATTGGTTCACCCAGTTGGTGCCTAGCTGCTGTAACTATGCCCAGGACACCTCTGAAAAAGTTTACAATATACTGTAGCTTAATTTTAAATCTTAAAATTAGCCTTGTTTCCAAAGTGTTTGGTGACAACAGTGAATTGTTACTCATTTCTCAAACCCAAGGCAAAAGAGGAGATGTGTAAGATCTCAATTAGTGTGTGAAAGAGCGCATTATTAAACTAGAAAAAAAACATTTTCAGAAGAAGAATGTTAAACCAATCAGCGCATCTATGGTAAGTGAGATAGCAGCCCACCAATGCTGGAGAAGCCAGCTAACATGGGACCCCTCGCATACCAGGGGGTATTTCACACACTGAGAATGAATGATAAAGCATGGAAAAGTGTGGCACTGTTGCCTCACAGCAAGAAGGGCCTGGGTTCGATTCCCGGTCGGGCAACCAGGGTCCTTTCTGTGTGGAGTTTGCATGTTCTCCCTGCGTGGGTTTCCTCCGGGTTCTCCAGTTTCCTCGCCCAGTCCAAAGACATGCAGTCAGGCTGACTGGAGGTGCTAAACTGCCCCTACTTGTAAATGTGTATGTCTGTGTGTCTGCCCTGCGATGGACTGGTGACCTGTCCGGGGTGTTTCCTGCCTTCCGCCTAATGAACACTGGGATACGCTCCAGCACCCTCTGTGACCCAGAAGGATAAGTGGTTTAGAAGGTGGACGAATGGTCTCTGACATCTGCACAGTACTATATATGACCTCGGCCCTCAAGGCTTCACACTGCAGTGACAATATATCTAGACTCCCCCCCTGGTGTACGAGAAAATAGGGCTATGACAATCAACCCCAGTAGAGTAGGAGTACCAGATATAATGCACTTTATAAACTCACAATTGGCTCTATTATGCAACCTTTAACAACCAGATAAAGCAGTGACTGACCCACAGCTTGAAAGGGTCAAACAGATCTGAGACTGTTTGTCTCAGATTTCTCTGAGCAATAGCTATGATCAGCTTTCACCTTTCATATCCTACTGAATCCAACAAAAGCAGCTGATCCTGGACCAGCATTTCATACACAACAAAAGCTTTAAAGGGAACATTGAGGGATTTAAGAGAAAACAACAAATGAAGTGGCTATTAAGATGAAAGAAAGAACTGGATATCATTACAAACACAGTCAACCTGAAGGAACATGTCTGGATGTTCAAACAGCATACAGGAAAAAACCTGCTGAAGCAGGCAAGAGCAGAACAATGACTCTTTGTGAGAATGGAAAGTTTCTGTGAAGTGTCAAGATGTTTAAAAGCACGTTTTCAGAATAATTGTATGTACATTGTAAAGTCAAGGTAAAGAAATGGCTTTTAACCATCCTAAATGTCCTTCTTTCCTCAGTGATGGCAGCAGCAGTACAGGTCTGTGCTTGCTTCCTCCTCGTGGGGCTTCTTATAGAGGCAAGTGGAAAGACTCCAGGTGAGATCACAACCTCTTTTAACATGCACTGAAGCAAGAAGAGCTCTGGGCAATGCGCCACAAATGACATCTACAGTATCATTTTCACATATAGAGAGAACTGGAAAAATAAAGGCTAAAAAAGGTCAAAGCAAAGAAATGTCTGGATGTGACGGACCAAGAGTGATAAAGAAAGCAGGTGTGTTTAGGCTGGAAGAGTTAACCAATCATTCAGGTTCAATGAGGTGCTTTTCATGCAGTTGAATCAATACCATATATCAGGGCTGTCAATCCCAACCACTAAAAGGGCCATATTAAAAAAATCTCAACAAATCTGTGGGCCAGCTGTGTTTTTATTTTCTTTTTACTTAACATCTTGCCATGACCCCAACTGGCCATTGTTTATTCAAAATATGCCAAAACTGCAACAGCAAAAAACAGGCACTGAATACCTGAACTATTTGGAAATATTTTTTAATAAAAACAAATTATTTTATATAAAACAATAGGCTACATTAGCTACAGATAACTGTTAAACTTCTTTGTCCCCAGGAGGAAGGTTTTTAAAACTGTCTATTTGTTAAGGCACCATACTTTTTTTGTGTAACTGCTGGCCCACGGTGCAGCTCATGGTGAAATGAGCTTATATTAATAGAAAAATAAAATAATTTCGGGAGCCAAATAGGATTGTATCACGGGCCTGACTTGGCCCACGGGCCTTGTGTTTGACACATGGGCAGTGGTGGACGAAGTGCACAAACAATATACTTGAGTTAAAGTAGAGATACCCAAGGTAAAATATTACTCCAGTAAAAGTAGAAGTTCCTCCCTTTAGACCTCCACTTGAGAAAAAGTACAAAAGTATTTGCCTTCAAATGTACTGAAGTATCAAAAGTGAAAGTACTAAAAGATTAATTAGGGCTCTAATGTCCTATTATTATCTTGATACGCCAATCTTTTAATAGAATGTCATTAATTAGTCTGGCGCTGATGTCTATTAAAATTATCATAAGCACAAAACACTGAAGGCAAACAATTTCCATCAGGTAGAACTGAGTGGCTCTGAAAAAGTTTTTTTGCGAACAAGCAAAGTTTCAGTTTAAGATTTATTTGCAACTTAGTTACAAGTTTGAGCTTAATAAAAACTTTAAACTCAGGTTCACAAATGAGTTTTCCTCTACTAAACTGCATCTGTAGGTCTCTGTTCATAAACATAAACTAGTCAAAACAAATTTACTATAAAAGGAAATAGTGTTTGTATAAATTCAGAAAAAAGACACGTCAGTCACAACTGCATATGTGTACATATTCTATATTGTGGTCTGTTTACACAAAGTTGGGTTAGAGTCAGGAGTTTCTTCCATCATTTATGCTGGAATAGGCACTCCCAAACTTTTATGCTGCTGCACTGACGTTGAACCATATGCTTGCACTGGGAAGCTACATCCAACAGGTCAAAACAAGCTCAGAACCAAGTGCGTGCTGTGCCCTGATTGGTGTTCTTGCTTTGTGCTTCATTCGTTTTGACATGTTACATTTTTATGCACACATAAGACAAACGGAAAGACAGATTTTGCATAATGTAGTGGAGTAAAAAGTAAGATATTTGACTTTGAAATGTAGCGGAGTGAAAGTGAAAAGTCATCCAAAATGGAAATACTTCAGTAAAGTACAGATACAGATACAGGCAGAATAGAGCAAAGGATATCTTTAACATAAAAATATGCTTAAAGTTTTGATGTTAATTCATACTTTACAGCTGATGTACCCAAAAATTCTCCTCCTCCTTTGCCAAAATTCTATTTTGATGCAAACTGGACAGTCCTAATCTTGGGTACACTTTAAAAAGGTGGTCCTTTAAGGGTTCTTTAGTAAAGGAAATGTTGCTATATAGAACCATGAACACTCAAAGAACCCTTTGCGTGATTAAAGGGTTCTTTGCATCGTGAAATGGTTCTTCAGACTGATTGAGAATGTGCTGTTGATGGTTCTAAACAGAACCTTTTTGTCAAGCTTGCAACAATGGAAGAACCCTTTTGGTGCTGTAAAGAATCCTGTTAAAAAAAATATTCTATATAGAACCATCTACAGCACATTCTCCATCAATCTGAAGAACGCTTTATTCATGCAAAGGGTTCTTTGAGTGCTGAACCATCTTTTTAAGTGTGCGGTGCTTCTGTAAGCAGTCTCCTCACCAATCACAAAGCTCATGTGGCTCCTCCCTCCAAACCAGCTTTAACAACCAAGATTGGTTACCTTCATCAAGCGTTTAAGTCTCTCACCAACTCAACACCACAAGCAACACATACTGACACCAAAAAGTGTGAATCAGACCTTTTCATAAAACAACTGGCTTATCAAACATAAACATTTATAATCAGCTTTCTTATGTATTGAGTGGTCAAATGTACAGTGCTGTGCAAAAGTCAAAGACCACTAGTCAAAATGGCCATTAAGTACAGGTTATTCAATTTTCATAAGATATTTCTGAGGCGATTAGGTATGCGATAGTCTGTGTATATACTGTGTAATTTTCGGTGAAATTTGTATATTTTTCTGCTTTTTTCTTGATGCTGAATTGATGCTTGATGCTTTTTTTCCCTGATACTGAAAAATGAACTGACCTGAAACTTGTAATTAATAGCTGTGACTGGAAATGAAATAAATGCAGGGTGTGCTCTTACTTTTGCACAGTACATATCCTGTGTTTGTTTTTATGGAATGCCACAAAATATAACTTGATACAATACACCAGTGTTTAAATACACATAGACACATACAAGTATCTCCAAAGCAATAACTTTACAGGGGAGGATAAAACATTATTTTTAATAAAAGTTAATGTAATTAGATTTTTGTTCCAAGTAAATTCGGGCCATTTCCGTTGGTCTATTACCATTATATTTTGACACAATGTACGGAAAAGATGTGGAAAAAATAAAAATGAAAAAAGACGATTTTTTGGACATTGCTGATATTTAAATAATAATCTCAATGAACAATTATTCCAGCAATAGTTTGTAAACAACAGGTTTTGGTTGCCACACCACTTAGCAGTCAATGATTCCATAAAGAACACAATGTTTTTTAACTTTGCATTTACAGAATTCGACTGATTTGTGCTGCCATATGAAACTGTACTGAATATTTTACTACGGCTTCACACATCACTCATCCTATCAGATCAAGGCCATGTGGCTTGTACAAACATTAAAAGTCCATTAGTGAAAGACCTAGTGGACCACAGACTGTGTTTGTGTTAGCATGTTTACCTAACTGTTAACCTTGCTTCTATCAGATGTGCAGATAACCTGTCTATTCTCTGAGAACTGCGTCCTGCCCTGTAGCTTTATACCCACTGGCGGTGAGGAGATCCAGTGGTTCAGGCAAGATGTTCTTGTCTACAGCCATCCACAGAGTAGTGACCAGCCCAGTGAGCAGTTTGAGGGCAGGGCATCAATGTCCATCCAGCAGCTTGCCCTTGGCAATGCCTCTGTCCTCCTGCAGCGCTGTGGGCCGCAGGACAGGGGGCGCTACAGGTGCCGAGTGGTCAAGGGCAAAGAGAAGAATGAGTCCTTTGTCATAGTGAAAGTGGAAGGTAAGGTTACCAGCTCTTAGTGTTTAAACACTACTTTAGGACCAAGTATGCAAACACATTTGTCTATAAAAGCCTTTACGTATTTGGTTCAATGCCTGCTTTTACTCCACCTGCAATCTGGACAGTCCTGCATGAGTAGCTGTGGTTGTAAATGTTTAATATGTACTGCCATCCAAACATTTGGAATCAGTTGGCATATTAGCATCATAATAAGATTATAAATTAAACACCAGAAAGTATTTGTAGATGTTTTTGCAGATGGATTGGAATCATTTTATACATCTACCTTTAATAAAAATGATTTTTATTGACAACAGTGATGCCTTTTTTTAACAGTGCCATAACTGTAATCACTAAAAGCATGCTAAAAATGAATAAGCACTACCTAAACTAATCTTGTTTGTCAATTTAGCCCCTATCCACTCAGTAAATATAGACATCACTCGTCTAAGTGGCTTTGAGGAGGTAAAGTGCTCCACTCAGGACGTCTACCCTGCTCCTCGTGTGTCATGGTCTACTGAACCACCCACACCTTCAGACAAACTGACACCCAACACCCGCATAATGGCCAACGAACAGGGCCTCTACGCAGTGGAGAGTAAACTGAAGAGACTGAAAAATCACTCCGACTTCACCTACATCTGCACCATTAACTCATCTTACTCTGCTCAGACCTGGAGAACATCACTGAAGGAGACAGGTCTGCTCATCCTCCAAAAAAGCTTTTTACGCAAAATCACTCACTGCCTTTCAAAGGTTTTGGGACAGCTAATGTTTCAAAATGCTTTTAATACAACATTAAGGAATTATATATTGTTAAATTATTAAATATATTACATTTTCTTTATTGTCTGCAATACTCGTTTAAAGCATTGGCCAAGAAGGATAATTCACAAAGTAGGATTTCTCAGTAAACTAAATAACTCAAGCCAAAGTGAGGATTATCGAATAGCAATGTCCCTCACCTCTTATAGGAAATGATTGACTTTTAAATATTGTGTAATATATGTAAATATTTGTGACAGTGCTCTATATGTTCTCCATCCTTGTTGAGATGTCAGCACTCAAAACCTTTCAGCTATTTATACCACTTTTGGCCAAAGTTTTTCAACATATGAAACTTTTAGGCCAAAGGATTTTCAGTACATAAAAAACCTTTGGGCCAAAAATCTTCAGTAGTTAAAACCTTTGGGGCAAAAGATTTCCAGTAAGTGAAAGCTTTGGGCCAAAAGATTTTCAGTATGTGAAATCTTTAGGCCAAAATATTTTGAGGAAGTGAAAACTATTCAAAATCTTTGGGACAAAAGATTTATAAAATGTGATACATTTGGGACACATAAAAACTTTAGGCCAAAAGATTTTCAATATATGAAATTTTGGACCAGAAGTATTTTAATATGTGATACATTTAATAACCTTTTGGCTTTTTGGTTTTCGAACAAGATATTTCAATATGTGAAACATTTGGGCCAAACGTTTTCAATATGTTTTTCGATATATGAAACCTTTGGGCCAAAAAGATTGTCAATATGTGAAATGTTTGGGCCAAAAATCTTAATATGTGAATTTTCTGGACCAAAAGCTTTCAGTATGTGACATATTTTTGAATAGTTTTTCAATGTGTTTTTGAAATTTTCAATAGTTTTTCAACATGTGAAACCCGTTAAATCATTATTTGTGCAATACCCACTCCTTGTACAAAGGACGACATTTTAATGAGAAGCTGTTATAAAATTGCTGTTTTATGCTAACAAAACATCTTATTTGAGAAGTAACAGGAAGGAAATTCACTACCGAACAGAAGGTGAAGTGTCCCCAGGCTTTTGAACTGTAATGTATGTTAGGGGAAAAAACCTCCACCAACATAATATTATGAACCTACCACCATTTTCACCTACACATTGCTGTTTTTTTTTTTTTTGCAGTCATCAACAAAGTTATCCTCACATCGAAATCACACTCATTCTTTGAGTGGGCAGAAATCAGCTCTGCTGAGGGTAAGGACCTCACCATTCCTTGCAAGGCACCATGGGTCATGCAAAACTTCACAATGACCTGGACCTTCAAACTGTCCAGAGCAAATGAGCCCACTGTCATCTGCACTTACGACAGCAAGACACAGCTCATGTCCAACCAGTGGGAAGGCAGGGCCTGGGTGGATGCAAGGACGGTGCAAACGGGGACTGCATCCCTACGGCTCCTCAACCCTCAGAGTGTGGAGCACACAGGCACGTACACCTGCATCATCACAGGCCTGCAGAGGAGACACGAAGGACAGACGGCGGTCAACATCACTTCACCTGCACGTGAAAGTACAGTATAACAATAATCAATAAGACAAAAAGCTGTTCCCTTTTTAACTTCTGTTTCTCTTCTGATACACTGGACAGTTCATTTAAGTGAGCAATTAGAAAATACATTCAGTGGCCACTTTATTATAAACTCCTTGTAGCTTCACCTTACTGGTGTACAGTTGGTTGTCTATTTACACACAGTTTGTGTTAGTCATCCTCTAGCTCTTCATGAATGTTCAGTTTCTGACCACACAGCCGCTGTTGGGGAGGTATTTTTGGGTGGTGGACAATTCTCAACGTAGCACCTACACTGACCTCATATACCACTTTATAAATCCCAATGATAATTATGCCATTTTTAATTTTATTAATTAAGATACAACATAGTGCAATTACGTTAAGTTATTCATTGTTCAGAGTCAGGACAAAAGCAGAAAACACACTATATGGACAAAAGTATTGGGAGAAACCTCTTAATCATTGAATTCAGGTGTTCCAATCAGTCTCATTGCCACAGGTGTATAAAATCAAGCACCTGTCCATGCAGTCTTTCCCTTTTAGATATTCCTCGATCAACTGTGAGTGGTATTTTTGAAAGGTGTAAGCATTTAGGAACACCCAGCATGGCTGGGTGAGTTTAGTGTGGAAGAACTTGACTGGCCCTCACAGAGCCCTGACCTCAACCTCAGCAAACACCTTTGGGATGAACTAGAATGGAGATTGCGAGCCAGGCCCTCTAATGTGTAGGTGTCCCAAATTTTTTCGTCCATATAGTGTATATTTAACAGAAAATTACACAGAACTTAATACAATATCATTCTTAAGTATTTCATTGTGTCCACTCTTTGCCTTTATCACAGCTTCCATTCTTTTCATGAGGATTTGCAAAGAAATCTGCAGGGATATTTTTTCACATCTTCAAAGTTCAGTCTTAGAAGTTGGTTGCATTTTCTGCTTCAAACAATCCAAGTTATCCCAAACACACTGTGATGTTGAGGTCTGGACTGTCCATTGTTATGAGAACAACAGCTTTGTTTTGATTCTGATCTTTGTTTGATATACAAATTTACTTCTTTATGTCACTACAAAGTTGTAGCAGATATACAACAATCTATATCAATATAAGTATTTCAATGTGCTTTTAAAACACTGTCAGTATATTTTAGCAACACTGTGATAATATTTAATGTAATAAAGCATGATATCAACTATTAGTGATATCAACTACACTCATACCAGAGCCCACACTGCCATGTGAGGGTCAGTGTTGTATTGAGAATTGTCCACCACCTAAATAATATCTGGCCAACAGCAGTCTTGTGGCCAGAAAGAAACCTTTGGTCAATTAATTACAGAGTGGATGACTAATTATGTATCACAAAAGATAGGCTAGAGTCAATGGAGAACAATGTAAGGGTTTCTAATAAAGCGAATGGTCAACATGGGACAGTACACTGTGATTTCTCAAGTAAATGAGTCACCGTATGGTATTCCTTCCTTGTTTCAGATATGAGTTCTAGTTCTTTGTAATGCTGTTTCCTTGTTGGCACAAACGTTTCCTTTTTTAAACCTTCGCCCTGAAGGTGAGAGGATGGAGGTGAAAATGGAGAGCTCTACACTGTGGTGGGTTCCTGCTGTCGTAATCGTCATACTTGCTATCACTGCAGCATTTATAGTAGGAATACTGAAACTAAAAGGTGAGAATGAGCTGATTTTAGGAGGTAACACGCTACTACACTTCTGCCATACTTAGCTTAACCAGGTCCACCTGGTTTACCAATGCCTCTCCCTTCTCCCAACCAGATGACTGTTCACATTCAAATAACGCTCGAGAGGCCAGAGATTCACGTCAGGTTGGAGGTAGGCATGAGGTCATTCATTCTCAGAATAAAGAACATAGAAAGAGTGTCCACTAATCACTTTACTGATAATTATGCTGTGTTCAAATGAAGCTTGGAAGTTGGAATTTCCCACAACCAACTAGGAAAAATCAAAGAAAATGCCCCCTCAACTGGGAATGTCTTCATTCAGGGTGGTGTTCTTAACTCTGAGCTCAGCATATAAATCAAATAAATTAAAAGCGGTTTATCGTTGCCACAGAAAGCATATATTACAGGCGAAATGACGAAGCTGTTTGCTGTCCTTGAGCACAGCTTTAGTCGCTGAGAATAGACTTACGTACAGTCATATGCAAAAGTCTGAACACCCCAGGTCAAATGACATGTTTTGGTGATTTTCTAAATCAAAATTAAAACTTTAAGATACAGAATTTCACTCATCCTCCACAGGGAACAAACTTAAATATGGTATTTTTTTCTGAAAATGTTCATGCATAATTTCTATTTATTTGCTTAGTCTAACATATTGGGAAAAAAAAAACATAAAATGCGGCATTACTTTTGCACAGGCTGCATTTTATGTTGGATTTTTTGCAGTGTGCTAAATGCAGCAGTATTAGTATGCATTAAAATGTTCTCTGTAGAGGATGTATGACTTATTTTCACTTGAAAAATCAACAAAACGTATTATTTGACCTAAGGCAACCAAACTTTTGCATACATGTTCAAATAATGGTTTTACTAAATTAATGATTCTCTTTGGGTGAACAAATTCTGATGTTACTCACTGTTATTTTCAAGATGTTTCTTAATTTTAGTTGAATATTTAGTGTTTCAGCTTTGTTGGCCCCATTGGCACAAACTCTTCCTCTGAGTATTTAACAATAAAACAGTTGTGGTTTTAAATAATATATTGATTTTTATGAATAATTTTGTACAGATTTACTGATCTTGCAAAATTGCTTGCTGCCTGTCCTGTGAGGTGGCTCACCTTTCAGAGCAAGCATTTACAAATAAATCTTTCTTTTACAGTGACTGTTACAGACAGTGAAGCTATATCTGAAGGCAGCCATTTAAGAGCTGATCCAACCAATGAGCAAGAAATGAAAGATGTGCACTGAAGAAGCGCTGTGGTTAAACCATCCTCCATCTCCAACCACCATGGACTGTCACCTTCTAAAGGCAAACAACTGATGAAAGACAATCTCAGTTTCTCTCAACACTCAATTTCATGTGCACAGGCTTCTCTTTTCACATTTTATCTTGGGATTTCGGCCTTTCTTCAAACTTGGATGGACATTATAAGCGCCATAATGACCACCTGTTATCATTAAAAAGGACATATAGTGACCTTAATGTAAAGAACTGCTCCTATGAAACATCAAAAGCTGTTTGACTGCTAATGACTTCCTCTTGTGGAGAATTTTTAGCCTGCTAAATGTGAGTGAGTGAGTGAATGAGGGAGTTACAAGCATAGTCAATGACTTTTAAGATGCATTATAACACATCTAAAATATCCACAGAGCAAAATCTTAGTAAATCAGTGGCAACATTTCACAAAAAAAACTAGCTTATAGCAGAGTGACATCACAAATGCTAAAAACATTCTTCGACAATTTTATCATTATTGTGATAAATGATGTTACAATATGCATTTCTAAGTATATCATGGATAATACCAGAAAATAATAAACACAAACCAACTGCATGTGTCATTACAAAGAGTGCATAATTAGTGCTGTTTAATTGGATTTAGAGCAGGGGGCGCTGAGATGAGGCCTTTTCAAACATGAGGTGCGCCATGTCAGTAAACACAAGACAGCAATTTAAGATAATATGAAAGACAGATGTCCCATAAACTCTGAACTGACCGCTCTCCGACTCTCAGCTCTCAGAGCGCTGCAGCTCTCCACTCATTCTCCTGTTTCTAAAAGACATTAACCTAGAAAAAAACCACAGACATTAATGTTGATGACCCTCTAGAATCGCCCGTCACTGATTAACAAGGCCATCATTAGAGGACTGAAAAGTGGTGATGATTCTAGGGGTTCAAAGTTTGAGGGGGGCTCACAGTAGGATGTGTGCATTAACTTGTATGAATGTATGATGTATGAATGAATGTATGCTATAGATAATATAAAGTATAATGTATGAGTGAATGTATAATACAATAAAGTTACCGTAATAAACCCATAAATCATGTAATGTCACTGAAAGTAGTTTCAGTTTCTTATACATGAGCTCCTTCTCGCCTCTAAAAAAAAAAAAAATTCAGTCCTAGGCCGGAAGTTCTCATGAATTTCAAAAGCGTTTATAACAGGGGTCATCAAATAGATCTGACATGGGGCCAAACTTCATTTTCACATGGCATCAGAGTGAAAATCTGATGAATGAATGCCTACGTGCTGATCATAAAAACCTGTCTTACTGTACTGAATAAGATCACAGAAGAGCTTGTCTGATTTCTCTTGTACTTTTGTATAGCTCCCTTGGTCGACACAAATTTTATGTCAAATTTCAATATTAAATCTTAAAATAATTATTTTTTATATTTGTGAAAATAAAGCGGTATTTTTAAGAAGTTCAATTTTCAATTCAATTTTGAGAAAAGTTAATATTTTGAGATAAAAGTAAAAATTCCAAAATACTAAGTCAATATTTTGAGAAAATAAGTCAGCATTTTTGAGATACTAAGTAAATACATCAAGAAAATAAATCATTATTTTCAAACACTAAGTAAATATTTTCAGAAAAGTTATTATTTTCAGATACTAGGTTGATTTTTCATGAACACAAGTCATTATTTAGATATACTACATCAAAATATAATGAAAATAAGTAATTATTTTGAGAAACAGTTACTTTGAGCAAATAAGTCACTTTTGAGATACTACATCAATATTTTTAGGAAATGTTTAGATTTGAGACAAAATCTGTTCATACTGCTGTTGTGAAGATCAGGCACTGCAGTGTCAGACACCATGAAATCTATATATAATGTCTTAGGGTGTGTTTAGTTATGAAAATAAATGAGAAATCTCTCTTGAATATTTGTTGAATGTTGTTGTTGAACATTGAATGCTGAATTATGAATGCTGAATATTATTTAGAACTGTAGCTGTTTATTTCTAAAATTACTAAAGTTAAACAGTTTCAGGAAATACATACTAAGAGTAGAAAAGAATATAAATATTATCCAGTTTCACAATTTTCAGCCCACACTGCTATGGATTTGAATCTCCACAAGGGGGCAGCAAAGGATTTATTTTCATAATTACTTCGGGCCCAACAAAAATTCCTAAACCCACTAACTCTTAATATGATCTATTAGAAATAGTATCCTAGCAAATATTTGAGAAAGTGTTCAAATCTTGGTTATTCTTTCTTGCATCATATGCCTGTATAAGGTTGGGATTTACTGATTTTTTTGTCAACACACAGAGAATGATTCAGTGCTATAAACTTGCCATTGCCGTTTACTTTTTATGAAACACACGCATACACACATTTCCTAAGCCGCTTATCCAAATGGGTCACGGGGGGGATCTGAAGTCTATCCCAGTAGTCCAAAGTGGTTCATCCATCCATCCATCATCTAAACCGCTTATCCTTCTGGGTCGCAGTGGGGTGCTGGAGCCTATCCCAGCTGTCATTGGGCGGAAGGCAGGATACACCCTGGACAGGTCGCCAGTCCATCACAGGGCAGACAGACAGACATACACAATCACACACACACTCACACCTAGGGGCAATTTTCGAACCCAGGCCATTCTTGCTGTGAGGTGACAGCGCTACCCACTGCGCCACCGTGCCGCCCCAAAGTGGTTCAGATAAATAAAAATAGATTTGTTTCAATAACTTAAATAAAGTAATTCTTTACTAGTGTCGGTGTGTCAGTGTTCTCTCTACGTCACTCTTATCAACTGGTTAATGAATGGCTGGCTAATCTCACAGTGCATGTGGATAAACCTGTTCTCAGGTATTCAGTCACAGTAAGTAAAAGCAAATCTCAGTTGACTGTAAGAAACCTTCGCTGAGGTTCTGGTGTGAGGAATATGAACTGGCTGATTAGGACTGTTACTCTGCTGTGGTCACTGGCACTGACCACAGGAGATGGTGAGTAGAAACGTCCGTCACTTTACTGAGGTCACTTAAGGTGCCGTCAGAAGAAAATTAGATCTGAGATCTGTCACTGTCTGAGTATTGACCTCAAAGCTCATATGGAGGCCAGTAATACAGATCTTATTTAAACTGAAAGAGGCTTATTTAGTTTATTAGTACTGTAAATTTAGCTGAAATAGTCAAACATTAATAGTATATGATATCACTGTTCTTTCTAATGGTAATACTGAAGGCTACAGCTATAAGACATTCCTGAAAATGCTACATCTGTCATACAGCATCACTCTGGGTTTATTAAATATATATATATATATTGGAAAGGCTTATTTTTTCTCCAGTTTGATTAAATCTGGGTTACAGTCACAGAACTGTCTCTAGACTGGCAAAGAAAATTCCTTCTGAATGTCTGATTTTAGATAATCCCTGGCTAAAATCACACAAATAAACAATGAAAGCATTTGTTTGTTACTTCTGTCTGGATATTTATTAGTTTTGTTTGTTTGTGTTGTTATTCTGCCACTACCTTCAACACTAGGAATAACCAGTATTTCCTGGGCTGTGTTTGCCTGAACTTGTCCTTTGAACCTAAAGACCTTTGAGATTGTCAGACAAGGCTACTTTCACTGGACCCAGACCAGAAAGCAAATGATTAAACAGTAAAGCCCAATAAAGCAGCTTGTATAGTTGAGAAATGAACATGATTCAGTTTTGGTTTTCTTCTAATGGAAAAGCCTCGGAGAGGCGGCTTTGCAAAGCTTGTATTTCTGCATTCCAGCGGTCGTCTTTCTGCACTACATTTCTTTCAGCTAGTTCTTCGAATTGCTACTCAGCTTCTGATCCCAAAGTGCAGTTACACTCTTAAAGAGCTTAAAGTGATTCTTTGGACCTTTCAAGAACCTTTCAAACGATGACATATGTGAGCGTGGAGAACTTTTTTAAAGCAAAAAGCACCTCTGTTGTTTGATGGTTTGCAAAATTCTGCCCCACCACAAACCCACCAGGTCCCACCTCGCTCAGTTACTGTTGCAATATCTGTCAAACTTTCAGCTCAGGCCATCTGGTAGCTTCCATAACTCGTGTGCTACCTATGGAAGCCCATTCCCACTTTCTGGTAACTAAATATTGAATTAATATCTTGAAATAATGACATATTTTCTCAAAATAACTTAATATTTCAAAACAATTGAAATATGGACTGAATATCTCAAAATAATGACTATTTTTGGCAAAATAAATGTCTTACAATGTCTTATTTTCTCAAAATATTGACTTATTATCTTGAAATAAGATCTTCTTGCATAATGTGTTCTTGAAATTTGACATACTATGTCAAAATAATGAGTTATCAAATTTAAAGACAGCCAGTATTTTAGGATACTAAGCTAAAATTGCAAGAAAATAAGAAATTATTTTGAGATTTTAGTCACTCCTGTTGAGAGGAGGCCACTGCCTCACCCATTTTTTATCATTCACAATCAACATTAGTGATTAACGTACCCAGTTTATTATTATCATCATTATTATTATTATTATTATTGTTATTATTGATGTACTAGATGGACGTTAGGCCTAACAAGACAAAAATTATTCAATTCACATGACATTATTGACTGTACACAGTTCTGCTATAGCTGGTAACTGTTATCTGTTTGGTATAGCCTATAAAGGTAAGCAACTTTAAAAAGAAATGTTGGGGTGAAGTAATGCTTATAATATTATTAATTTTTTCTTTCTTTTTAAAATGACTTACTTTTTGGGCAGTTTTTCTTGCATTTTGACAGGTTTTGATTTTTTTTTTTTGGCAAGAAACTGTATGTGTGATCTGGCAACTCCGTTTAAACCCAGAGCAGTAACAAAGCTCACACTGTAACTTTAACAATGAGAAAGATTCTGTTTTCTGTCACTCTGGCACCAGTCACTCCACTTTGCTTGCTTAGATTTGAGTCTTTATCATCTAACTTGCCTGAGTGCAGCATCAGTGAGGAATGAACCTGTGTGGTTCTACATAAAGCTGGTTTAATCTTCTCGCTAAGCTAACCCTGCTAGAAAACACAGCATAGACCAGCATGGATGGTCACCAGCAAAACCAGCATATATTGTGTTTTGGATGCTGGTATGCTGGTCAGTAGCAATGGAAACTGATGTGATGTTCACGACCAAAACTAGCATAATGCTTCCTGGTCTGCGTTGTTTTTTCAACAGGGAACATTAGCCTTCATTTGTTTTATCAAGGATAGTGAATTAAAAGTACTTTATGCAACACAAAAGCATATAAATCAGATTTACCATCTTAGATTTGAGTCTTTGATCTCTAAACTTGCGTCAGGAGCCAAACTGAATCTGCTTGGTTGTGTGTGAAGTTGTTTAGGCCTTTTCACTAAGCTAACGCTAGCTCCTAAAGCTACTGCAGATACTGAAGCAAAAGTAGCTTAAGCTAAAAGCTACAGGTATAAAAAACACTGGATTACCCACTTTGATTGGAGTGTTTATTTCCTAAACTTGTGTCAGGAAACTCCAGTGAGCCAGAATTAACATGTGCTGTGGTGTGATTCTGTAGCATGCTAAGCTACTGCATTAAAAAGAGCCAAAGCCAATGCTTTCAAGAAGAAAATGTGGCCTATTCTCTGTGCTAACAGATCTGACACAAATATCAGTCTATATAATCAAAAGTAAGTCTAAAAACCATTTAAAAATACATTTTTGAGTGCAGGTGGTCTTTAACTTTCAAAAAACTGTACTAACTCCTTTGCTTGATTTGTGTCCCTGCAGACACTGTTACCTGTCTCTTCTCCCAAGAATGTGTGCTTCCCTGCAAGTCTGATTATCGTGAAGTCATCCACTGGCAAAAAGTGGACGGTCAGACGACATTAAATGTACATTCGTTCTACAGTGGTACTGATCAACTGAAATACCAGGATGGAGCCTATAAAGGAAGGACGTTTCTGTTCTCTGATCAGGTCTCTAAGGGAAACATGTCTCTGATCCTGAAAGGGGTCAGGACCCAGGACAGGGGCAGATATAAGTGCTATACCGCCATCAGTTCTGCCAACAAGGAAGCTTTTGTCTTTATAAACGTGGAGGGTGAGAGAAACATCAAGAGAGAAATTGTTATTTAGGAATTTTTTATTTTTCTAATATTGCTGATTGACTGCACTGTTTAAAAATTACAACACTCAAGTACATTTTTGTAGTACCTAATACAGCATAAACCTAGGAAAAGAAGACTGCTGAACGGAAAAGTAAAAGTTACTGTTTCAGTTTGTCACCTTTAGTTGTAAGAATGAACATTAGAACAGCTTTTGTTACAGTGACTCAGCAGCACACCTACATCAAGTAATATTTCAGAATTCAAATAATGATTGAAAGTTACTGTCTGCTCAGTTGAGTTAGATATTGATATGTAAGGAATGGACATGTATCCAGCTTTTGTGGACAAGTACTTTCCTAAATACCTCTTTTCCACCTTTCTTTCAGCCCCAATCAAATCAGTGGATATAAAAATAACAGATGATGGAATTACCTGCAACACAAGTGAAGTTTACCCAAAACCAATCATCTCATGGACAACTGATGGGACCTCACAAGACACGTTCACTGAAGACAGCAGAGGCCTGTTCTCATTGACCAGCACTCTCCCAGCTAAGCCAGTCCAGAATAACCACCTATACACCTGCTCCATTATCCCTGAGGACAGGACTCAAACATACACAGCCAGCCTGAAGCAAGGTGAGCACTACACAACCAGCCACACACATTCACATTAGGCCAAATAACCCATATATATGAAAATATATGAAAATATTGTCACCCATCCGATTTCAAAGAGCTAAAATTCCGATAACTAATATCGGCTGCTGTAGATTTATCAGTGGAGAACCATAACTATGACAGCTATGTCAAAACATCAGGAAAAAAACTACCTTTTCGATAATGCTAACTTCTGCTTGCATCTCTAAGGGATTCTAGCACTTTATTAGCACTAGACTAACCTCGATTCACATTAACATTTTTCGGACGTTCTAGATTAAAGACAGATATTTGAAACATCTAAAACATTATGTTTTAACTGAAGATTGTGACAGACATATTAGCATATTACTGCTGTCGGAACAAAACCTCATATCTGCATTTTTCAGTTTTTCACATAATCTTAAAACACCTGTTGTCCTTTATATAGTGCGTAAATTTAATGATGAATGGATCAAAAGAAACGACCCAAAATTACTTGGAAAAAAGTTTGGTTCCATTGACTTACATTAAAAGTAAAGTATGTTTTTTCCTTCTCCTGTAAAGTTACCATTTTGGAGATGCGAGGTTTTGTTCTGACAGCAACTATATCAAAATGATCCCCTAATCACTATACCCTACAGTCAAAAATCTGCATTGTGAGATTGTTTGAGCACACTGGATCTTCTGTACTATGTTTGCAGACACCACTAAAGATAATGGAACCCCAAAACTACACAGTGAATAGGGCAGTTTTGGATACAGCTAGTGACTCTTTAAAGTAAAGAACACTGGGAGCTGCAACCACTGGTTTTCATTTCTAAGGCCTGTTTCACACATATGACCTCTGCTTGGTGTGAGTGTGACTGCTTACAGCTTGCACATGCTGGCCATTTACACATACAGCAGTAGCGCTGTGGAGAGCTGCAGTGAGAAAGTTGCACTGACATCCTTTTTCCCAAAAGTCGAAGCAGTCACTCTGCTAAATGAAAATATAATTCATAAAAGGGCAAAGTACATTTGTTTACCCTTGACAGCTTTCTGACTTTTGATTGGGCAGTGGTTTCAAACCTGATCTAATCTGTATGCAGCATGGAACTTTTAACTAGTATTCTGTTTAAGAACATTCATGAATTCAATTAAAGAATTTGCATCTTTAAGAAGTTTTTATTCAATTTTCTATTTTATTTTCATTTATTCACGTCTTATTGCACTTCCAACTTCCAGACTGGTCCCACCTACTGGAAATTGACACGTGACTGGTTAATTCCTCTGTCAATTATAAGGGTAGTTCATCTGTAATGTGTTAGGCCCTCTCTTCAACTCTTGAATCTTAAACCAATAGAGCTCACTTAGCTGTATCTACCTAGATGCCACAAACAAAAAAAATCCTGATTGGCCAATTTTCTACTAAATGTTTCATGAATTTAGCCCTTTTGATTCCATCCAAAACATACCAATGAACAGGAATAGTACTCTGATACTGTTTATACACAAGCATGATTGTATTGCATTAAAATGGGCCTAGAAGGCTCTGAGGGTTCCCCTTTATTATAGGTCAAAAATGAAATAGGATCTAATAATTTTAATTGAACAGTGCTTTACCAGCAGATATGATTTTCAGTTACATGTGAACTGAGCTTCCTAGCGTTCTAAGCAGTTTGTTTTTTGTTTCATTTTTGATAATAAGTGTTCACAATAAGGTGTCTGTGTTATTTTTATGGCTTTAAGGTTGTAGTATTTTAGTATTTTATCCATTATGAAGTTTCATGTTCATATTTTACAGCTCAGCCTGTACTGTAATAACCTTAATACTGGCCAATTTCATCTGAATCTTTTATTGTTTCAGAGAAAATTGAAATTGATTTAGGACAGGACATAACAGTCCATTGTCCAGGATCTCAGGGAGAAACTGGAAACTTCACCCTCACCTTGACCTTTGATGGCTCGTCTACTGTTCTGAGCTACAACAGCCAAACGTCACAGCCAGCCGACATTAAGGAGTGGAATGGTATAGAAGTGAAACTGACCAGTGAAGGAAACATCGCACTGCACAAACTGGACAGTGAGAAACATGAAGGAACATATACTTGTGAGAAGACGTCTACCCAATCCAGACAGCTTATACAGACCTCAGTGCAAATCAGAACAGGTAAATGTTAACCCTTTCAGCTTTTTCACTATTAATAATCACAACATTTAGGAATATACATTTTTGTTAAACACCAGGGGGCATTCCAGAAATCTGGTTTAACAAACCTTAAATTTGAACTTGAACACATTTCCGAAGTTTTTGGTTCCAGAAACATTGATTAGAGTTTTGGTGAAGAGTCCTAATTAAAGCGTGCTTATGGAGTGACTGAGCACTACACGGATGCGAGTGACAAAAAAGCAAAAGTGTTTCTAATTTCACACTTTTGGAACTGAAACATTAACATCCAGGCATACTTTGTATAAGCTATATGAAAAAGCACTGTTGGTGTGTCCAAAGAAAAAAAAAGTGAATGTATGCCTATGAGAGTATAAAACTGTAAATTTATGTAAAGCCTAATTGATTCAGCATTTCCTCATCCCATGTTGATCTGAATTGATGTTTAACAGGTCAGATGTTTTGCCTGGATTCTACGCTCTTGGTGCATTGTGGTGATTTCTTTGTTTAAAATAGCCTGTTTAATTCATATTCTGCTACATTAAGCCCTACTGCAGCTGTAGCTGACTTTGTAGGTGACTTTATTTTTCAAAGATTTTTGCCTGATGCTTTGGATAGCCTTAACTTAGAATCCATCTTCATTAAATGAATGATGAGATGAAAATGTCAATTCCCATAAGGTGGAAAGAGACCAGCAGGACATTTGACAACTGCTAAATATTTGACCTCATATTAAAACCTGCTTTACATTGATTAACAGTGTGGTACTAGCATGTGGAGGGGGGCCAGACCACCTCCAGAGACAATGGTATGCAAAGTTTTGGTGCACCTGGTCAAATTACATGCTTTTTCTTTGGTCCTACAGAGAACACACTTCTGCACATTTAATGCACAATTACAGTTTATTTGTTGACCTTAACAAAAAACATTAAAAACATAAAATGTGGCCTGTGCAAAAGCTACAGCACATTTTATATTTGGTTATATACGAGTTTTCTTCCCGATATGTTCAATTCAGCATACAAACAGAAATTAAGGACAGGTTTTGATCAGTAAATTCAAAGAAAGGTTACTGCAAATTGTGCCTCTCCAAAGTATTCTACCATCTCTGTGGTTTGTAAAGTGCAGTGCTCTTCATCTGCATCATTTAGTGGTATGAGAGGTATGTCCCTAGTACCCAACAACAACAACAATGTTGTATACCTTCTCCTGAGGTACTACAGTCTGACTGTTGTCTCCAAGAAGGAGACCATCAAACTGCATTTTAAACACATAGACATATTCTATTCAGTTACAACAGAATTTGAAACATTATCCTTTGACTTCAACACCGGTGACGATGTGTGCATTGTTGTCAAATGGAGCCTTCAACTGGAAAACAATTTTTTGATATTACTAGATTTATATTACTGTGCAGTCCATTATGCAATGGATGGGCCTGTCAGTGCGCTGCATATGAGAAATATAAGATTCACAATATTAAATGGCTCAGTGCCTAAAGCCATCACATCATTTTTCATAGTTCAAATCATAATTATGTGGTAAAATGGTTAATGTTGATCATATGTTTATGTCTGAGAAATACGAAAAAGAAATGTGCAGAATAAGTGTTAGGCAGACGTATTCTGAAAACTCTCTTCTTCTCTTTCCTGATGAAAATCTGCCCTAATAATATGAGTATCAATGGATCCTCAGTGAGATTACCTTTGCAGCGCAATTTGCAACCTTCACCCACTCTAATCGTGGATTCTGGAACTGAAAATCCCAATTCTGAGTTAACATATCTGGGTTAGTTTGCTAAACTCACTTTTTGGAAGACCCCAGAGATCCTGTAATATTTATTAAAAGTGCTCAGAATTTATTATTTTTTTCCTCAGCATCCAAGGTTGGCACCATTATTGCTGCTGTCCTTGTTCCTGTTGCTGTCATTGTTATTGTTGTTGTTGTCACAATATGTCTCATCAGAAAATGTTGTAATGCAAGACAAGAGAAAACAAAGGTGAGTTTGAAACATTCTGTAAAATAAGTTATTTTGCTTGTGGAGTAAGAATGGATGGTGCTATCATTGAGTTTGAGCTTTAACAGAATGTTAAATTAATCTGAGTCTGACTGTTTCTAACCTTTAACACAGGTGAAGTACGGAAAAGCAAGCAAAAACGAAAGCAACAACTAACCAAAAGAGTGCTGCTAGGGAAGGATAAAAATGGACAGACTGATAACTGAATCTTTTCCTATGCACTGTGTGGATCTGAGCTGATGGAACTACTAGTGATCTACTGATCAACCTCTGTCAGCTGTGCTTTAAATGTGAGTACGCCAACCGGACCCAAACCAAGGTACAGTGATTTTAGTGTCATGCAACTGCATTCAGCGAGGTCAGGAGGCCATAAACAGCCAGCCATGTGTTGTGCAGCACATCTACAAACGTCCATTTCTATTTATAATGTGTCATTAATACATGTCTGAACAAAACTGAAGCACCTAATGAGGCTGTTTGTTCAGTGGGATATGAGATACAATACCACCATGTCCTGTCTATTTACTACTGATAAAATGACCTGCTTTGGGCTGAGAACTACTAAGGTTCCACTTATGGATTTTCACTTTCAACTCAGGCTGGCTGGCCTAGTATTTTCTAGGACTTTCCATTACTTTTCTTGGAATGACTTAAAAACAGTCACAAGCCTCATACTGATCTTTGAACTGCAATCACTCTGTTTATGTGACAGGACGGATGGGTAGTATATGGTGCTCAAAAGTAGCCTGGGGACATTCTCTGAATATAATTTATATCTTGTTTATTTATTACTTAAGACAAATGTATTATTTATTCATTCGTATCCAAAAGTTATAACAAGCAGCAACAATAACCAGGTTTACTAACTGACCCTCAAAATGATACCAGGAACATAATGAGAACCTAAATAAGGGAATTAAAGGACTGAAACACTAGCAGGATAAACGTTAGTGTCTCTGTCCTTTATTTAGGTCAGTATTTAAAATGTTATTCAGGTCAGTCATTTGGTTTTCTTTTGGATGACTTTAATCTTCTAGACAGTGAGTAAGTTTGCACAACTGATGCTCAGCCAGGCTTGTTTGATGATGTTGTTTGGATGGCCAGAGCATGCCAGGTTTTGGGCACTTCTAGACTTGAGTACATTGTGATGGTCTGGCAGAAAAGACATGTGGGTATTTTTCAGGTTAGAGTACAAAAGGAGGTGTTTATTGAATCCCAGCGCTCCAAATGACAAATGCAAATTTATCCACATGATGAAGCTAGAGGCTCCAGCTCATCACCATCATGACGTAAATGTACATACCTCTTGATGTGGTCTGTTGAGACTTCTGGGGGAACGGCTGGCTCGGTCATCATCCTCTTTTATACATGTTGTAAGAGCCCACAACCACATGGAGAAAGGGGGTTGATCCTGTCGTCAGCAAACCTGAAAAAGGAAGAAGGACATTGTTACTGCAAACCATGTAAAAGTATACTTACCCGCGGAACGTGTACAGGCCTAATGACATGTCGGTTTTAAACCGGGTGCTGAGTAATCACCTGAATATTGTTATATGTGTGCTGAGCACCTACCCCTTTGTGTTAACTGGTTTGACCAGGGGCGGGTCTTTTCTTCTTTTTGTTTTTGTACTTCACATCAGGGCAGCACGGTGGCGCAGTGGGTAGCACTGTTGCCTCACAGCAAGAAGGGCCTGGGTTCGATTCCCAGGTCATTTCTGTGTGGAGTTTGCCTGTTTTCCCCATGTCTGCGTGGGTTTTCTTCCAGGTACTCCGGTTTCCTCCCACAGTCCAAAGACATGCAGTTAAGCTAATTGGACACGCTAAATTGCCCCTAGGTGTAAATGTATATGTCTGTCTGTCTGCCCTGCGATGGACTGGCGACCTGTCCGGGGTGTATCCTGCCTTCTGCCCAATGACAGCTGGATAGGCTCCAGCACCCCACCGCGACCCAGAAGGATAAGTGGTTTAGATAATGTATGTACTTCACTTCATAAAAATCGCTATATTTGCACTTAACTTTGGAGTTCCAGTCCCTTATTTTGGCAAACCCCAGCTTCCCGGCCAACCACTCGACCAGGCTTGAATCCAAGAATTACCCAACATCACAGTCCAGTGCATAAAAAAGGAAGCTTATTATTTACAAATAGATACAAGTTGACAAAAATAGTCCACTATTCAATCACAAAATCAGCATTTTTTCCCTCTTCTGGATCATCTTAGAATGTTCTGTACTTTTCTTATGCCTCTCTATCAGCATCAAGGTACAAAACCTTGACATTTAGAGGGGCCAGTTTGGGCCAGTTGAGGGTGAATACATCCTCTATAATCATTGGTTTGCTCCCGTTTTTTGTTGGGAGAACGGACAAAATGGTGATTTGTTAACATCTTTGTACGAAGATGTCTTAAAACAAACCTTCTCCTAAAAAGCACAGAACTGTGTCTAGTTTCTTCTCAATAACAAACATAATGACTCCAGAAGTCAACAAAAAAACACATTTAGTCAAGCTCTCTACAAGACTAACTCACTGCCCCCCTCAACATTTTTCATTGTTGATTTAGGAATTTTCAGCAGATCTGCAGTCTTTCTCACAGACATTTTATTACAAAGGAGACAATTTTTGTGAGATTAATTCTCAAAAAGCTCAGTGTTCAAGTTTTCTTAGTTTTCAAACATTCTTTATCTTTCAGAACATTAAAATTTAGAGTCAGGTATGTCAAAGTCAAAAATAAAGCTGAATATGAAACACCATTTTCACAGTACATTAACAAGTTAAATAATGATCACAGACGTGTCCCCAAACTACTTTTGAGCACTGTATTAACCCCAAAATGAGCTAAAGTTACATTCCCCTGTATAACATGTCCAAATCATGCACTTTTTCCATTACTGCTCCCTGCTCCACATGGCAGCCGAACAAGAAATGGAGTTCATTTGGCCCGGAGCAAAACTGAGAGTGAGGAGCAGAACTGAGTTTGCACTAGAATGCATTATAACTACTAATGAAGGATATATGTGTTTATCTCATGAAGGAAATCAACTCTTGTACAATCTCTATTATCACATTCCATCACTGGGCTTGTCACGAACCTCTACATTAAAACTGAAACTATGCAGTTACTGGATACTGACAGCAAAACAAGTCAACAGAGAACAGCTGTACCTTGGACTTTCAAGTCAGCCATGACCAGTAATCCACACTCAACATGCAGGTTCAGAAGACAATCAAACACAGCATTGCACACTACTAAGTCACAGGTAGCTGAGTCACTTTTGTTAATGTGTTTTACAGGATACACACCCAAACACACTGTAATGCTGTCTCTCCACTGTAACAAATACACAGCACTTCCTATTATAACTGAGTGTCAAGAAAATGCTTGTGACTCAACTCAATAACTACCTTAAGATCTAAATTAGATCTGACATCAAGCAAGAAAATAATCCGTAAAAATCCTCAAGTTGGCACTAAATCCAGAAATTCTTTTTTCACTTGTGAGTGGCATAAATCTTTTATACCAGATTCCTGTAGGAAAGAAATAAAGAACAGAAACATAACCTTAAAGATGCATCTCGGATGTCTAAATTAAAAGCTGCTTATATCTAGGATTCAATGAGGTCTTGATTTTAGCCCATCCTTATAGGTTTATATAACTCTAGAGGGTCATTTAGTGTCAAGCTGTATGCATTCTTTGTTTAACATACTGTTCTTATATTATTGTGTTATTTGTTTATATTTTGTATTTGTTTTTCATCAACTGTTTGATATTTTGATTTATGCAATATTTGAAAGTTATTATGTATAAGCAACGTCATTTGGCTGATCATGTACTGCCATTTACAGTCATATGCAAACCTTTAGGTTAAATCACATGTTGGTTGATTTTTTGAAGTGAAATATGTAAACATCCTCTACAGTGATTTTTATTTTTTAATACTGTTTATTACTTTAAAATAAACATTTTTAAATTCAATGAAGAGTGCCATGGATATTCACTTTTTGTCATGTTTTGAACCCCATTTCATACACTGTTAGAAATTAAGGTTCTGTGCAGGTACATTTTTGTTCATCAAGGTACAAACAATGTAAATGTTCCCTTGAAGGTACAACAGTGGTTTTAAGGTCCAGTTGTGAACCTTAAATAAGTCTCTCCCAGTTGAAAAGAACATATTTGTATCTTTTTATAACCCAATGTTTTAAAACAGAACAGTGAAATATTAAGCCTGGAGATGAGGCGGGGTGTGTGGAGTCAGTACAACTTAGAAAATATAATATCAATGGATTATGGTACAATTATGTTCCCTGACTAAAGGTACTGAGATGTACCCTTGAGGGTACCACCCCAGTGACAAGAGGGGTACTACACTAGTGACAGTTTCATACCTTTATTTCTGAGTGTACAGGACCTTCAACCTAAATGTTTCTTCCCCACTTTCTATCTTGTTTAGTTTTACATATTTTCATTATACCCCTTAAATGCTGTTTCATATTGTGAAATGCAATTTATATTTCATATCCACACAGGTTTTACCTTTGCTTGCGTACATTCCAAAATATGCCTAGGTCAGAGGGTGTTTGGGAGTGTGGATTTTTCGGAGTGTATGCATCACAGAGAAAAGCTGGCTGCTGTGTTGGTTTTGAGCTGTCAGAGACGAAGCCTGCAGAGCATGTTCAGCCCCAGCCTAACCAAAGCAACTCTATTCCTAACCCATACTGTTCCCATACCTAACCAGCACTAACCCTAACATGGACAGGGAGGGCAGAGAAATTCACACACAGGAGAGTACAGGGCAATCCGCAACACAACAGCAAAAGAAGAAAACAAAGGAGATCCGTAACACCAAGCGACGTTAAAACAGTGTAATAGGGGTTTCGTTTTTAATTTTGGCACGTATTCTTCATGTCACTATGGAAAAGTAATGTCATGTGTTCAGTGCATTTCACTGTTTTCACTGTTATGCAGTTATGACTGCATTTCAATGAGGAAAATTTGTTTAAAGTAGTAATGTGGAAAACTATAGTCGTGCCTTTATTACATTTTAAGGTAGATTGTATTCAATTCTGACATAAATTCAGCATTTTATTTTTCAAATGCAAATCCGCATGCATTGTTTTTCAGTAAAGAGGTCAAGCGACATTAAAAAAGTGTAACAGAGGTTTTGTTTCTCATTTTGGCATCTATTATACGTCACTACAGAAAAGTTATGTCAGCTGTTCATTGCATTTCTAATATGGCATGAATTCCTCTCCATATAAGTTGTGTGTCATTCGGCAGTCGACGTAATGCCCTTATTAGGAATTCCGGGTCTAAGCAGAGTTCTTCTATGAGAACAATTAATGCCATTTTTGAAAATCGCTTATTTCGTGTCCTGTGGTAAAAAGAAATGTTATAACCCAGATACATTTTGTCCTGTGTACATTTCCCCATGAGCGTCACTCTTAAAAATATCACATACACACATCTTAGACTAAAACAACCAATGTACTTTTTGCATATAGTGCCCCTAAAGCTCCTTTCCAAAAAACGGAGCCAGTGGCAGCCGCCACAGTATTAACAGAACTACTGGGATGTATTTTCTGATACACATTCAGTATAAAGAATCAGTTCAGCTGTTTGGATTCATACAAATCATTAAGTCATTTCTTCAAAATAACCGTACTGACTATTCTGTTACCAGACAAACTCTGCTTTACTTAGAGGCCTCAACATTTTTAAACAATGAATCTGAGCTCAGCAAATTCTTACTGTGTTACCAGGTAATGTCTAATTTCTCCAGATAAACATGCATTTCATGCTTAAATAAACTTACATCTGTTCATATTTTGAACCTTTATATAGATCTGTAAAAACTGATCACAGTGCTTGTTTAAAACGTTTGTATTCTTTTGTTTCACCATGCTGACAACCATCTCTCACAGTAAATAAATGCGTATCAATTATTTTCATTAATAGAAGAACTTTTTCATTCCACCATACATTTATAAATATATGCACAGAATTACAGAAAACAGGGGCATCACTAGAGGTTCATGGATAGGGGGGCTGAGCCTGTATTAGGGGGGTCTGCGGGCATAGTGCCCGAAGATATTTTTTTAATGGCCCCAAAATGTTTATAATTCACTTTTAGGGTAGCCAGAAAATGTTAAGTACATCAGCTGTGTTGAGTATGTCAAAAATGGTTATTCTGATCCGTCTCTTCATCCATCCATCCATCCATCCATCATCTAAACCGCTTATCCTTCTGGGTCGCGGTGGGGTGCTGGAGCCTATCCCAGCTGTCATTGGGCGGAAGGCAGGATACACCCTGGACAGGTCGCCAGTCCATTGCAGGGCAGATGTCTCTTCATAGTTTATGTTAAGCACAGAGGTCATAAAACAAACACTAACGTTATATCCATCCACTTACAGCACGCACAGATCAAGCAAAGGTACTGAAGTCAAGCAGCGCTCTCTCCTCTCTTAGATGAGCTGCAAAGTCCTAAATATAATAACCAAACACACAGATTACAGATCAATTTAGTCTCACTTGGTGCCATCAGAGTGTGATTTTACTCTGTAGGCATGTTTAATAAGCTAGATGACAGAATTTCATGGTCATGGTGACAAATATTATATTTCCTCAGTTAAATTAAATTCAGCATTAATTTTAACTGACAGCTCTCCCTCGCTTTCCTGCTCACTAACCTCCATTAGATCTGCTCCTTCTGTCCTGTTAGTCTCCGTCAGCTTCTTTCTCTCCCTCTCCTCCTGTGTAGCAATATACTAACGTAATTTTATTAAACTCTGCCGCTTCTTAATTTCCATCTGTGTTATGATGTGAATTTTCCGTTCCACCTTAAATCCTGCAGCAGGTTCATTCTGGCGCCTCTCAGCGGGAAAACTCGACCAAGAATCTGGCGAACAGGAAGCAGCTTCAGCCTCGTCCTTTACACTGACAGTAACTTAAAGAAACAATTTATGCCAAATGCTGGTGCCATTCTTTCCGAACAGTGAAGAGAAATCTAAAAACAAAGAATATAAAGAGCTGTAAATGACGTTATTTCTATCCCTCTTGTTCGTTCACACCCTGCACTCACTATGAAGTGAGGTTAGACTAGCTGGCTTGTCAGCTAACGTTAGTTAGTTAGCTAATGTTAGTGTTAGCCTAGCCTCTTTTCTTTACTTCACTTAAACCAAAGTTAACTAAAGTTAGCTGACTAGAGTTAACAAGCGACCAAATAAAAAGACAGATATCCAGCTATACTGACCATAATTTGACATAAATCCATATTGTACGTGGAAATATTCACTATTTCACACTGTTTTACTCCGTATATTAGATTTTGAATGAGCTCTAACGTTTATTTTAACGAGCTTTTTAGCCAAAATCCCGTCCTCAGCTCTGCTAACGGTTACTGTCGTTTATAAACAGAGCCCCTCCCCCAGGTCTGATATGATTGGCTTACAACGCATGAGGTCTGATATGATTGGCTGGACGTTACTAGTCAATCTCTAGTAGTATAGCGTTAGAGCAGCAGCAGCGCCTTCCTCCCGCCCTGTTATTACAGTATATTGTGAATGAGAATGAACTACAGTTGATTTGGACAAGCAATGTACGTTTACTTAGGAAAGTGGGGTCTTAAGCCCCCCCCAAAAATTGGCCTTGCAACGCTCATGTTAGAAAAAATTACATTTGTCTTACGATGAAACGAATGGCATATCAATAACAACCGAAAACGCTTGTGTTCTCGTTTCACCTTGCTGACAATTATCTTTCGTGTCAAATAAAATAAAATGTCTTACAGTACATCTCATTTTTTACCTTTGTTTGGTTGATTTCATGCAATAGTGAAAATACGAATTTGCATTATTAGATTAAGTTAATTAAAAATAACTATGCATACACAGTTATGCAGACACTTTTTAAATATACTTTTCAATGCAATGCAAATGTTTGAAAACCCCTGGTCAATTAATGTGCTTAGCTGATTTTCTAAGTGAAAATAAGTTAACACATCCTTTACAGAAAACACACTCAAATAAACATCTTTTTAAGAGTGTGGTGACAGTAACTTTTGCATTTATCATTCCTTTCATGAAGATTTTTCCTTATTTAATCAAATAACTCCATATATACTATATAACACCATGCACTATGTACACTGAGTTATCCATGTGTAGGCGAATGTCGTAGCATGTTGTGCCTCTTTTGGCCTTCAGAACAGCATTAATTCATGCCGGTGGTGGATTGTACAAGATACTGGATGCATTGTAAAGGAATGTGCTACCATGAGAAATGGTAGCCCAGATAATGCACATTAGAAAGCTGTACGTGCTGTAAATAGCCTTTTCTACATTATCCCAAAGACGCTTGAAAGGGCTGAGATCTGGGGATTGACCACTGAAGAGGTGAAAATCCAGTCATGTTCCCAGAATCATTCCGTGACGATACAATCCTTGTAACATGCTGCATTATCATGATGGAGGTGTTCAGTGGGGATAAACTGTAGCCATGAAGGGATGGACTTCAGACATTCTTTAGTGCACATCAGGAGCCTTAATATGTGCCAGAAAACATTCCCCACACCATCACACTGTCACCACCACTCTGTACTGTTCACTCCAAACAGAATGGTTCCTTTGGGCTCTATGGATGTTGTTCCTTATACCAAATTCTGACCCTTTCATCGGTATGATGCAAAATGGATCTGGATTAAACTTTCAATTTCATTAAATCTATTCCAGTAGAGTATAAAATGAACTGGAGTGTGTCTGCACTCTCACCGTTACACACTATACATTGCATATGTTCTCCTTGTAGCAGCTGCTGTGTGACATGGCGAGTCGGGTTCGCAGTGCCCTTTAGACCATGCAAAGCTAGTCTCTGCAGACCTTCTGCATTCTTGTTTTTTCACTGTGTTTTATTTTTTTAGCCTATTCTTTGATAGACAAAGATCAGTTCTGAGCAATTCTTTAACTCCTCTGCTTGATTTGTGTTCCTGCAGACACTGTTATCGGTCTCTTCTCCCAAGCCTGTGTGCTTCCCTGCCACTATTTATGATGTTGTCCAGTCACAAGAAGTGAACGGTCAGAAGACATCAAATGTACATTCGTTCTAACGTGCTGCCCTACCTCCTTCCCTAACACTAATGCATCCATTTCAGCAAATCAAGGACTTCTGAAAAATTATCTATATAGTATCTTATAATATCTAAAATTATCTACAGCAGCAAGAAATGATTTAAATCTGAATGAGAAGCTGAGCATGTCTGAGTGACAGAATGTACCCTAAAGATATTTAACAAATTTCAATATAGCTTTATGTTGTTTGTTTTAGTTTATATAGGTTAGATTAAAATAAATATTTAAGGGTACTTAAAAAAGGGATTAGTCAAAAGCATTCTCTTAATATATGTCTTTTTGTTTTAGAAACTAAAACTGCAGCTTTTACAAAGGGAGAATTTTTAAAATATTTTGTTTAATTTATACATTAACACAAGATCTACGCTGCACAGAAAATTCAGTGAGCAGAGGACACACGATTTGGTTCACGCTAGTCGACTTCATGTCCTCAATTTTGATTCCCAAACACTGCAGTTTTCTTGTTTACCTTGTGTTAAGTAAAAGTCACCATGTCATTCAAAAGTACTTTATTTATTTAATTTCTGTCATGAGCTGTAGCCCCATCTACTGGCCAAAATATTAAATCACTGCCTTCCAGAGTTATTAGAACTTAGGTTATGTCTAAACTTAGAACCATCATGATTAATCTTCATATTCCACTGGGTCAACTGATGCTAAGCATCATAAGTGTACATCACTCATTCATTTGTGCAAAACAGTCCCTCTACAAGTGATGTTAAACACAATAATTTGTAAACATTCTTATTGTAACAAATTGGATTTAAATACATTTTATTCTCTGTGAGAGAGGCTTATATCTGACATAAATATTTTGTTTCAGAGAAATTTATTTCATTCTTTAAAATGATAGGTGAGGAGAAAGACAGGCATAATGTACAGACTAAAATATGACAACACATACAAAAGGTAATAAATTAATTGGATGTCAATTAAAAAACATCTTAATGAGTCACACTATCACCTATAAACTGTTTCATGGTGTAAAATGTATTTTATATATTTCATATCTACACAGTTTACCTTTGCTTGTGCGTGTTCCAAGTTGGAGAGTGTGTCTGTGTGTATAGCTTGTCAGGAGCACTTTTTGATGTGTGGCTAGTGTTCATGTCTAAGTGAGATGTCTATGTATGTATGTATGCATGCATGCATGCATCACAGAGAAAGGTTGGCAGAGGCGTCGGTTTTGAGCTTGCCACTGCTGAGACTGTGGATCATGGCGATCATCTGCATGTGCTTGCTCAGCTCCTCCTCTTTCTTCTGAAGCTTGCTTTCCAGCTGGGTTTTCTGCAGCTCCAGAGACGAAGCCTGAAGAACATGTCCAAGAAAACATCCAGGATGAGTCCAAAGCCTACGCAACCATCTCCATTCATAACTTCACACTATTTGCATCTTTAATCACCACTTAACAAACTCAAACAAATACTTACTTACCGGCAATCACTCCTAATCCACATTATTCCCTTACCAAACCACCCAAACCCATATAATACCCCTGGACAACACTATAATCAAACATAAAAACAAACAGGGCTAACAATTAATTATATAATCAAGTAACAAACTGACCATCACTCAGTTAGTAGCTAATAAATTATGCCTTCTTTGGTTCCTTTGCCACCACAAGCTCCACAAATGCAACACTCCAGAATTTCTAATTAGTGAGAACTCTCACTAGAGGGCACTAATGAGACAGTGCACAATGAACGAGGACTTCTACTTTTCCAAAAATGAAAGGTAATTCCTACACAAAAGATGTCAATACACAAGAAAAATAAATAATATATATATATATATATATATATATATATATTGCATTATCTTAGTTTAATGTAATTTTAACGTATTATGTTCCTTTTCTTCATAACAAGCATAAAAAACGCTAATATTATGCTAATGTCTCGCTAACCCGCTCAACTTTAAATAGTCCAGCAATACTGATGCCTAAAGTGCCAGAATGTAACTGCTGCTCCATTTAAGGTGGAACAGGAAAATTTCAACAAGAAGCTGGCAAACAGCTGACTTCAGTTACATATCACCAAAGAATAAATAATAAATAACAATATGAATATAATAAATAATCATCGCATTCACCCCTCTTTGAAGGCATATGACGCCCTATATGTAACTAAAGCCCAGCAGTGAGGTTGCTGAACTTTACCCTCCTCTGCTATCACTGCAGACTGGCAGTGTCGCCTACAGAGCAGCGCTAGTAGCTGTTAATGAAGTAATGTTCTTTTTTATTTGAGGGTCCCATTTCGTAGGGGAAGATTTCAACCACTACCCCTTGTAAGTCAGTTCCAAGGGGCAAGGAGACACTCGAAAACAAGGGGTAGGGGTAAAAATAAGAAATAGGATTGGGCCTTAATGTATTGTAGTGTACTGTCACCTATATCTGATGAATACTACGCAGCATTACAGTGTGTTTTTAAGTGAACAACACAAACAATAAAAATTCACGATAAAATTTTTTCATAACTGACACAAGGTGGAGCCATCTCACCTTGATGCTGGCGTCCTTCCTGGCCTGTTCTGTCTTGCTGAGCTCCTTTCTCAAGATATTCATGCTCTCCTCCATCTCGCTGGCCTGCTCCTCCTGCTTCTTCACCTCAGCCTGCAAACCTGTTGTGCAGCACAGTGAGCCATTACTTCCATTTAGCCCACAAACCTCCATATGCCCTCTCACACCCCCACCAAACACCACACACCCCCGCACACGTGTCCACACACAGCAGACTACAGCACCCCCATCATTCCATTGCATACAAGACCCCTACGCTGCCTCACCAGCTATAATACTACGTTTCTCTTGCACGTTTTCCTCTAGGGCTGCGATCTGCTGCTCCTTCTGTATCAACTCTGCAGACAGCCTGCGGAGAAAAGACATGACTGATGGCTTCACACCTTAACCACAACGACAATGCGACCACACAAAAGACATGTACTCTGCTGAGGGTTAAGGTCATAAGAAGGCATCATAAGAAAGTGTAGTACAAGAGATGTGAGCATCAACAAATTACTGTTACATCTTTTCAGAGAACACTTCAGTCTTTTGCAACCCAAACTCTTTCTGCTGCATCTGTAGCATACAGTTGATGACCACTGACGATATTTTTTTTTGCCTCAGCACTTAGATTTAGTTCATTTATCTATTATAAAGTTCACATACATGTTTCTCATTACCGATATTTAGCACTTTTCAAATTCAGCATTTTTTTTTATTAAGAAAAAATTAGCTTGTATTGAAAAACTCAATTCCAAAAAAGTTGGGAAAGTAAGTGAATTGCAAATAAAACCAGAAAGCTGTGATTTGTAAATACATCTGACCTGTATTTAAAAGAAAACAGTACCAAGATATTTAATATTTTATATTTATATAAGTTCATTATTTCTGTAAATATAAACCTCATTCTGAAATTGATAACCTGCAACACGTTCCAAAAATGTTGGGCCAAGGGCAGCTTAAGACTAGGAACACTGTGACACGTTCCAAAAACATCCTAAACAGATGAGGTTGGGTATAAACGGAGCATTCAAGAAAGCCGACTCATTAATGAGCAAGGATGGGCTGAAGCTTGGCACTTAAAAATAAATAAATAAATAATACATTTTTTAATAAATTACAAAAATAATGTAAAAATCATCAGCAAATAATCAAACAGTTTAAGAACAATGGGCCTCATTCTTAATGAGGTTTTTTCTTAAACTTGTTCTTGGGAAAGGTCCCAAGAAAAAGTCTACATCAAATTCAAGATGCAGAATTGTTTGGACCTTTGTGCTCTTGAGTGTGTGTAGCTTCTGTTCTTACCCAAGAACAAATCCTAAATAAGAAAACATTGGTGAATGTCAGAATCATTGTAAAAACTGCATAAGTGAAGAAATGTCTTCTTAAAAGTGTTTTTTGATTGAGGTCCAGTGTTGCTTAACAAGTGACTTCACGGATTTTAGGTATCTCACCCTCTATAATGCATAATATCATCAAAAGATTCAATGAATCTGGAGAAATTTCTGTACGTAAAGTACATAAAGAATCCCTCAGAAGACACTGCAGTGTTTGTTGAGACATCCACAAATGCAAGTTAAGACCGTAATACCTCCAGGCTCAAACTCAACTGAAATGGACTGAGGTACAGTGGAAAGGTGTATTGTGGTCAGAAAAGTCAACCTTTCAGGCTGTCCGTGGAAATAATGGGCATTGTGTTCTCTGGGCAAAAGAAGCAAACGACTATCCAGACTATTACTAGCATAAAGTTCAACAGCAACAGTCTGTCATGGTATGTGGGTGTACAAGGGTAACTTGGGTAACTTTCACCATTAATGCTGAAAGATATATTCACATTTTGGAGGAATATGTATCATAGATGTATCTTTTTCAAGAAAGTCCACGCTTATTTTAACATCACAACGCCAAGCGTCAGCTGAAGACTTGTATAACAGAAGAATGGCGAAAAACTCTGCTTTCAAATTAAAATTTTGCTTTCTGGATCAAATGGTACCCAAACAATAATTAAGTATTGTAAAGAGGAAATGTAATGTAGCAAAGTAGTCAACATGCTCCTGTCTCATTTTTTTTGGAATGTGTTGCAGGCACCAAATCTGTAATGAGCATATAAAAAAAAAAAAAGAAGAAAAACAACAACACCATCAACAACATTCATAAGGTAAAAGATCAAATATTGTGTTTTTGTGCAGCGCTCAGCTGAATACTAGTCAAAAAAGAAATTACTTTTGTGTTTGTACTTTTAACTGTTTGCTTTATTTTAATGGAAGGCATTAAAGGATGTGAACCAAAACAACAAAATGTTATGTGGCACAAGTAAAAAGACAAACCTTAATGGCTGTCAGTGTGTTGCGCTAATGAGATACAATTGCAAAACACTATATTACAGATAAATCTTCCAACCTTACAAGACCTTGGTCATTTAAATTTGAGTATGTTACTAAAAATCAACTTAAAAATCAATTAAATCATTTAGTTTTTAGTTATTTTAAAAGTTTCCTAGCATTTGTCACGTTCGTGAGAATAAGCCATATGCTACAGATGTGGCAAATGGATTGGATGAAAAACACTACGACATTCTATTAACACAGGAGTACAGGAGGGGACAAAATCAATAAAGGCCTCCTGCAGAGGGAGAAGGTGGAAAAGGGCTCATATCCTACATATTTGTACACATATCCTGGATTTTTGTCACATTACATAAACAATTCAATCAAAACATGCTGTTTTTGAAACTTTAACAATGTTTATATACTACATAAAAAGGCAAGGGAATTCTTTTAAGAGCAGACTACAGAAGATGCTAGCATTGACCCCAACTGACCTCTCTTGCTGCATCTTGAGTCCCTCATTGCTCTTCCTCAAGCCCTCTGCCTGTTGGGTTAGAGAGATGTGGGCAGCTTGGAGCTCCTTCAGCATTCCCTCATTCTTATTATACCTGCAGTCAATAATCAGTAATATCAGTAATATGCACACACATGAACATGTGATTCACTAAAATGGTTGGAAATTCTGCCCGCACTCCACACTTGCTAGTAAAGTAAGGGAGTGGCGTGGTGTCCTGCATCCAGGTTAATGATGCCTACATCATTACTACGGCAACCGATCTGATCACCTGCAAATAACAGTGCGGACAGTCATCTCAAAAGATCTGATCTGAGAAACACATCTGATTTGCCTGCAGTCTGAATGTAACCATACTGACCTGCTAAGCAGCTGGTTGTAGCTGCCCTTCAGGTTCTGGTGCTCATCAGACACGGCCTGCAGTCTGCTGTTGTGCTGCAGTAGCTGCTGACTGTCGGTCTTCAGCTTCTCCACCTCCAACACCTGCTCACTCAGCTCGGCCTGCAGCTCCTCCTTTCTCCTCTCAGTCTCTTTCAGCAAAGATGCCAGCTTCCGTGCCTACAGACAGGCAGAGAGAGAGAGACAGAGAGAGAGAGACACAGAGAGAGAGAGAGACACAGAGAGAGAGAGAGACTCAAGTTGACGACTATTAACGGAAACAGTTTTGTGGTCATACTTTCCTGTCTGTGTCAGCATGTGGCCAAAAAAAAAAACAAAAAAACCTTTGACTGTAGCCCATCTGTTGCTGCACAATTTGTCTATAACAGTGCGGAGATAACACCAGCATGGTGAAACCAGCATAACATACAGTTTGTTGTAAACACACAAAAAAAATCTGCAAATGTTAATGAACAGGGTTTTTTTTTTTATTGTAATTGTGGGATATGCAAAAGTGTGGACAACCTTCCAGTTGTAAAGTCTCACAACTTAATTTGTTAGGCCTTACTGACTGGTTAGGTAGGTCAAGCTGATGACAATTCCACAACGTAATAAATTCCAGAAGTAGAGAATGGCTTAAGATCTGAAAATGAAGTTTGTGGATGCCTACAAAGTATGGGAAAGCTATAATAAACATATTAAAGCAATTCCAGCTCTTTCCACTGTCCAAAATGTCATTAAGAAAGGGCAGTTAAGGAGAACTGTGGAAGTCTAGGTAAGATCAAGAAAATTCTTAGATAAAACTGCTTATATGCTGGCCAAAAGGCAAACAAACAAACAAATAAACACGACAGCAAAAGAACTTCAAGAAAGCTTAGTCAACAAAGGAGTGGTGGTGCGCTGTTCTACTGTGCTCATCAGACGGAAACCGTATCTGCGACTACATATATAAACACACTCACATACACATCAATATATAACACTGTGACAGAAAGGAAATATATATAGGTGGTAAGTGGAGCTGATAAAATGGGAAATAAGTGTAGAAACAAGGTTTTAATGTTATGGCTGATCAGTCTATTTATTTGCTGAGTTTAACATATTGGGGAAAAAACCTAAAATCTAAATTGTCCCATAACATTTACACAGGCCACATTTACTATGTTTTTTTTCCAATATGTTAAACTCAGCAAATAAACAGTGCATAAGTATGTTCTCTGTAGAGAATGTATCCATATTTTCAATGAGAAAATCTGCACAACATGTAATCTGACCAAACATTTCCATATGACAGTATACATTACAGGACGTAATGTATCTGTATGTACAACTCTGTGTATGTGTCTGACCTCAGCCTCTGCTTGTGCTCTCTGACAGCGGTACTGAGCGATGAGCCGGTCGGCCTGAGACAGAGCCAGAGCTTTGGCCTCCAACAGGTCCTGCAGACGTCCCTCTTTAGACTGTGCATAAATAACCCACGTATGAGTCACCTGCTACCGCAGAGCCTTAATCAAATATCAGGAAATGTCATACAACACATTCTATAAGGTAACATACCGCCAGGGCAGAGATTTTCTGTTCATAGATGTCAATGATTTCTGACATGTGCACATCTTTCATTGGCTCCTGTAACTGAAAGACAAGTAAGAGACAGCACCAAATGCGCCTCACGCCAACAACCCCAAAACACACACATGGATCCACCCAAAAACACACAGGCACACACACACCTGCATGCTTGTCTGAAGCTTCTCAATGAGGCTGTCGATGTTCTGGCGAGAGGGGCTGCTAGGTCCAGTGGTGGACAGAGGAAAACTCTTGCTGTATGTGACACCATCCTCCTGAATAGCGCTGCCTCTAACCGCCAGCTCAGGCTCCTTCTGCCTGTATGCATTACTGGCAGCGATGCTTTCTCCAAGACTAAAAAGAACAAGTACATACTTGTACATTAGGATCATCAGCACATTTAAACAAGTCAAAAAATCAATATATACGACATTTATTTTAATCCTTTTACTGTTGGAACACCTGATTTTTACTAGGGCCATAACAATTCACACAATTCAAAATTTAATATGATACAGTGCCGTCTCAATTAGATAATACAGAAAAATATTGCAAAGGTTTGGGTGCCGCTAGTCAAATTAGGTTTTATTTATTTTCTAAGTGAAAATACGTTCTTGCATCCTCTACAGAGAACACACTTCTACAGATTTGAAAGCAGAATCACTGCTTATTTGATAAATTTAACATATTGAAAAAATGTTATTGCACACTTTCTATTCTGTTTTATTTTTTTCCAATATGTTAAACTCAGCAAAAAATAGATATTTGTGGATTGAACATTGCAACAAAAATAGTTATTAGTTAAGAATCATTAACTTATTTTCACTTAGAAATTGTTTAGCTCAAACTTAAGTTTACTTAACACTTAAAAGATCAACAAAACATTGTGACCCATTCTTCAACCTATAGCATACGACTGATGCTAATGTTTCCATTTTCAGTTTATTAGAGCATTAAACATTATAAAAAGTACAATACTTGAAACAAAAGTTGTGCTTTTTTTCGCATCCCGATCTAATGCTCTTGCCACAAGCTAATTTGTTAGCCCCAAACCAGGGGTTTCCAAACTTTTTTCAAAGAGAGCCAGATTGTACTGTGTTAAAACACCTGAGGGCTGAAATATTATTCACAAATTAGAACTACACAAGTTTTCAATATAATAATATTCAATGTAAGCTTTCAAAATATCAGCCCATAGAATCTGAGCTTTCTGTGAGCTACCGTGTTTCCTATCACTGTATAAAAGAGGCTTCTTTCATTGATGGATTGTTCATTCAGAGCAGTTTGGATCGTTAAGTGCTTATAATAAATAATTAAATTGTTTAAGAGTATCAATACAACATGTCTAATGTATTAATCATATTCCTATTCAAGTGTTTACTTGTTGAAAAATTTGAGAGACAAACTATACAAAAATCTATAAGTATTTTGGTTTTGTTGGATAATGTTCTTTACATATCAAATAAACGCAGTGTAGCCACGTTTTTGTTCAACCTTATAGGGTTAATATTTACTGAACTTGTGTTGTAGACATCATGAACCCCTTTGATTCCCCTTTAAAGAGCCCCACTATGAGTTCTTTCCTTTTGTCAAACCGCAAGAGAAAATGAAAATGAGGTGACGTATTACAGAAGCTCAAACAGGAGTTATGATATTCGTGCTGGAGATCTGCATATAAAGTCAAAAGACTCACACTGTTGATTTTTTTCCAAACTGAGCTCAGAGGTGTAAAGATACAGAAAAGATAGAGGTACCAGTATGGTGCTTTAGCACATCTCCATGCTACTAACCTCCCTCACACCTCAGTTAGAAGGAAACTGAAACATCTAACCTCTTTTTGACACCAGGTGTGACTATGACAGAACACGATTTTTTTTAAATTTTTTTTACTCACATGACAGCAGGGAAATCAGGCAGTGGTGCTGCCTCAAAGAGGATGCGCAGGGCAGTCTGCACCCGTTCTCTGAGGTTAGACGTAAGGGCAAGAGAGAGGGGCATCACCATTCGCTGGTCCTGCACAATCAAACAATCAACCTTTTGTTTCATCCAGAAGTACATTGAGGGTGACCCTCATTTATAATGTAGTCAAACAAGCTAAACAGGGATTAAAAAAAGTTAAAATGAACTTTATCAATTAAAAAAATTAAAATCAGCAAGGCAAGAAGACTGAGAAAGAAATACACATAACAGCTCAAATAAGAAATATGCATAAAATAGCAACAGAAAGTAAAAGAATGTAAGATTATTAAAATTTAAGAATAATAATATTAAGTGTTAAAAATAAATTAAAACTAAAATTATTTGATAAAATAGTAAAATAAAATAGAACAGCAAAAGAATTAACATCTACACATCAGAATCAAGTAACAGTTGTAACAAGTGGTGAAATAAAAAAAGAAAGGCACTAAAATCAAATAAAACAGCTGCAGGCTGAGTGGACATGGTTAGAGATTAAAAGTTTAAAATGGTTAAGTGCCATCAGCGAGCAGAACTTCAGGGTTTCCTGTAGTCTATTTCAGTTCAATGGTGGACTGTAGCTAAATGCAGATTTACCTAGTTCACTAAAACTCTCAGAACCTGATAGGTGATCCAGTCACTAGAGCGGATCTGATAAACACCATTATTTCCAGTGAGCACAGATTTGATATAAGATGGCACAAAAGCACTGGATGTCACTGGATGCACCCGTCCTAAAAAACACACTTAAACCCCCAGAGGAACTTTATGTTTTACCTGCAGGATCCTGTAAAAGCACGTCTCCATGTCGGACACGTGCTGCTTCAGCTGGCTCATCAGCTCCAGAGTCTTCAGTACAGTCTCGGAGCACATCTGGCTACAGGAGCAAAAGCGGACACAAAAATCATAAGAAGACGACATATTTTCTTCAAAATCTACAGCACTTTGCAAAAATTAGAGGCCACCCTTTCATTTCCTTAATTTTCAGTCTAAACGGCTCTTAAGTTATTCATTTTACAGTGGAGAGAGCGAAAAAAAAAAGACTATCTATATGTTTAACAGAAAATTGCAGAAGTCTCAACAACTAAATATAAATTTTTCAGTTTTAGTATGTCCACCCTTTGCCGTTCATCTATTTCACAAGATCTGCTTTCAGTTTTATCTGCAGAGACACCCTCAAGTTCAGTCTTAGAAGTTGGTTGCATTTTCTGCTTACCATTTAGACTCCACAAGCCATAAAACCTCACTCCACATCCAGTTTCTTTGTTCTAGTGCAAATTTTCTTCCTTCCTGTCTGTTCCCCCTTCTTTATGCAAGAGGATTATCTTATATTGAATCTGTAAAATTAGCACATTTGCAAGTTTGGGCAGTTACTTATGTGAAAGTTACTGGCTCCTTGAATTGGAACACAATGTCAGTGACTCCTTTGGTAACAGCTTTTGCTGGAAGGATACACTGTAACTGTAACTCATCTAGTTTAAGATTAAACGGATAGAAGAGTTAAAGTGGCAGTGGGTTCACAAAAGTAAAGACTGGAGAAATTACATACTGATAGATCACATATTATTTTAAGTGTTGGGAGCTTGATGTAATTTTCTGTTAAACAACTATTTTCTTTTTTCCTGACCCCAAAAAATGAATAACTTGTACTTAATGGCCATTTTGACTGGAAACTAAATAAACAGAAGGGTGGTCTCTCACTTTGTGTAGCTATCGGCACAACATTTATCATGTGTCACTGAGCTGATGTTTTAGTTTAAAGTAAATTGCACTAGCCAGCTACTATGCAGAAAAAAGAACCCTTAGGTTGTGAGGGTGTTTGACATGCAACCTAAAAATACACAGATGAGCCAAAACATTGACACAGATGAAGTAAATAATGTTGATTTTCTCATGAAAACAGCATGTGTCAAGATCTGGGACATGTTAGACACCAAGCAAACAGCTGGTTCTTGTATGCAACATGTTGGATGTGGGAGAAATGAGCAGACATGAAGACCTGAGTGACTAGGCCAAATAATTACGGTCAGAGGATAGGGTCATAGCATTTCCAGAACAGCAAGGCTTGTGGGGTGCTCCCAGTTAGTAGTGGTGAGTACCTACCAACAGTGGTCCAAGGAGGTACAAACCATGAACCAGCAACAAGATGCTGGGTGCCCAAGTCTCTTGTGCGAAGGCAACAAAGGCAATCCTGACAGAAGGGCTGACATGGCACAAGCCAGAAATGTTTAATAATGGCCACAGGAGGAAATCTGTGTCAATACACAGACCACCGCATCCTGCTGCATACCCACAGACCGGTCAGAGTACCCATACCATCCCCTGCCCACTGTCAAGGTCGCCTGGTCCGATGAGTCCAGGTTTTTGTGTTTTGTTGTTTTTTTTTCCCCATCACATCATGTGCATGGCCAGGTACGAGTGAGCTGTTTACCTGGGAAAGTGATGGCACCAGGATGCATTGTAGGAAGGGGACAAGCGTGTCATGGAAGTGTGATGCTCTGGGCAACATTCTGCTGGGAAACCCTGGGTCCAGGCACTCATATGGACGTCAATGTGACACATGCCATCAACCTAAACATCTCTCATACACCCCTTCATGTCAATCACATTCCCCGATGACAGTGTCCTCTTTCAGCAGGATAAAACACACTGCCACACCGCACACATTGTTCGGAATGGTTCGAGGAACATGACGAAGAGTTCAAGGTGTTGCACTGGCCTCCAAATTCCCCAGATCTCAATCTGATGGAGTATCTATGGGAAGTACTGGAACAACAAGTCCAATCCGCTGTGGCTCCACCTTGCAACTCACAGGTCTTAAAGGATCTGGAGCTAACGCCTTGGTGCCAGACACCACAGGGCACCTTCAGAGCTCTTGTAGAGTCCGTGCCCAAGTGGGTCGCAGCTGTTTTGGCAGCATGCGGAGAGCAAACAGCATATTAGGTGGTCATAATATTTTGGCTCATATGTGCATGTTGACTGAGTAAATGAATTGTATTGTCTTTAAATAACTGATTTACATAAAACTGAAAAGAATGAATGAAAGTAAAACTGATGAATTAAGGAAAACGAAATGTGTAACAGGTTTAGACAGATTACATGACCTTTGAAATGTCCTTTGTAAATAATCAAACCTCTCACTGGTTGATCCTTTACCTAGAATCAAACCCATGGCCTCTTGAGGCAAAGCCAAGTTCGCCAGCTCCTAAGCTACCACCACCCCGTCCCTCAATCCATCCAACAATCTGCCTCAGATAGCTAGTTGATGTCCTACGCACCTGAGCTGCGAGTCAGAGCCAGAGCCATTAGAGCTGATGTAGTCCTGTGTATTAGAGAGCAGCAGCTCCACTTGCAACATGCACAGCTTTGAGCTTATGTGCTGTGAAACCAGGGTCTTCAGGAAGTCTTCTCCACACAGCAGTGGACATGTTAAGGGCTTAAATTCATCATTTTTCTTGCCTCTTAGAGTTTTTCGCAAATAAAGCAATAATCAAATTCACTTTCCCCCCTTACTTTAAATGCAGCTCATCAGCCAAGACATGTACAGTATTTAAAGTTTCTTTCTTTAGTTTTGCAATGGTGTTACAAACTATTGTTGGCTGACAGGAAGCACACGCCTCAAACCATGTCAAGTCGTTAAGAGAACTTAAATAGGAGTTACTTATGTGGTTTGACACCGTACGACATACCATTATCTATAAAAATAAACAAACATATGTTACATAGCTAGAAATAATAACTCTAGCCATCTTTAAGCTTGAATTTTGTCCAGATTTTGATATGAAAATAGCCCAACATAATACGTTACATGTTTGATCAAGTAGTTACAACAGGGAAACTGTAAAATAATGATGGCTAATATGAGTATGGATATCCAGCAGAAGATCGACAGCATGTCCTGCTCTTATACAGTGCCTCTTCAGCAGCTGCTCTCCTTCGCTGGGGTCTGGAGTCTGCAGCAAACCCCCGCAGTGCAGGCAGCAGGAGCTCCACAAATGACTGAGCTGAATCAGACAACGAGGAGTCAACTGCTTCCTGAGGGTGAAAAGGCACAATATCTGTCAGTCAAAAATTACTCAGACACTGATATTCTCAGTGTTTGAAGACTGAAAATAGAATGAAAAAAAAAAGTAAAAGAATATAAGATTATAAGAATATAAAAAGGTAAGTGATAGAAATGTAGAAATAGTAAAACAAAATACAATAGCAACAAAATTAACATAAAATGACAGTTGTAATAAATAGTGTAATAAAAAAGAAAGGAACTAAAATCATATAAAAAAAAATCATAAAAATCAAATAAAATTAGGTGTGGCATGCAAACCTGCAGCCATAGATTCACAACCTTGCCTAAATAATTAAAACTACCTTTGTTGTATATTTCTTATTAAGGCTGTACGATATGTACATAAACTGCAATGTTCAATAAAGTTGATGGATAATTAATAAATTACTATTAACATAGTGTGCCTCTGACTGGATGTGCTGCAAGTACAGACTTTTTTGCCCAACTCTAGACAGAGATCTAACTAACTGTATGGAAGGTGTCTCTGACAAAATGGCCAGTGAGGGTAGATACAATATAGACATATCTAATAACTGGCAACCAGCAAAACTGTAATAAAGGCTTTAGATCTATGCTGAGCAGTTAAGCCTGTATTACAGTTGTCTGACAATTTTCTCACCTCAAACAGCTCGGTTAGCAGCAAGAGTGCCTGCAAGGAGCATTGCTCTGGTCCTTGCAGAGGCCCTGTGGCCCACTGAAGCAGGTCCAGGCACGGCTCTGACCCTCTGGTTTGGGCACCGCTCCTGACCCCAGGCTGCAGGCGCAGAGCCACAGGCCGAAGCACCATCTCACAGATGAGTCTGCGCAGAGCTGGCACTGAGCACAGAGACACAAGCAGCTCCAGCACCTGAACGCAGAAAAGACATGAATGTTTATTACTACTGTTACCATTACAGCATATTTTGTAAGCCCTTCAAAGTGAATTAATGATACTGATCCAATTCGATAGAGAGCAAGAAAGACAAACACATATTCAAAACAAAAATCTGCAGCAACAATGTAAGTCGTGTGTAAGTTTAAACTGATTTATGCTTTTTGTTTAGTTTATGAGGTGTTTTTTTTATTTCCAATCAAAAAGACCATTTTTTAGCAGAAAAAACAGAAGATCTATTATTTAACAGAACATTACACAGAAGCCTCAACAACAATTTTTTTTAGCATTTAGTGTGTCTATGCTTTGCTTTCGTTATAGCTTCCATTCTTTTTGGCAGGTTTGCTCTCAGTTTTTCAAATCTGCAGGAATATTTTTCCACACCTCTTAGAAGGTGACCACATCTTCTGCCTCTCACCATCAATGTAATCCCAATTTAGACTTACAAGTCCATAAAATCTTACTCCTAATGTCATTTTTTTGTTTTTGTCTGTTTACTTTTTTAAATTTTTTCCCTATTGACAGCTGCACATCCTTTCAGACCCATAGTGCTGAGTTGTCTTCTCACAGTGGAAAGATGGATAGAAACACCTGCAGATTTTTTCCAAATATGAAGCAAGAGTTTGATTTTCTCCTCTCTCTTAAAGATAAAACCTTTATAGGGCCCATATCCTGCATTTTTCTTGCACATTAATTTTAGTTTTTTTTACTTACATAATTAAATAAACAAAAGCATAATCTCTTTTGACTTTTGCACAGTAATGTACAATACAGTGAAATCCATGTCATGGGAAAATGCACCAGTATTCACTTTTGCTTTCCATCCCTAGTTTCAACAAAAACAAGAAGATTTGTCACCTTGACTGCAGTATCCGGGTCTTTCCCATGGAGGAGGCTGACCACCTCATTCAGGCAGACAGAAAGGTGTTTATAGCTAAAGTCAGACAGAAAGGACACCCATTAAATCTCACAACAATTCAGATACAGCACATATTCCTATAACAGACCAAGCTGAAAGGCCTACTTGGTGAGGTAATCTGCAATCTTGGGATTTTTTAGAAGGTCCACCAGTAAATCAACAGCATAATTCCTTGTGAGGGTGCCGTCGCCATTGACGGTGATGTTGAAGATGAGCTGGAAGGTTTGGTGGATGTTCTTTGCATTGAACAGCTGCAATTGCAAAACCACAAAAAGCACAAACTGTTCAAGTAAACGTGTACAGCGACAGTCTAAAACCACAAAACAAACACATACAGCAGGATCACATAGAAGATGAACATACCTTCTGACCCACTTCCTCATTGAGGGTTAGACTGGACAAAATAGACAGTGCGAAGACAACCACTGTTAGGCAATTATGGCCAAGGAAATTAATTAAGGCCCTGTAGAAAGCTTTAACGTTACTCTGCAAAAAAGAAAAAGTCAAATTGTCAATCAGCAAGTTCACAAGTAGATAAGTAAGAAGGTCGTAAGTTGATAATCAGCAAAACAGAGCAATATTAAAAGCTTTATGTATTTATAAGAACCACTGCTTATATCTGCTCAGGTGGTTCCTACCTGAGACTTGATCTGAGCCTGCATGGACAGGTTGTGTCGACACAGATTGGCCATCAGGCCCAAGCAGGGCTTTGTGATGTCATCATTATTAGATTGGCTGGGATCAGAAAAACAGATGCGTCAGCTTTCTGTATTATTTCCAACTACATTTTAATGCATTTGTATGTTTAATATATTAACTCGTGCGTTTGTATGCTTATGATGATCATGATTTTCAAATATGCTTTTCAAAAGCTCTGTGTGGTTCTCACGCTAAACTTTGAGAACATTTTCATGACCAATGCAGCTGTGGTTTTGCTAAAAACACCACAAGAACAGGAAAGGCTGAACAAACAAGCTCAAGAACTACAGAATAAGTACGACCTCTACTATTGTGCTGATCATTCTCTCTGCTATGTACCTTGCAGTTATGTAAATGTGAAAAAATATGCACAACACCTCGTAACACAGCTTACATATTAAGCATGAGGAAACTGAGGAGTTCATCGACATGCGAGGCACAGTGCAGTATTCTCATGTTGTAAGTAAGTCGCTGCAAGACCTGAAGACACTGGAGAAAAAGAAGCGCTTGTCAGATTCGGAGCCCCCAATTTCTCATGACCAGTAAAAATGGAAGAACTTCTACGCAAATAAAACAAGCACAAATAAAACAAGCACAAATAAAAGAATAATGAAATTAAAAAGAATTTGTTGAGAAAGTAATTAAAAAAAAGAATGATACAATTATAAAATCAAAAAGTTCCTGTGAGCATAGATTGTTACTTCATCCCCCTTCCCCTTTTTTTTGTTTTTTTTAATTTTAAACACTTTTTTTAACCACTAATATTATGGTAAACAGAATTGTTTGCACACTTCTTAAATAAAAGGACAATGTAGTATGATCATGTACCACATATGCGTAATAAATTCTAAAAATGTACTATTTACTCCCCAGTCTTTACAGTCCAGTTACATAAACTAAGCTGCAAAAACAGCCCATTTTGAGTTTATTTTCGTGATGGTACAAAAACCAACACATTTACATATAACTGCCTATTCAGTCTATAGCAGTTTTACTCTGCCTTTTACATTCAAATCATACAGTTAAAGTACATAAACCTACATAATCATCATAAACAGACCCAGGGAAATTAACACATTGCAAGAGAATAGCAGAATATGGGCCCTATATGGTTTGCATGGGTATTGCTAGTCAGATGCTGTCTTTACCTGTAACACAACAGGCTCCTCTGGGGTGGCTCTGTTCCAGTGGACGATAGCAGCCAGTGTACCTACAATGTTATAACTGCTATGAAGGGCCTCTTTGCTCTCCTCATCAGACGCTGGCAAAGGAAAAAAGATGCCTTTAGCAAATAAGATTTGTTTTATCTGCTTCACTACATGCTAAGAGTGTAACAACATATGTTTTCAGGTTTAAGACAATTTCTAATTCTAAAGTGTCTCATATAAAGCATCATACACAGCCTCCAAAACTGAAATACCACCATGTCACAAAAGCGCAACTGAAATAAGTCTCACAATAAGCCTCAGCTTTAAATAAGTTACTTTACTTTTTTGATATTTTGATATTTTCTATCAAAGACAACAAACAAGAGACCCTCAATACACTGTCTCATTCAGACTGAGGATAGATTACATGAAAACCCACAGTGTTCATTTGACAGAAGGACATCATAACAGCTTAAAAGACCCCTTAACTCAAGACCCCCATGACCATTAAGTACCAAGCTGCGCCAACAGAGAAAGGATGGCCCCAGTGAGGGCATGACTTGTGTTTGGATCTCCGGCTACTTCCAGTAGACCACTCAAACACTCGCTGGGAAGGACCTGCCCTGAAGTTAAGAGTCTGGAGCACTTCAGGCTTGACACGTCCTACAGAAAGAAAACAGCCGCCAGGAGATCATTATACAGCAACATAGGTCAGTAAAACAGAACTGTTTCCCAAAAGCATCTTGGTGGTCTCGACAGACAACGGGCTGAGTTTTATAGCTGCCTTACACAGAAACGCCAACTCACTTCAATCTGTTTTTGCAGCTGTGATGAATTCAAGGAGCTTTTGTTGTTTTTGTACTGCCGAATGGCCAAAAGCAGAGACTTCAGACACGTTGTCACATCCATCTTGGCAAACAAAACAGCTGCTCTATTAAATGAAACATATAAACTCATAAACACGAGATAGTTAACCTAATATTATATAATTCATCAGTAAACAAAGCTGACACCTCGACTCGACTCACGGAGCTAGCATTAGCCAGCTAGCTTAGCTCCTTGTTCACTTACTTTTAGTGTCTCGTTTAACGTTACTTTACTCTCGAGCAGTGAACTGAGTTACACTGAATTTAGCCAAGTTCGTCTTACTTCTAACATAATATAGAGGCAGTAACAAAAACACGCGCTTTTATTTTCTTTTCTTTTGGTCCCGTTCGTTTCTGTTTCAACTCCGGCTGACAAACGACGTCCTCCCGCTTTCCGTTTCAAAATACAGGAACAGTGCATGACTCACGGAGGGGGGAGCTGAGTCAACTAAACGTACAATAAGAAAAGGAATGCTTAATATTTCTCTGTATATGACATTATTATTTAACAAACTGAAATCATAGCATGTATAGTATATGTATTGGCTATTGTATCTCCTTTGATTTAGGGTGTTTTATGAACGACCCCAGAAATATACTCCCCCCTCTCAAAATGCCCTCTACGTTGGAACAACGACGTAATGGCGTATGTCGTGTTGGCCACGCCCCTCCCTAACACGCTGTATGGATGTTTTGCTGAGGTTTCTGTCTCCGGTGCTTTAAACAGACGCGAAAATGACCGGGTTTATAGTTACACAGCAAAAACGAGTTAAATAGACTACCGCAGTGTCTGTTGCTGAAATGTAGGCTGTTTATTCGAGAATCTATTGAGGTAAGCGTAAAAAAGACCCTTTAAGAGGACTCAAATAAAAATACTGTTGCCGTAAAGGGGAACGCCACCGATTTTTCAAAAATTCTACCTAATTAAATGGTCGAGATGGTCGAGTGGTTTGATGTGAAATGCTCCGTTCTAAAGACACTTGCACACTTACCGAGTCAGAAGTTTTCACAGTGGTGGTGATAGGAAGCAGACGCCCACCTCTAAAAGCTCCCTCACAGTATGTTATTTACTTATATATATATATATATATATATATATATATATATATATATATATATATATATAACATTCTGTGAGGGAGCTTTTAGAGGTGGGTGTCTGCTTCCTATCATATATATATATATATATATATATAAAACATTCCGTGTATGTATTAACATGTACAAATGTGTATATATATATATATATATATATATATATATATATATATATATACACATAAATGGACTAAAATACATTTTAAGCCAAGAGTTTATCACAAAACAACCAGCAAACAATGTGTCAGACGTCAGGCATGATGGACGGTAGTTTTGTGATAAAATTTTGGCTTAAAATGTATTTTAGTCCATTTACTGTAATTCACACATGGTGGAGGGATACAGGTTATTGTAAGGCAAAACAGTCCTCAAAGAAACCTTTTTTTTTCAGATTTATTACTATTTTACTAACATCAGCATTACATATAAAACCTCAGAAGTCATGGTGGTTTTGGATAGTAAATAAAATGGCTATAATGTTTACAAACCCTAATTTATCATATTAAATTCATCTCTTTGTTCACATGGAGCTACAGGTTTTCACAAGTTTAGTTGTGAAAAAAACATGACTATTACATGTAAAATTACAAAAAAAGGTTTAAATGTTCATCCAGGATATAACTACATGAAATGTCATCACTTTAGACTAATTTGATTAATTCTGTGGCGTTTTTTCTTACGATGCTAAATTAGGTTGTTAGACATGCAAGGGTGAAGCCTTTCTGAGAGATATGGGGTCAGTGTACCCTGAACACTTGCACTGAGAGCACTGAGAGAAAACCGCATGGACTTTATGCTGTGGTGAGATTGTATTGCATCACTGCTCTGGGTGAAGAGCCATCAAACAGCTCACACTGCACGCAGCTGCTCTGAAACATTCTAGTAAATGATGCCATTATTGTTTAAATATGAATAAAAGTAGTGTATGATGATCAGAATATGAAGATCAGAATATAAACAGTTGGAAAATTTGATTTGTTAAAACATCTAAACATTATCTGTTTTGAATATGCTCCAGGACTCAAACCCAAACAATGCAAAATGTTTAATGTGTAATTGCCTTTTTTTTCTTTGCACCAGTAAATGACAATATACTTTACATAGTTAACAGACAGCTTTGTGTTTGTACACATCAGAAGAGTCATTTGAGGCTTTGTGTTGTGACAAATAGAAACAAAAACACAGGAATAGAGGAAGCTGTGGTTCAAAAAAACAGTAAAAAAAAAAAAAGTTTTTTGCTTCACTTCTATCACAACCTTCATGTTAAGCTTCCACTCACTGAGCTGTAAGAGATCACAGGAGTTTGCAGTAAACCTGTCTCAGCCAAGCAAAGTGTTCTGGATGGGCTGTAATGCTTAAACAGATCAGTAAGATATGCATTTGGAGCTTTAAATGTTGTAAGCAAGACCTTATAGTCAATGCAGAACTGCAGTGAGTCAAAGTTGGACAGCGGTGTGACTGGCAACAGCACAGGCAGGCATTTGCTATAAATTGGACCACTTATATTGACTCCCAGGCTTCCATTAGCCAGCAAATGGCAGTATTTTACCTTGACTTTGATATTCCAGACTGAAGAGATGCACTATATACAGCTTTTCACAACTAATCAGCAAAGACCAAAACTGCAGTTCTGATTAATTTAGCATTAATGTGCTTTAGGCATGCACACAGTTACAGTACTGACAGCTAATAGATCCTTCCAAGAATAAAGGAACCAACATGTCACAAGACGAAACTCCTTACTCAGCATTAATAATAAAAAAATGGGTGTATTTTAAAACAAACATACAAAGATTGTCATTCCTCTGATTCAATTGATCATCAAAAGATCTTCAACCAAAGTTAGAACCAACAAAATGAACAATTACACTGATAAACTGACAATAATCATCTTTTACCCTACAATTAGGGCCCCTGAGAATTTCCATTACATTTATACATATAGGCAAGTTTAATAGACATACAGTACTGTGCAAAAGTCAAAGACCACCCTTCATTTATTTAATGTCCTGTAAAAAACAGCCTTAAAGCATGTTTCATGTTTTTCAGGAGATATTTACAAAGAGATTATAATAAGATATAAGATAATTCGCTTGCGTAAGGAAGGAGAACGTGGGAAGTTTTTTTTTAAAAAAGAGTTAAAAATGAGATTAAAAGCCTCAGTGAAAGTGGGGCTGTCCCCATCAGATAAAGAGCATTAGAGCTTTCATCTTTGAGAGAGAGGAGAAAATCAAGCTGCTTCAGATCTGAAAACATCCACAGGAGTTTTTGTTCATCCTTCCACTGTGAGAAGACGACTCAGTGCTATGGGAATGTGTAGAAAGGATGAAATAGACAAAAAAAAAGCAAAAAAGCAGTTCAGAACTGTGGACAATGAACTGACCACCCCAGAGCCCTGACTTCAACGTCACTGAATGTGTTGAGAAGCAAAAAGTGCAACCAACTTCTAAGACTGAACTGAAAGCAAGTCTCCTGAAAAGAATGGAAGCTGTACTAAAGGCAACGTGTTGACAAACTAAACACTGACAATGTGATATAATATTTAGTTCTTAATGCTTCTCTGTAATTTTCTGTTATGTTTTCTGCTTTTTACTGATGCTGAAAAATGAATAATTTGTATTTACTGGCTGTTTTGACTGGAAATCAAATAAACAAAGGGTGGTCTCTGAATTTTGCACAGTCCCGTAAATGAGAACTTTCTTCACCGCTTTTTTCAAGACCATTTTAAGGTAGTAGGGCTGCTGGAGGGAAAGTAAAGCTTAGAAACCACAAGCAAAAATGACTTTAACAAGATGCAGCAAATGCATTTCACAAACTTCCAAGAATGATCATTCATTCAACAATGAAAGGCGTAATATTAGGCCTTTAAACAGGAAAGGCTTCTGCAGTTGATTTTCACATAAATAACTTTACCAAAAAAAAAAAATGGCCCGCCTACACATTTTCCAATCCACACAATATTTTGACGTTTGCTGTTTCCATTGTGCTTTTTTCTACACTGTGGCATTTTGCCTGTTTTTTACCAAAGAAATCTGATGGATGGAAACATGTAGTGAACACATGTATTGATAAGTGGTAGCATGGCTTTAAACAGTGAAACTTGTTAGTTGTGTGCACCATAATATATGTCCAACCAGATTTTTACAGTTACAGGAAGCAATTCAAACACATTTGACAAATTAGCAGCTGGTATGTTTTGATACACTGTATCGTTCTTGCTATAGAGTCATCTGCACAATGTTATTTACATAACTGCAGCAGTTTTATCATCTTTATATAATTTTTCCAGCTTTGCTTTTTTCTCTAGATCTATATATCTGCGTTCTGGTTAAAATAAGGGGTGTCCAGATAGGAGAAAATCTAAATAATAGCAGGCTAACAAAGCATAATAAATGCTGGCACAAACAGCCATTTAAACAGCAGTTAGCATTAGCTGGTGAAACGTTTACAGAAACTTTGAAAAACCTTCCAAAAAGCCACATTTGTCATCAAAGCTCAGGAGTCTGAGAAAATGAGAAACTACCAATCTTGCAAATAGTTGATCAGGATATCTAATTTTAAACCGCTCTATAAACCATTTTTCTGTTTTATTTTGTTGTCCATTGACCCAGTGAATTTAATCGTTTATGATAATGTTGTTTTGATATCATCAAGTGATGCATTATCAGCATTTTGATTGGCTGTTTCATGAAACTTGTTCCACGAAATTAATATGGTTGCAACTGTTGCAGCTGAGTTCCTGGACACTTTACATTATGCGACTCAAGTGCTGTTTAGTTTTATGTAGGTGTCAAACAGGTAAAGCTGCGGCCATGTTTTAAACAGGTTGCTGGACACTTACATTATGCAACTCAAGTGCAATTTAGTTTCATGTAGATTTCAAGTCAATAGAGTTGTGGCCAAGTTACAAACAAATTGATGGACACTTTTCATTATGCAACTCAAGCACAATTTAGTTTCTTATAGGTTTCAAACAAGTAAAGTTTCAGCCAAGTTTCAAACGAGTTGCTGGGCACTTTACATTATGCAACTCAAGCACAATTTAGTTTCATGTAGGTGTCAAACAGGTAAAGTTGTGGCCATGTTTCAGACAAGTTGCTGGACACTTTACATTGTGCAACCCAAGTGCAATTTAGTTTCATGTAGGTTTCAAGCAAGTAAAGATGCATAAGTGTTTAACTGTGTAAGGCCAGCCTTAGATGACGTGGCCGTACTGTAATAAAAAGAGGATGTTTAACCACCATTCCACAGCCTACAGCGTTACCAACTGTAAGCTAGTGAAGCACCTTTTTGTTTTCATGCTACCAGTACTGTCTTTGTTGGCAGTTTTAAAAAGCTATGTTTGCTTTAACAGAATCAACACAATGCCAAAATACATCTGAGGTATTTTTAAATTTCCTCTGATGTGTGAAGATACTATTTAAAACAAGAAACAAGAAACTTAGTAGCCTAAGATAGACTGCGATGGTGCCGCAGAAGTTGTAGAACATGCAGCAGGATGTGAACTACAGGTCAGAGTAGCTGCGGTTAAGGGTGGGTGATATAGTACAAATATCATCATAGCTGGTAAGATATTTTTCCACTATATACAATATATATATCACAGTATGTTGTTTCTGACGTTTGCAAACAAGTTGAAACTGACAAAACAGTAGTACCGCATTTTGAAAAGATATGAAAACCTGAGTACTTTTTTTAACTCAACATTTACAAAATAAGCTATTTTAGATGGAACAGGAGGATCCATGCTTAAAAAACAGCTAAGAAAAATCAGGGCGAGAAATGTCCACACATTCAAGAGAGAATCAACAGGAGAGCCTCACTGTAGAAGCATGTATAAAAAGTAGTGGGTTTAGTTTTAGGTTTGTGGGGCATTGCCCCACTAAATGCAAGGCCTGGTGTTAGTTCATCTGAATGAGTAGCCCCTACTGAGTGGCGCTCAATCCTCATTCTTATTAGATAATCTGCATCTTAATGTGCTGTGACTGAAAGATTTCCCCAGTTTGATTGATGTTAATATGGTCTTCATAGTACTTTTTTAGCTCTAAATTGGCCTAAATTTATATTTTTTCAGTAAATTCGACAGAACATCTTGTAGGGCTTTATTTTTGAATAAAAAATGTTTTCAGACTCCTCTGTTTACTACTGAACATTTTAGTCTGTTAGCTCAAGTACAACAGATGCTAGGTGACCTCAGCTGAAATTTTGATGGACATACAACAGTATTTAACGGAGGCAGGAATTTTGCAAATGGTCAGTCTGTCTTTTTATGATACGTATGCGCCATGTTCTAGAAATACTGAAGATTCCCGTGACCTACTCAGAAAAGCACACGCTGGTATAATTTACGAGCATAACAAATCATCACGCTGTCCACCCCTACCTACAGAACTGTTAGTTATGATTAATCCTGAGAAGATTTTGATCATCTGTGACTGTCTCACTTAGCTGTAAGGCCACATGGCTTCTAATTGCTGTAGTACACTTTATTCATTTGAAAGAGAACCTGATGATTGATAGGGTCCCTGAGAAGAGTTTCAATTTCTACAGAGTCCTGTTGCATCACTGAGGGGGCACTTTTTTAATTGTTAGATCCAAATACAAATCAGACATAACTGACAACTTTCTTAAATTTAGTCAATTTTAACTGCTATTCTGATTTGATACGTAGAGTACACACTTAAAAAGATGGTTCTTCAAGGGTTCTTTGGTTAAGGCAGTGGGTCTATTTAGCACCATGAGGTCTGTGTAGACGCATATCATGCTTAAATGGCTCTTTGCATGGTGAAATGGTTCTATATAGCACCAAAATGGTTCTTCTGTTGCTACGATGTCAAGGTTGTAACAATAAAAGGACCCTTTTTTGTGCAATATAGAACCATATCGCTGTTGTTGGAAACAAAACCTTGTATCTCCAAAATTGTAATTTTGATGGAGAATTCTTAATTCTTCTTTACTTTTAATGGAAGTCAATGGAACCAGACTTTTTTCCAAGTCATTTTGGGCCGTTTCTTTTGGTCCATTCATCATGAAATTTGCACACAATGTAAAGAACACCAGGCCTTTTCAAATTATGTCAAAAACTGAAAAACGACAAAAATGGAGAAAAGGTTTTGTCCCGACAACAGCGATATACAATACTTTCTCCATCAATCTGAAGAACTATTTCACCATGAAAGGCCATTTAAGCATGAAACGGTTCTATATAGAACTCATGGTCCTAAATAGAACCCTTGAGGAACCATCGTTTTTAAGCGTGTAGTGGGGAATTTAGGCAAGCAGAGTAACTGCTACACCAGGCATGTCAAACTGGGGACCTTCCAAGCCAAAGTGCTGTGGAGATTTGTCAGCGTTTACCCTCATCTAACGCTCTGAATTCAGCTCATGAAGGCTTTGCTAATTAGCTGATGAGCTGAATCAGGTGTGTTTATTGAGGCAGTGTGCTGAAGTCTGCAGTGTTTTGGCTCGCGAGGACTGGACCCTGACACACATGTGCTACACTGTCCGAAAAAAGAGTCCTGTACAGGTACATCTGTGTTCAGAAATGTATCCTCAGAGATACAACATGGTCCTTAAGGTCCATTTGCGTACCTTAAATGAGTTTAAAGGTGCTCTTCATTTTCATTCACTTTCCCAGGGGTGCGTATTTGTACAGTTTCATCCATGTTTGGCCGCCCCCTGTCAAATTCCATATTTATGTTGATTTGAACACATCCTCTACAGAGAACATACTTCTTCAAATTTTAATACACTGGTAAATTGCTGAATTTAATATACTTGGGAATTAAAAAAAAAAACAAAAAACATAAAATATGCCCTGTGCAAAAGTTATGGCACATTTCATAGTTTATGTTTCATTTTTTCCCAATATGTTAAACTCAGTTAGCTTGAAATTGTACACTAAATTAATGCCATAGTTACGTTTGTTCCCTGTAGAGAATGTGCAACTTATTTTTAAATAAAAAATCAACATGTCATTTGACCAGGGGTATTCAAACTTTTGCATACGTCTGTACATTTCCCTAACCTAATGCTTTAAAATAGAAAAACAAATAAAAAGCCTGCACAGTTACATTCCCTGAGGTACTGAAGACGTACCCTTGGGGTTACCACCTCAGAGACAGTGACAGTTCAGGACCTTTATTTCTGAGAGTGTAGAGCGAGAGTAAAGCTTAGAAATACCCATGAACGACTTAGAAAACCTTATCTTGGCATAATTTATCACCAAATCAACTTCATATTGCCAATCCTAGTTGTGGAGCTGTTTGTTATGGTTATTCCTGAAAAGCTTTTGCTCTTCTGTTTCACACTACGTTAACTTTACGCTGTGAACTTCACGCATGCAAAGTAAGTTTCTTGAAAGCAACATGAGACTAAATGACCTTTGAGTTGCACCATGTAAAGCAACCTGCTGGGCGGCTGAACTTCGTGAAACAAGTTGCATGAAGCAGCAAATAAAAATGCCGATAATGCATCACGTGATGACAATAAACAAGATATTTTAAAACATCAGATTTTAGTGGATCAACAGACGAGAAAAAATAAAAACAGACGGTTTATTGGACGGTTGAAAAGGAGACCCCTCTCTAGATGCCCCCTAATTTTGTACAGCGATCAGACTAGGATGAAAATTATTATAGAAATGGAGGTCCGTGATCAACTTGGACAGGATGAGCAAGGTGTCATCTAATATATAAATGTAATGGCTATTTAAATGTTCATTTTAAAGTCTTAACATATACACAACACATACACACAACTCAAATATACAGTTAAGAACACTAGATAATTGATATATATAACAGCAATTGCAGCTGGGAAAATATTTGAATATAATAAAAAAATGCTACAAATTTTAACACCAAGAATGATATAGTGTATCAAAAATATAAGCTGCTAGTGGAGTAACCCATGCAACCCATGTTTTTAATTGCTTTGTGCCAAGTTGCATGGCAATTATGTTGCAGGCAGCTCATAACATGCAATGTAAAGTTACCATGTAAAGCTAGCCTGAAACCCAGTTATGGAGGCCCACAGCACTGCTCAGCTCTTCCTTGCTGTAACATACATCATTTAGCTTAAATGAACTTGAGGACTAATCAGAGGTGATAGATCAAACACTAAAGGCATCAGGGCTGGAGTGAAACCTTTTCTATCCTGTTGTTCATGTTCCAGGCTGCTAACCAGCCAGTGTAAATGTACCCAGAATGAAGCACATATAAGCACATTATCCTGCCTTGTCCAGCGAAATAAATTTAAGATATAAACTATGCATTCGTATTTACATTTTACATTACAAAAGAGATAAAGTTAATATTATTTAGACTAATCTGTACATCTTCACTGGTGGGAAACTCTTTATACAACAGTCGTGGGCGACCTGGACCACAGTCAATGCAGGAGCTCTTTTTTAACAAAGGTTCAGTAGATTCAATCCGGTAGCACGACCACATAATCAGATGACTCCACATCTGAGAGAGAGAGAGAAAAAAGAGAGAGAGAGAGAGAGAGAGAGGGAAAGTCACACATAAGCAACAGCTCTAGCTCTACAGAACCTTTTCGATAAATGATAAATGATAAATGCTATCATTTATAACTATATTCTATATAACACCAAAAAGGGTTCTTCTGTTGCGACAAAGTCAAGCTTGCATACAGTACAAGAGCCCTTTTTTGGTGCTCTATAGAACCATTTTCAAAAAGCTTCTGTATAGAACCATATACAACACATCTGAAGAACCATTTCATTATGCAAAGAACCATTTGAACCAGCATGAAATGGTTTCATATAGAACTCCTGGTTCTAAACAGAACCATCTTACATTTTCATTTCTGTCTGATCTCAGCAGAACTTCACTCACTTTCATAGTCGTGGCAGTCATTGGAATCGTCGGCTTGTGGCGCCATTGTTTTCCTCTTCACTGAGTGACGCAGGCGCGTGGCCAAACCTTGATTTTTCTTCTTATAGTGACGAATAAGCTCCTGCATGGTTTTAAAATAGAGCTCCTGTGTCCCTGTACTGGTCTGAAAAGACAAATATTCTCATATCAATCAATCTGAATCGTTTTAAAGACTTTCTTTGAAGGGTTACTCCAGGACTCCCAAGCAAATGTCTGTTCAACATGTTTGAATTGCATGGTTTAGCACTGACTAGCACTTGCATTAGCACTGAATGTTCACTTGTATTTACAAAAAAGAACAGAAAACCTGGTGAGTCAAAACAAACTTATAATAGAAGCCAATAAAATACAGAACGCATGGTGAGGCCTCGTTCAGTTGTTGTGCTTTGAAACTGTTGAACTCAATTCACTTTGTATTAGACAGTCAAGCTCAGTGCTCACTTTTAAGAAGCATCTAAAAACATATCTCTTTAAATTAGCGTTTAATTATGTTTATCTTTTAATTTGATCTGTGTCGTTTTCTTACATGATTCTAAATTAATTATTATTTTTAATAACTTTTTTAATTTACTTTTTTATTTTTAAATACTTATTATTTCTTGTACTACTATTAAGCTTTATCACCTGTCTGTAAAGCACTCATGAAAAGTGCTATATAAATAAAAATAATAATAATAATATTATTATTATTATTATTAATAATGAGTTGACTCCTATATGTGTTTGAAGTCAGTGGGTTTTCAGGACTTTCAGAAAGCACACTGAAACTGTTCTTCACACTTATTTGACACCAATGCTGCAGACATAGGCTGAAAAACTGACATACTCCTTTGAGGACGGGAAACAGTGCAACTAAAGGCATTAAAATTCTAAAAATATGACCACTAATGCACATTATGTCCGGCATTGCCGTGCCCTCTATCTATAAACTCTGGAAGTCTCTGAAGCTATTTTGGTAATTTTCTGACTGTCGCTTTAATTCCTGGAAACTGTTCACTTCATCGAAAGAGATGATGGCAGTAGAAGTGAAAAAAATACTGAAATGTGCTGCAACATCAGAAAATCAATTCAGTTAAGTGCAACTTCACAATCTTAAACTCCTATTTTTCACAAATTCTGCATGATTCGATCATTGAAATGATGATGTGTGTAGACCTGTTCATATACTCAGTACTGTAGCACTAAAAGGTCTCATTAAAATGAACCACATTTGAGCATATTTGTTACTGCTGAAAATATTCTGTGACCCAATGATGGGTCAGATTCTACACTGAGAGGAGTGATTGCAAAATAAACTTGGACATATCACATTTTGGAAAGGGGTCGAGTGATGTATGGAGGAGAGGACGTTAGTGCTTCATTCATAACAAACGTGCAACTTATGCCCAGTGTCCATGTTAATATCATCATCATATTATTTGAAGGGTTTTGTTCCAAAACGCATCATGGACACTCAGGCATTCAGGGTGGTTTGATAAAAAATGATGTTAGAACTCTTTACAGTGGATTTCTTTACAGTGGTGGTGATAGGAACCAGGGGTCACGATGTCTATGATGCAAATATTACCATGTTATTTTCTGTACTGAGCAGTGAACCTGCGTTTCTCCTCAGTTGTTATATGTAATGTTGATAGTGGTCAAATGGTGCTTGATCTGATACGTTTTGGTGCTGTTTTGCACAACACCCTGCATTAACACAAGTACATTTTAGACCAAAACCTTAGCTTAAAACCAAACAATCAAAACCATGTCTCAGATACTGGACAACATATTCACATCCATTTTGTGCAATAACATTCTGTGAGGGAGGTTTTAGAGGTGTTAAACGCTTTAGACGTTTGGTTCCTATCACCACCACTGTGAGCGATTTTGACTCTTTGTTTCTCTAGAACAGCGCATTTCATATCAAACCACTCTGAATGACTTAACTGCTCTATTATGCTGAAATTTCTGAAACGTGGGTGAAATTACCCTTTAATACTTACTATTACCCATTGGAAAAATAATGACACAGTAACATAACCTTTTGCTTGCAATTATTGCTAAAATACAGACACTTGCACATGGCTCAACACTATTGCAGTAGAGTCAGCTTTGTCTCACCTACCTGTAAAGTGTAATATCCTGTATGGGTTTGTAGGATCCTGTACGTGTACACGATCTTCTGTTTGCTGTAAGAGCAGAGAACAGACATTTGTTAACGCAAAGGCCTCTACAGGGCAAAGGCACGGTACTGCAGGGCAGCGTCTAACATGATATTGCTATTTTTTATGGACTGCTTCAGCCCACACCTCTGACATTATTTCTAAAAGTGCACAGTGTCATGATGCGGTGTGTCACTAACACCAACCATAGTTTTTTGTGATAACACATTTGCAGAATCAGAGCTGTTTGATAAGAAACCACACATTTGAAGAGCTCTTTTCACACGCCATTTCTGTCACTTGCCATCAAAGCACATAAAAGCAGAAGCAGTTACTGCAAATCTGAAACTGATCTAGTACATCCAAGCACAACGTGTGCCATTAGCAGACAGCAAAGATGCCAGTCAGGGTTTGGTCCAGACCCACGTCCAGGTCCAGTCCTGGAGGACCAGCACAGTTTGGCAGTTTCCCTGCTCAAACACACCTGAGTCAACTCAGCAGTCAAACCGTGCTGGACCGAGGCCCTCCAGGACCAGAACTGGACAGAGTGTATTTATCATTCATTACTGTTTTACATTTTTGCATGTACGAAAATGGCCAAATGTTCAATGCTACATAACAATACAGTGCCACATTATACTTATATGACAGTGATGGCACAATATGCATTTCAAATAAATAAGAAATGCCAAATTATCCAACAACATAAATCTCCAGTACATGTTTAAACTTCCAACCTAGTCCTGGTCAAATGACTTGTTTTGTTGATTTTCTAAGTGAAACGTGAAAATAAGTGTGTGCCATATCTTTTGCACAGGACACATTTTATGTTGTACCAATGTTGTACCAACACTTGCTTTTAAATGGGAATTTCCACAGTTTTTCAAAATTTCTGCATAATTCAATTACTGTGAATTATTGGAAACACCGTCATTCAGAGTGGTTTGACATGAAATACTTCATTGTAGAGAAACTTAGATTAACAAGAATATATACATTTTACTGGCTATGCAAAACAATCAGTCAATATACTGTCTCTAATATGTTGTCATATAGAATTGTGATGATGGTAAAATAGTGGTAAACCTGCAAAAATAAAGTTTGAGTACCACTGTTGTACCTTCGAGGGTACATTTACATTGTTTGTGCCTTGACGCATGAAAACTGTATGTCTACGATGCAGATATTACCCTTTTATTTTTTGTACTGAGCAGTGAACCTACATGTTTCTACTGGGTTGTTTTATGTAATGTTGATAGTGGTCAAATTGTGCTAAATCTGATAGTAAGTTTTATTTTGGAGCTGTTTTGCACAAACCCTGCATGAACTTCTCCAGCATGAATGGGTTTTTTTTAAAGTACATTTTAGACCAAAACCTTAGCTTAAAACTGTCATAACACAATGTCTCAGACACCAGGCAATATATTCATAACCATTTTGTGTAATAACTCCTTGTGAGGGAGCTTTTAGAGGCATTAAACTCTTTAGACGTTTGGTTCCTGTCACCACCACTGTGAACAATTCTGACTCTGTTTCTCTAGAACAGTGAATTTCATGTCAGACCACTCTGAATGACTTAACCGTTCTTATATGCAGAAATTTTAAAAAGTCTGTGAAATTCCCCTTTAATATTTAGTATTACGCTCTAGAAAAATAATGGCAAAAAATAAATCTATCATAAAACAATGTAGCATCTTTCAAATTAATAATTGAGATTAAACACTTTGGACATTTGGTTCCTATCAACACTGCTGTGAAAAATGTGAAAAATTCTCAGGTTTGTTTATCTGGAGCACTTCACATATGAATGACCTGAAACTGTTTATGTCTTAATCACCGAATTAGGCTGAAAATGTGAAAATTCAGTGGAGTAGTCCAATAACTGCACAATAGATAACATTTAAATTTAAGAAATAGTATGGTTATGCAAAAGTTTGAACACTCCTAGTCCTGGTCAAATGACTTGTTTTGTTGATTTTCAAAGTGAAACGTGAAAATAAGTGTGTGCCATATCTTTTGCACAGGACACATCTTATGTTGTATTTTTTTTCCAATATGTTAAATTCAGCAAATAAACAGCAATTGTGTATTAAAATGGGCAGAATCGTGTTCTCCGTAGAGGATGTTCCAGCTTATTTCCCCTTAGTGAAATAAACAAAACGTCATTTGACTGGGGACGCCCAAACTTTTGCACACTGATTAGCTATCTTGCTTGTTAGCTGTCGATACTTAGTAGTTCGGAAACTGACAGAAAAGCTTGAGCTCAAATAAACAAACATTACAGCCCAAGTTGGTTTTCTTAAGACCCATGAAGTGTCTCAGGAAAATGGGCTTTGTTTTATTTCCATGCCTTTGCCTCACATGCTGTTTGTTACAATATAGACATAATATTGTGAATAACACCTGTGAAAAATGATTGTGGTCGGCATAAATAACTGCAATGAACACAAATGAATGTGATCAGGCAACTATTTAACAGCATACCGCCGTGTGCAAAAGTTTAAAACACCCTCGGTCAAATTATGTTTTGTTGAGTGAAAAGAAGTGGCCACGTCCTCTACAAAGAACTCGCCTCTGCACAGTTTTAAAGCATAATTACTGTTTATTTTGCAGCATTTAACATATTTTGGAGAAGGTCTGTAAAATGTGGCCTGTGCAAAGGTTAAGGCACATTTCACATTTCCTATTTTAGATTTTATTTTTGCTCCAATAACTGTTAAACTCAGATTGCTAAATTAAAGAGAAATTGTGCAAAAAATCTCATAGCCAAGTGTGTTCTCTCTAGAGCATGTCTTGACTTATTACCACTTCAAAAATGAACAGAACAAGCAGTGTGTTCAGACTTTTGCGTACAACTGTGTATGCACAGAGCCAGACAAGTACAGGAAGACAGTACTCACTAAACGCAGAGACACAGAGCTCCCTGGATGGTTTCGCTGTCCCTTATGAGATATGATCCGTCTTTGCCCTTCCTACCCAGGAGTTCCTCGCACCTCTGCCTGCTGATGGGGCCATGATAGATGGGGAGCCCCATGTCCCCCATTGTATTCGGGGATGAAGTAGCCAGGGCCCCCCTACACACACCTCTCCAGCTCTGCTGGAACTTTAAGTCTGAGAAGAAGAGTTGTAAGCTCAGAAAGAAAAAGAGCAGAAAGGACGCTTCTTCAAACCCACATTCCGAAAGCTTGAGGCGCCCTTTGCTAAAAGTGTGCATTATTTCCACCCCACAGCGGACAGGCTGTGGCAACGGGTCACAACGTCATCTGAAACTTCACACAGGAAGCGTGTGTATGTCTCTGTGTGTGTGTGTCTGTGTGTGTGTGTGTGTGTGTGTGTGTGTGTGTGTGTGTGCGTGTATTTACCCAATTCAAACAGTGAACAGTTCATAAATAAAGGCAGTGCATACATGCATGCATTACATATTCTACATATATTACTGCAGTTTTCAATTACCTGGTCAGTTCTGAGTTTATTGAACTGGAAAATGAACTGGTGCATCGTTCCACTTGAATCTCTTCCTCTTTTGTACTTATAGAGTCATTTTTCCATTATGATTCATTTCCACTGTTTGCCTCACGCTTTGCATCTATTATTAGAGCATTTGATTGTTTTACTCAGCTTGCTGACTGTAGCCTGTGTTTCTGGATGTACTACATGCAGCGGTAAACTTTCAGAAGTCCCAACCATGTGATGACTTGCAAAGAAGGGAAACAGTGGTCACTTTTGTCGGGTATGCATGTCTGTGGCCATTTCAGGTGTGAAAACTGAACACATCTACTTTCAACAAACTCCACTGCATACTGACTGACTTTCCTGAAGCTTTAACCATCCACTTTCTATGATTATAAAATGTATGATTAAAAAATGTACTATTCTAAAATGTACTAAATCTATTTCTATGATTAAAAAAAGTACTTAGATTTTCTTGCATGTATACATGGCTATACATTTGCAGCTTTATCAGCTGAACAGCCTACAATCATCATTAAAGGGAAAGTCCACAGAATTTTCAGATTTTCTGCATTAGTCACTCAGTTGAGATGTAAACAAATCCATTCAGAGTTTTCTGATTTGTGTGCATTGTACAGAAATACACATTTTTATGTGATATTCATAGTGGTAAAATAGCTGTAAATCTAGTTGTAGTAATCTGCCTTAACAGTCTGTCCATCATGAAGGCATTTTGAAAAACTTTTACGCCAAAACCTTAAATATTTCAGACTCTTATTTCATCATAAAATAATGTTGTAAGCAATATATCAGTAGCCGTTTCATGCACAGCTTGCTCTGAGCTGAGTTTTTGAGACACTGAACACCGCAGACAATTGGTTCCTGTTGCCACAACTAAGAGCAAATTTTGACTGTAAAATTTCTAGAACAGCATTTCACTTCAAACTACTCTGAATGTCTTTGTTTACATCTTAATGATTGAAAAATCAGTGGAACTGTTGTACAACCATCGTGACAACAACAGTGTTCAATGTTAGCCATCAGATCATGAAAATAATGAATAATTAAAAATAACATAAATAAAGTATGCATACATACACACATGCAAATTACATTTACACTATATTGGCAAAAGTATTCGCTCATCTGCCTTCACACACATATGAACTTGAGGGACATCCCATTCTTAATCCATAGGGTTAAATATGATGTCAGCCCACCCTTTGCAGCTATAACAGCTTCAACTCTTCTAGGAAGGCTTTCCACAAGGTTTAGGAGTGTTTATGGGAATTTTTGACCATTCTTCCAGAAGCGCATTTGTGAGGTCAGACACTGATGTTGGACGAGAAGGCCTGGCTCACAGTCTCCGCTCTAATTCATCCCAAAGGTGTTCTATCAGGTTGAGGTCAGGACTCTGTGCAGGTCACTCAAGTTCTTCCACACCAAACTCGCTCATCCATGTCTTTATGGACCTTGCTTTGTGCACTGGTGCGCAGTCATGTTGGAACAGGAAGAGGGCCATCCCCAAACTGTTCCCACAAAGTTGGGAGCATGAAATTATCCAAAATCTCTTGTTATGCTGAAGCATTAAGAGTTCCTTTCACTGGAACTAAGGGGCCGAGCCCAACCCCACACCATAATCCCCCCTCCACCAAACTTTACACGTGGCACAATGCAGTCAGACAAGCATTGTTCTCCTGGCAACCGCCAAACCCAGACTCGTCCATTGGATTGCCAATTCGTCACTCCAGACAACTAGAGTCCAGTAGCGGCACTTAACACCACTGCATTCGACGCTTTGCACTGCGCTTGGTGATGTAAGGCTTGGATGCAGCTGCTCAGCCTTGGGAACCCATTCCATGAAGCTCTCTACGCTGTTCTTGAGCTAATCTGAAGCCCACATGAAGTTTGGAGGTCTGTAGCGATTGACTCTACAGAAAGTTGACGACCTCTGCGCACTATGCGCCTCAGCATCCGCTGACCCCACTCTATCATTTTACGTGGCCGACCACTTCATGGCTGAATTGCTGTCGTTCCCAATCGCTTCCACTTTGTTATAATACCACTGACAGTTGACTGTGGAATATTTAGTAGCGAGGAAATTTCACGACTGGACTTGTTGCACAGGTGGCATCCAATCACAGCACCACGCTGGAATTCACTGAGCTCCTGAGAGCAACCCATTCTTTCACTAATGTCTGTAGAAGCAGTCTGCATGCCTAGGTGCTTGGTTTTACACACCTGTGGTCATGGAAGTGATTGGAACAACTGAATTCAATGATTTGGATGGGTGAGTGAATACTTTTGGCAATATAGTGTACAATACATAACTAAGAATTTGTGTATGTTTGTATTGATTTATTTTTCGATTCGTTATGGGTCACCATGAATGAGCTATTTTCAGTATGCCGTTTTGCTCATTTACTATTATTAAAAGAATAAAGATTAATTTAATAGTTTATTTAGAGAATAAACTAGAGAGCCTCTGTTAAAACTGGAATAAACAAGTCTCCCCTGTTACCTGAATACTTCTCCCCACTAAGCAGACTATTAGGAGGCTAATTTACACTAATAAAACTAATATTCCAGACACTCCGTGTGTTTTACAGGGCTAATCCAGAGACACCTCTCCCCGAGGACTCCTCAGCCTGAGTGTGGAAGCCGGGAGGAGGATGAGGAGCTGTAATTTGGGATTAAGCTGATTAAGGTGGTCAGAGGAAGCGTTAGCTCTCCGCCATGCCACCACTCAGTGTTACCGGCTTCGCCGTAGCGCTCAGTCCACCTTCAGGAGCCTCTGCTCTTCACACTTAACCACTCATTAGGCGAGTATGAACTACAAGGGGGTGGGTAAGTGGTCGCCGGAGTTAAAATGGAAAAGTGAGGGCTACTGCTGACACGCTGCGGTGAGGTAATCTGGGTCAACATGAAGACAAGACCGACCGGCAACGACCGCAACGCTGACTGGATGGGCTCTTTGTGCCCAGCGCTAACGGCCATGCCGCTGAAGTACCTGGCCGTGCCAGGTGGGGCCTTTCTGCTTATAGTAGCATTGAGCTAGTTGGCTGCGTCCAAAACACAGTACTGTAGCCTACATAGTACATACTGCACTAATAAGTGCACTACTAAAGGTGGTGTACTTTTTTGACATACAGTGAAAGCCCTGAAGTTATTTGTACTTACTTAATCGAGTTAAGATGACTTATTGTCTCGCAGTTAGTTGTTATCACTCAGTCCAGGCAAGTTGTTAGTAAAGATGGAAGAATTCAAATGTTCTTATTTTTGTGAGGAGAACACTGAGAGAGTATGAGGCGGAGTTACCCAGAATTCCTGTGTTGTTAGCCAAATTCTGCTTATTAGCCCTAATTTTTCATTCAGATAATATATATATATATATATATATATATATATATATATATATATATATATATGTATATATATATATTATCTGAATGAAAAATTCAAAAAAAATTTGTTCCAGTGTCCGTTCTATGTGGAGTTTGCATGTTCTCCCTGTGTCTGCGTGGGTTTCCTCCGGCTTCTCTGGTTTCCTCCCACAGTCCAAAGACATGCAGTCAGGCTAACTGGACATGCTAAATTGCCCCTAGGTGTGAATGTGTACGTCTGTCTGTCTGTCTGCCCTGCGATGGACTGGTGACCTGTCCAGGGTGTATCCTGCCTTCCGCCCAATGATAGCTAGGATAGGCTTCAGCACCCCACCGCAACCCAGAAGGATAAGCTGTGGGTCCACTGGCTTTTTGCTCAGCGTTTTCCGGGCGGCCCACTGTTGGTTAAGCAGACTATTAGACAAAATTCCACTAATCATTTTGCTTTTTCATTTTTCACTCACAGTCCTGTTTACTTATTTTTCCTTTCTTCCTTTCTTTAGGTAAACTTTGTACATTAGTTTAGTAAATCATTTTAATCTAGCACAGGGTCAGCCACAACATTTTCTATAATATCATTTGATATTAGGCCTAGTTACTTTTTTCTCTCATTTGTTTGTGATATTTGTCTTTTTATTTTCTAAAAGAAAAGTCTGTGTGCATTTAAAATCTGTTACAATAAACACTCTGGGACACTCTGGTGAAAGTGAAACATTAACCATGCCCACATCTGCTGTAAACATGCCTACTCACTTGGTGCCACAATCTCGAGAGTGAGATTTTCTGGTTTAAAGGCTTGGAAAACCCCCACCTGGGGATGTATCTTGAACGTGTGAGGTGCTACTACAAGTACTTTGGGCTGGATACATGAGGATGGGCTGTCTGAAATATTGGGTTTTTTTTTTTGATTGTTTGTCTGTTTGTTTGTTTTCACGCTAGCTGGCTAATGCAGAAGGAAGCCAGATAGCTAATGTTTCTGCTAGGACGTCCAGCACAACTGTATTTGTATTTATTAGCCTCCACATCAGTGGTACATTAAAGGATTTCTTAATGGCAGTGGGGGGTTCCCAGTGGTTGCATGTGTTATTTACACAATACATGTCAGGTGTTGTAGGGAGAGAACACTGATCAAATCAAATCATGTTTAACGTCACATCACATTTACACAGGTGCGAAGGTGAGTGAATAGCTTAGGTGCGTAACCCCCCTGTAGTACTTTCATACTTTCATAATCATGGTGATGATTCAGAGGTGTGAATGACGAAAATGTAAAAATGATGAATTCTTTCAAACCCTTATGTTTGCGTAATGCAGTGCTGTGCTTTAGAATTTTACATAATATGATGCATATTGTATTAAAATCTAGTTTTAAGCTTAAATGTCTTTCAGTGAAATTGATGGGTTTATATATTACTGTGTATTTTCAGTACTTATCCCTAACTGTACTCATGAGGAAAGTAATCCATTCTCACTTTAGTAATCTATTCTCATTTTAGCCATTCACATTAAGTGACTGACTGCTTTTTATGTATAAGTTCATTCTGTTGCATTTGCGCCAGCACCTGTGCTGACCACTGGTCACACCAACTTTTGAGATCAAGCATTACATTTTTAGACCTAAACTGCATCAAAAAGAGAAGAGTAGACCCTGAACTCCAGCTCCTGTTCTGATTGATGCTGCAGTTCTGTATGTTTTCCAAGTTGTTTTTTGAACTGTTACTGTTGTACTTATACTCTGCTTTTTGAAATGTGGTAGAATAACCTCAGTCTTAAGTTATTCATATCACTAACCCGGTTATTGTTTAGTCTCTGTCATTTACTTCTGTTTGTGATCTCCACTTTATCATTGTAGGATCCCACGACTCCTTCAGCTTTTGGGTGGATGAGAACGCTCCGGTCGGCCCTGATCAGAAAGCATTCGTCAAGCACCTGGCCATGATTTTCCGTCTGTTGGCCAAGAAGGTGATGAAGAAGTGGTCGATGACTCAGAACCTCACCTTCCGAGAGCAGCTGGAGGGCGGAATTCGCTATTTTGACCTCCGTGTCTCTTCAAAGCCGGGCGAGGAAGGCTGTGAGGTCTACTTCATCCATGGCCTGTTTGGCCACAAAGTGCGAGATGGTCTCGTGGACATTAACACTTTCCTCAGCGCGCACCGCCAGGAGGTCGTCTTTCTGGATTTCAACCACCACTATGCCATGGAGGAGGAGCACCATCGCTATCTCATCAACATGCTGAAGGAGGTTTTTGGATCCAAGCTCTGCAAGATCAACGTGGTGGAGGACATCACTCTGGATTATATGTGGGAGAAGAAGTACCAGGTAATAGGCCTGCTATAGCTTGACTTACTGAAGTAACTAGGCCTGGACAAGATGGTCGTAGTTCTGTATTGTGGCTACAGTGCTAGACATTGCGATAGACCTCACAGTATAATGAAATACATTGGTGAACACTTAAAGGGGAACACTGTGGTTAATTGTAGTGACTCTAGCAGACCCAGATTTCTTTACAGTGGTAGACGTAGGAAACAAGACGATTTACTTAACCATTGTAAAAAGCCCTGGATCTCTCTGCTGTGAATGGATTAAAATAAATGGATTAAAATACATTTTAGGCCACTGATCTATGTAAAACAGTGTCTTGAGCATTTAGCTGTAATCATTTCAGTATAATATGATACAATAATGACTATTTTTAGAGGCATTAAACTCTTTGGACATCTGGTTCCTATCACCACCACTGTGAACCATTCTGTTAACAAAATTTCGTTACTCCGAAATGTTTTCGAGAAATTCCCTTTTAAAGTTTCTAACAGTCAACATGTATCATTTTGACCAAAATTGTTTAATCGATTCATTAAAATCACGAATGCCTGTGATTGGCCAGGAGGCTGGCAGCACTCACTAAACAGTTTTGGTTAGAACATTTTTATTATCAGTATTGCAATTAAAAAAAGCTATATTGTGAAACTCTATCAGCAGCCTTGCCTCATAAGCCTTGTTGCTTTGCATCCAGTGTATTGCTCTTAGAGTTCAGGTGTTCAAGAAAAAGAGCTTGTCCATTGAGGGGCATTGATTGACTGTCATAATTTGAAAGCAATAAGAGAGCCAGGCTTCACTTTGAAAGTAACTCACTTCTCAAACCACCATTTCCCCTTTCCATCAATACTTCACTTTTTACACTTAACCAAAATAAACTCCCACATTTTCACTTACTGTGTCAGGGGGCGGGCTTTGCATATGTGCCCATGTCTATTTCAGGCTGTAAGCAGAAGAGCAGGTCAGTGTCAAAGTCTTAGGGAAAGACGTTGAAGAGATTAGTGGGAATCAGGAGGCAGTTAGAGTGTTCAGCGCTGCATGGTTAGAGGCGTATCGGTGGAAATGAGTTCCACTTTTACTGTGAAGCAGTTTGATGCTTTTATGTGTATTGAAAGCTCTAAAAAGCCCCTGACATTATTAAGTTAATTAAACTTTCAAGGCAGCTCGCAGACCAAAAATGGAAAACATGCTTACAGTAGATTTCAGTGTGTCTCAGTGGAACATGCCACTGCCTATCAAAAGTTTGGGGACTTTCCAAAAGCTGCAAAATTTAAGGAACAACTGACAAAAGTACTTGATCTCAAAGCAACACCCGTGTGATGTCAGCACTTGAACCTTTCAGGTGTTTAAACCACCTTTGATCCGGAAGGGCTGGGGGGCACTTAGCTTTTCAAAAGGTTTTTAAATATCATCGCTGTCCAAAAAGTAATGCATTTCGCTTATTTTTTATTTTTGAATATAAGCATTTTGAGCACAGCAGCTGTCCTGTATATTGTGTGAAAACCTCATGATGAATGGACCAATAGAAATGCTCCAAAATCTTTTTACATCAACTTATACTAACAGATAAAAGCATTTTGTCTTCTCCAGTAAAGTTACCATTTGGTTGATACGTGTTGTTTGTCTGGACAGCGACGTGGATTTGCGTCTGCTTCAAGTTTACTGATCATCACATTGATTTATCGGAAATCAACACAAATTTTCCTTCCATCTCGTACGACACTGCGTTAGGGAGGGTCTCTGAGCTCTGAGCTGACTGAGTGTTTTCTCTCCGTGATGGGTGGGGGTGGGCGTGGAAGGTAACACATGATATAATCTGTTAACGTTTCTTTTTCCCTACCCACTGATGCGCAACACTAATCAAGAATCAGAAAACACTTTTCGAGGTAGGCAAAAGTCACTACATTATGAAAGAAGATTACAGAAAAACAAGAATTTAATGTGTTAAATGATGATGAATTGTGCTTAATATGATCAGGGTTATGACCAATTTTGACCAGGAATATGACCAGTTTTAATTTAAGGGTTGGGATGTAATGAGAAAACAAGTATTCAGAATACAGAAATGAAGTATCTGTCCAAGTGACATGTTGTAAAGACAGTATTTAAATAAAACAGCTACTTTTGAATATTTAGGAGAATGATTTTAAAATATTTACTCACTAAATTAAAAAAATACACCATCAATGCTTGTTTAACTATTTTAAAACCAGTGTGCATCATGTAAAGATGTATTCTAAAGAAGAAGTCAATAAACAGCTTTTTTGCAAACATTGACGTTCCTGTTAAAGCCTGAGTAGACTGATGAATCAATGTGATGATCAGTTATTAATCTCAGTGTTACTGAGCTCTGCTAAAGCCTGAGTAGACTGATGAATCAATGTAATGATCAGTTATTAATCTCAGTGTTGCTGAGCTCTGCTAAAGCCTGAGTAGACTGATAAATCAAAGTGATCAGTTATTAATCTCAGTGTTGCTGAGCTCTGCTAAAGCCTGAGTAGACTGATGAATCAATATGATGATCAGTTATTAATCTCAGTGTTACTGAGCTCTGCTAAAGCCTGAGTAGACTGATAAATCAATATGATGATCAGTTTTTAATCTCAGTGTTACTGAGCTCTGCTAAAGCCTGAGTAGACTGATAAATCAATATGATGATCAGTTATTAATCTCTGTGTTACTGAGCTCTGTTAAAGCCTGAGTAGACTGATAAATCAATGTGATGATCACTGTTTAGGTATTACTACTATTACTTGTACTATTTAGGTATGATTGAACTAAAGAGCCCCCTCAGTAGTTGACATTCATGTGTAATAAGCTTAGCATCGATGCTATCATGGCGAGTTACATACATGTCATTAACTTAAAGTCACACAGCTATCCACTTTATAGTGAGAATTAATAGACTTTAATAGATTTTTTATTGGGATACGGCGAATCGTTATAGTTAATGAGACAGCAGTGGGATTTTGACAGCCAAAATAATTCATTTAAATCAGTGAATTTGTCATGAAACACATGAATTACAAGAAGAAAACTAGTAACTAGTAACCAGTAAGCAAGGAACAGTGTGAATGTTTTTCCATCTGCTTTATGCAATATGAATTCTAAATGTATTCTGAATATGTTACTTTTTATGTATTGTAGTCAATACATAACATGGCATACAATACACAACAGTGTATTCAGTTACACCGATCAGGCATAACATTATGACCACCTCCTTGTTTCTGCACTCATTGTCCATTTTATCAGCTCCACTTACTATTAAGGTGCACTTTGTAGTTCTACAGTTACAGACTGTAGTCCATCTGTTTCTCTGCATACTTTGTTAGCCCCCTTTTACCCTGTTCTTCAGTGGATCAGACACAGCAGTGCTGCTGGAGTTTTTAAACACTGTGTCCACTCACTGTCCATTCTATTATGCACTCCTACCTTGTCAGTCCACCTTGTAGATGTAAAGTCAGAGACGACAGCTCATCTGCTGCTGCACAGTTTGTGTTGGTCATCCTCTAGTCCTTCATCAGTGGTTACAGGACGCTGTTGGCTGGATATATTTGGTTGGTGGACTATTCTCAGTCCAGCAGTGACACTGAGGTGTTTAAAAACTCCAGCAGCACTGCTGTGTCTGATCCACTCAGACCAGCACAACACACACTAACACACCACCACCATGTCAGTGTCACTGCAGTGCTGAGAATGATCCACCACCCAAATAGTAACCTGCTCTGTGAGGGTCCATGGGGGTCCTGACCACTGAAGGACAGGGTAAAAGGGGGCTAATGAAGTATGCAGAGAAACAGATGGACTACAGTCTGTAACTGTGGAACTACAAAGTGCACCTATATAGTAAGTGGAGCTGATAAAATGGACAATGAGCGTAGAAACAAGGAGGTGGTCACAATGCCTGATCGGTGTATTTAGCCATCACTACTTTTTCAAAGTATTCTGCCAAACACTGACTTTAATACATTAAATAGAAAGTTGTTGACCATATTGCCCAAACCCCAATCATTGTTGTGAGATGTAAGCACTCATCAGCACTTTGGGCCAAAAAAGTTTGTGTTTTTAAAAATAGCTGGGGAAAAAGAAACATGTCCAGTCATTATTTAGGCACAGTCTGCTCTTCATACCAAGGAAGATGCTTGATGAACATGAAACGTGCTGAAGCAAAATATATCCAAAGCAATAATACATTCCTCGGTGGGAGAGATGTCCTTAACCAGGGACAAAATGGTGCTTCAGGCTCGACCCAGGGCAAAGGTCAGTCCTTCCTGCTGTGTGCTGACCCTAATCTCTGCAAGATTAAAGTCTCACTTCCTCGCTCTGCTCAACAAGATGTGACATGGCCAGTTCAAATCGGTTACTCAGTCAGCATTTTGATGGGAATAGTCAGCAAATGATGTGACTCGTCAGCAACGGATGTGACTTTTTCTCTTTACAGTTTCTGTTCATGTTTTGCTTCTGTATTTCTTTATCAGTACTACACTGCATCCAAAAGTTTGTAGAAACCAACGTTTCTTCTGAAATCAAAGTTATTAATAGGGATTCTGTCCACCCGTTGCTGCAGTAACAGCCTCTGCTCTTCTGGGAAGGCTTTACACTAGACATTGGAACGTTGCTGTGGGGATTTGTTTGCATTCAGCCGCAAGATCATTAGTGAGGTCAGGTACTGATGTTGGATGATCAGTTCTTGGTCACTCTAACTCATCCCAATGCTGGGGGCTTTATACCCCTCCCACAGTTGGCACTGGGCAAATGTGCGGCTGCTCCAGAGCATCCCATTCTATAAGCAATGCTTTTCTATGGAAATTACAGAAGCGTCTGGAAGCTTCTGGACATATGGCGTATATGATTTGAAGCAATAGCTACAGTGATACATCTTACAATTTTTTATTTGTTTCTTTTAATGATCTGTTAGTCTTATGTCTCTCTCACATATCTGATAATGTATCCCACAGGTCCTGGTGTTCTATCATCACCCGTCTGCTAAGGGCTGTCCAGTTTTGTGGCCGGGAAGTAAAATCCCAGCCCCGTGGGCCAACACCACTGACACCACCAAGCTCATCCAGTTCCTGGAGACCACACTGGGCGAGAGAGCTAAATACGACAGCTTCCACGTGTCCCAGGCCATCCTCACCCCCCGCATAAAGACCGTCGTCGGAGGGCTGGTCATGGGACTGCGCAACTACCTTGTGGAGAAGTGAGCTATTGGGGGTTGAGGGAACTGTATTGTTTTTATGTTTTTTTTTGTCTTACCAGTCTAAATAATCTTAGCTCTTATTCTGGATTTAGATGAGTGCTGGCAAGTGCATTAGTTCAACAGTTTTTCCAAGGAGCCAGCAGATGGCAGTATAGATGCATGTTGAGGGTTGGTCCTGAAGAACATAGGCGTACACAAAAGACCAGTTTCCTATACATGGATTGAGCCTAGCTTTAAAACGTCAGTGGTGATTGACCAGTGGAAATTCTTTGAATCTAGGCTTAAGCTTGATTTGGTTTGAGGAAGCTGGTCCAAACAGTTAGATGAGGAAGATTAACTGCACAAGCCCAACTTCTAAAGTCTAGATTTTGGTCTAGACTTAGGCTTAATTTTGCTCTGTCCAGTCTAGAAGTATACCTCCAACTGTTTGTCCCCTGTTTGCTTGCTCCTCTACTCTTTAGAGACTCTACAGACTTTACTCTGGAAAAACTTGGAACACTGCTGTGAGGATTTAATTGAATTCAGCCCCAAGAGCATTGGTGAGGGTCAGGTACTGATGTTGGATGATTAGTTCTAGACCACAAATAGTGCTCCCCCCAAAGGTTTTCCAAGGTGACTCATCTCCTACCATCATCCCACCGCTCCACAGCCCAATAGTGGGGGTTTTATACCACTCTAGTTGACGTGTGGCATTGCTCATGCTGACCTTAGGCTCATGTCTGGCTGCTCTGGAGTGTTCCTTTTCTCTGCAGAGCCTTTCTATTGACATTATGTGGCTGTGAGTGTGCATTGTAACACCATTGTCAGCAATAGGTACACCTTGTACATGTAGCATACAGCAAGGCTCAATCTTCTAGAACTGGCTTGTCAAGTGACCGGAGCTACCTCTTGACGGACGTCTTAGTCAGACGGCAGTCTCACAGGAAAAAGGATTAATTGTGCCTGAGCGCAGAATGGGCATTGTTTATTATTCCTGAATAAACTCAACGCTCAAGCTTCCCATTTCCTGGTTTTGTGCGGCCTGCTGCTGTGCATCAGTGGAGACAGGAGGGAAAGCTCTGAGTTTATTTCCAGTCTGAAGTAGAACCATCACACGCTAATACTCATACAAGCCACCCCACACTTATCAGATTTAACACACACACATCCCCACAGGCTGTAGTTCAATGTACACTGCTCACTCCCCAGTCCATATATGAAAAGTTCGCTGCAAACACAGCCCGTTTTGAATATATCATAGTTATGATGTTACAACCATGAACACATTTATATATATATATCACCTATTTAGTCTGAAGCAGTTTATCTTTCCTATTTATGTTGAAGTGATGCGGAGTGTTGTTACTGCAGACAGTCTGTAGCAGAGTTGTTCAGGCACAAGATGGGGAAAATGTTCAAATGTTGTACTGTCCCTGGCTGTCAGGAAGTAAATGTCATTGCATCTTGGATCCAGAGATGAAGCTGAAGTCTGTTTTTTTTTCAGTGTCCCTAAGAATTTCAGTCCAAATTTAACAGTTTGTCCCATACAGTCACACCTTGACTGTTTCACCTTGACTGTTTTTGAATGAAGCGAAGTCGGAACAATTTACACGTGTCAGTTTTACAGGCAAGGTAACAAAACCTCACAAGTGTTATATATTTCAGGCAGAGCAAAACACAATACATGAAAAATATAGAATTTGGGCCCTTTGTGTCTCTTCTGTTCAGTAAAATATATTAATGGAAAGTTGTAAGGACCAGAAAAAACACCTTAGGTCATTTTCTATACCTTTGGTTCTCAGTAGAACAGCATAACAGGTCCACACACCTCCATGGAAACAATCAGTGAGTGAATTTAAGTTGCAGACTTGGTATCTGGTATTATTAAAAGTGAACATAAATGATTTTGTATCTATAAGAATCTATTCACTGTGTTAGTATTTGTTTTATACATTTCAAACTGGTATAAAATAGGTTTTATTTCAAAACATGATCATTAATTTTACTCCCCCCCAGAAAATGTCAGGTGGTGCAAAAACACAGTAATAAAATTATTAAAATATTAATAAAGCTATTTACCAATACTGGGTTACTGGGCTACTGACCTTGGCATTGCTTCCTGAAGGTCAATTATGGATTTATTTATGCATTAATAGTTATTTTTAATAACTTAATCTGCATATATTGCCACACTCCCTGGCATTTTTAGATTTTGAGAGGTATAAATGCCTAAAATGAATTTTATGTTGATGCACTGAAAAAAGGGAGGTATTGAATAATGTGATATGTATTTATTCAATTATTTTATAGGAGAATAATGGACTTGGACATACTTTCAGGTCATGTCATCCCTTCTGTTCCTGTGCAGGAACCTGCCGATCATCATGACGTGGGTGGAAGCGCAGAAGCCAGGCGAGAATGGTGTGAACATCATCACCTCAGACTTTGTGGAGCTAGTGGACTTTGCCAACACTGTGATCCAGCTCAACAACCTGCTCCTCCCTAACAAGGCAGTCACATGACATCTGCTGCATCCTGCACTTCCCAGACCATCAAAGAGAAACTGGGGGGGGGGTCACAAGATAACCATGGAAACCAGAGATCACGTGACCATCACGGACAGATCTCATGAGGAGTGGATTGCGTGACCACCACAAAGACGAGTGCTCGAAGGAGTGCCGTCTCCAAGCCTATACCTGTCGAATAGGGGCTGCGGTCAAATGCTGAGTCTCTGTGGCTAACAATTAGATTACCTCTCATGTGGTCAGAAACTGTGCTTTATATTTTAGCTTTTCATTCAAAAGTGCTATAAACTCTCTCTGTAATAGACTTCACATGGTGGCTGTAGCTGAAAGTTATTTTCAAAGCTGTAACTGAAAATGCGTGTGGGCAACCGGGAACCTGAACCTCTCTGCTGTAATGCTCACACATACAAACACTCACAAAGAATGTACTGTATTTATAATTACTTAATATTATTTATTACATTTTAGTCTTCTTCAATAAACATCTACTGCTTACCCTCTCAATTTGCGGCAAGCTGAAGACGCTGGTGTGGATCAGTGGGATCAGGTTGTGGTTCTGCTTCTACAGCCACAGTCTGTGTTGTTGCTATGATGTGGGGTTGAATGTCCAGCAGGCAGGATTTCTCGGCTGGATAACTTCTTAGCTGGATAACTTAACTTAACTGATGACTGTCCCACAAATGGCACTGACTTCTCCTCCTATTGGGTAGGCTTGAAGGGGAAATCCACCCATTTAAAAAAAATCTAATAATTAGATTGTTGAGATGTAAAAGTCATTCCGGGTGGTCTGATGAGAAATGGTTCATTGTAGAGAAACCTACAGACTCTGATTTCTTTACAGTGGTATTGATAGGAACCAGGGGTCACAATGTCTATAAAGCAACTATAGCCATTTTATTTACTATACAAAACCACCAGTGAACCTACAAACTTGAGTTTTTGTATGTCATGTTGATAACAGTAAATTAATGGTATATCGGGGAAAAAATAAATTCTTTGGAAAATATTTGTCCTTGCAACACCCTGCATGTACAACACTGTCAGAGACCAGCCATCTTTTTTCATTTCCAGTCAAAACAGCCATTAAGTACAAGTTGTTGATTTTTTAGGAAATATTTCTGAAGAGATTAGATAGAAGATAATCCACTAGAGGAAGGAAGGGGAAGTCAAAGCAAAATGGTTTCCACAAACTGTAATTGAGAAATTGTGCCAAGTCTATAGATAGATAGATAGATAGATAGATAGATAGATAGATAGATAGATGGACAGAGAGATAGATAGATTGATGGATGGATGGATGGTTGGCTGGATAGAGATATGGATGGATATGCATAGGACTGACCACCTGTGTACGGGATTCCTTGGATGGTGAGAAGCAGTAAATACAGCCAACTTCTGAAGACTGAACTTTGGAAGTGTGGAAAAATATCCCTGCAGATTTCTTTGAAAAACTGAAAGTGAGCCTCCTGAAAAGAAAGGAAGCTGTAAAAAAGGTAAAGAGTGAACACATTTTTACCAAAAACATTGAAATGATAGTTTTGTATGTTTTCTGTGTTTTTGCCAATTCTCCATGAATGTGTTTTAAAAATACATTTGAGTGCTAAATCTGATCTCAAAACCACCACAAACAGTGTCTTAGGCATCATTTTTAACCATTTCATGTAAGAACCTTCTGTGAGGGAGCTTCTAGAGGCGTTAAACTCTTCAGACGTCTGGTTCTTATCATCACCCCTGTGAACAATTCTGACTCTGTAAGTTTCTCTAAAACAGAGCCTTTCACACCAAACCACTCTGGATGACTTTGTTTACATCTCAACCATTTAATTATGCAGAAATTTAGAAAAGTCGTTGGAATTGCCCTGTAACTTTTTAGCATACATCATCTGGCTAACTGACAAGTCTTGGTTTTTGCAATGTCATGAATGTGTATGTTATGGTTTAAGTTCTTTCTCTCTCTCTCTTATACCCACACACTCACACACTCTCTCTCTCAGCTTATTTTGTTTGTGTTTTTTCACACTTCCACTCCCTCACTCTCTCTCTTATTGTGCTTTCTCACTGCCTTCCTCTCTCATTTTGCCTGTTTTTCTCACACTCACTTCTATCTCTCTCTCTCTCTCTCTCTCTCTCTCTCTCTCTCTCTCTCTCTCTCTCTCTCTCTCCCTCTCTCCCCTCCCCCTCCCCCTTCCCCTCCCCCTCTCTCTTCCTCTCTGGCAGTCTACAGCTAAGTTAGGTGCTGTGGTGGGATAGGTATGTGTTTTTGGGCTCAGGCCTGGAACAAACACCAGCACAGCGGATCTGTGGTGGTCCGCTGAGTGTTTACATTGGAAGCGAAGCTGCTCTTATTTCGTCTGAGCTCAGAGCTGTGAAAGAAGGTGTCAGACACAAACCTGACAGTGCTGTTTGGGTCTTCTTCATGTGACTCATGTATTTTTGGGACGGCCACTGCCATGTTTGTCAAGTTGAGCTTGCTGTAACCCACAGTGACCACAGGAACCTCTTTCTGACAGACAGAGCCAAGCAACAATGATCAGTTTCTCCATTTAGACTCTTCCCAGTGGAGGCCCTGTTCTCTTAGCCTTTTAACTGTAGAAAATGGACATAAACATGTAGAGGTCAGTTGTACGTTTGGTTGCTGTTGTAATGTGACAGTGTGTCTTCCAAAAAAAATAACAGATCTTTAATGTACATAAATGTAGCAAGGTAGTACTCCAAGTAATATGGGGTCATTTTATTGTTCAATTTGTGGCTTAGGTATTACTTACTTAGCTTAAGTAATACTGTAATGATATTACCACAAACTCAAATGGTCTGAAACATAGATAATAGGAATCTGATGTTCTGTGTGTGAACATAGTTAAAGTTTTTTTTTATATATGGACTTTATGCGCTGACAGGGAGTGGTACGTTTTAAACTGTTCACAGACTGAATCAAACTTGAAAAAAAGTGAGGAAAATTTGTTTTCCCATTATTTGGGCTCTTTTATCTGACCACAGTTATTTTCCACACCTGTGAGTTTTCACCATATCTAATGTTCACGTCACAACAAACAATGATAACTGGGTGTGTTTTGATCTGCTGGGTTGAGGCACATTTGTGCAAATAAAAGAAAGCAGAAAATGCAGTTATTGTGACACAAAAACAACAGCTTCTGACTGGTTTAGACGGCAGTGGTGAGAAAAGTTGTGCTCAAGCTGTGTCTTTCGTCAGTTGGGAGCTATAAGTACTGACAGCTAGCAAAAGCTAAAGAGCTAGCCAAGGCCATTTGACCACCTTAGGCTTACTTGCAATTAACAAAAACACCGCCACTGGACTCTGGAGCAGTGGAAACATTCTGTGGAGTGATGAATCAGCTTCTCTATCTGTCAGTCTGATGGACGAGTCTGGGGTTGGTGAAATGCCAGGAGAACCTTACCTGCCTGACTGCACTGTGCCATGTAAAGTTTGGTGGAGGAGGGATGATGATATGGGGTTGTTTTTCAGGGGTTGGCCTAGAACCCTTAGTTCCAGTGAGGGTTAATCTTAATGCTTCAGCAGACCAAGACATTTTGGACAATTCTATGCTTCCAACTTTGTGTGAACAGTGTGGGGAAGGCCCTGTTATGTTTCAGCATGACTGAGCCACAGTGCACAAAGCAAGGTCCATAAAGGCCTGGCTGGGTGAGTTTGGTGTGGAAGAACTTGACTGACCCTCACAGAGCCCTGACCTCAACCCCATCTAACACCTTTGGGATACACGCTTGTTCCAATAAGCATCATTCGCTATAAAGGTAACATTTGCCAATTTTGATCGAAGTCAGCTAAAGTAGCCTTTATGACAGATGATGCCTGTTGTGATAAGCATTTATAAACAGTTATGTAGGGTTATGTCAGTTGTAATGACAACCTTATGTAGGTGCCACGTAGCCTTATGAACAGCACCCTCCAGTAAAGTTTTACCATGCTAGCCTCGTTATAAAATATAGTATATATTTGTGCATCTTCTTTGTTTCTTCCACATACTTTGTAATGCACTAAAAATCTGTGTAAAATGTGAAAATATTGTTTCCTGACACATTTAAATAATTGAATATTTGAGCAAAATTCAAATATTCAATTATAGCAACAATTATACCAGTACTAGGGTATATTCAATTTATATTTGTATGGTATCATATACATGGTTTATATGCATATATGCTGAATATTTGATACCTACATATATGTGCACAGCATATATGTACATATATTTTACAACATCAGTCTATCCCTTTATGATATATGTGCATACGGCCATACGTCAGATTTCCGTATGGGTTTGCTCTTCACTTGTCATTGATGTTCAGTTTTTCAGGTCAGAAGTGCAATCAAGGGGGGGGGCTGGCCTATGGAAAAAGCCTGTGAAAAGGATGAATTGCACTAAGTATGGAAACTGAGGTACAACCATGCAGAGAGACAAGAGAGATCTAATCAGCACAGCTGCCTTCTCTGCACAAAGCTCTGTGGCTTGTTTTTGTTGCTAGCACCATGGCATGCATTCTTACTCTTCCAGCTCTGCTTTTCATTCTCATCCTTAAAGTTGTTTGGGTTCCCCATTCAGAAATGTCCTGCTTTATAGTTTGCGTGACTCCACTGAGCTTCGTGATGATTAGTAAGTACTGTATTCAGAGAAAGGAAGTCTGCTTTCATTCCCCGGCAGTGAAAACATTACTTCTAATACAGTGATAATCCTTCAAATCTTTTTTCTGACAGTTTTTTCACTCAGACTTTTAATCGTTTGTTACTGGCTCAGATCTTTCCTTTGTATGATCTGAGTGCCTCTGTTAACTTTACTCGTAAATGTCTGCAAAGGTTTGCAGTCGTCCCGGTCGTGTGTAGCCACACTTTCAAGGAACATTACCAGTTCATCTCAATACCACTAGACTTAAATGATAATTTGACCAAAAATCTCATTTTATCGAAGTTTGCTTTTTTTTTGCCACTGGAGCTGTGAGGCTGACATAGCTAACAAGTAATG